ATTGTAATGCTTGCATTATATAAGAATAAACATTCCATATTAATAATTTAAAGTTAAAATTTGATGCCAAACACTCCATACTTTTTACCAACTTTATATAACACAAAGCTTCTCAAATTTCAACGGTTTTAAACAATCAAAATTATCAAATTTTATGGCCAAAATTCATGTTTGTAAACCTTGTGTAGTTTTAAATAAGAATTTGTTTATAAATTATTGCTTTATTTAAAAGCACATTATCTAAATATTATTAAGGGTGAGTCATACATTAGAATCAGCATTAAAATTATATTTAATTGTGGCTTCATTCAAATTTGTAATAACGACTAACAATGGAGGAGTGTTCTTGATACCAACATTGATTTCACCAATTACTTCCCCAACGGTGGTTTTATTTGGAGATTTAATTCTAAAAAGTCAGAGATTATTTTAAAAAAAAATATGTTGCTGCTGCCAAGGCTGCCGTACCAACTACTAAAAATTGTGCAATGATACTAAAAAAAGTTGATAAAAATTTTAAAGATGCCCTATTACGATAATGTAAATATTAAATAAATAACCTTATTAGAACTCGAATGTATGGATTATCCAGATTCTAGGTACTCAATATAATAGCCTTAAAAGTGTTTTTCTGAGGGTAGTCTATCGTATAAAGGGCACCCTTAATTTTGACACTTTTATAAAATTTAATGTCGAATCCTAAGGATATTGAATATGATCAATATTGCAAAGGACACAATTTACCCGATGATTGCCTTCACATTAGAAATAAGAGATTCAACAAATTCTTCAATGATTATTTAAAGAAGAATAAAATTGGATGTTACGGCGAACCAGAAATGACCGGCAATTTATTCAATCATTTGGTTATCGATTTCTATGTTGAACATCGTCCAAATGCAATAATTGTAACTGAAATTATAGATAATCCTAATTGGAAAGAAATTGTAACTTTGCTAGATGTGGAAAAAGTTAATAATTTTGTTGAGCTTTTGGACATATTCTCACGAAACGATACTACAGATTTTTCAAATATTAAAATCGGTAAATCGATTTACAGGAAATACAAAGATGATCCTTCAAAATTTAATTATGACTTACTCAAATTTCTTGAATATGAAGGTTTCCAATATGGAGAGCGACTCTTCTTTCATTTTAATGAAGATAATCTGAAAGATTTGAAATTTCATAATTTCAGTGTTTTTCCAAAGGAAGCCGAATCGTCTTTTCGAATGAAAATGTTTACAATTGTTCGAAAAAAAAAGAGCATCCTCCAAAGAAACCTTCTACTCTTTCTATGTGGTTCAAAAGAATCTTTTGCTGGGACAATGATGATAATCCTATGAGGGAAAGACTAAAACATACTAAGGGCTATCTTAAATTAAAATCCGAGTAGTCTAATTGGAAAATTCTGGCAAGAGTTTTATAAATTTATAGGGGATCTTTTGAAGAGGATATGTATTATTCAGCCAATTATATGGCATTTGCCAATACTTAAAGTTAACCTTATAAATCTCAAACAGTGGCCAAGAAAAGAGTGATGCATCACTATCTAACAAATCATAGAGGTGTTACTCAATTGGTGTGAGACAAATCCTATTTACAGCTAATGTGGACCGATATATTCATTATATTTCATACAAGATACTCAATAATATATCAAATTCCGCCAGATAACGATATGTATCAAATTTAACTACTAAACAATATTTGCTTATCGATAACATGTAGATTAACATAAGAACATTGTATAAGAAATTTCCACTCCATAGTAATTTCTTTCTCATTTGATTCAAATTAAAAATTCTAAATACATTTCTCAAATTTATTTTAATGTATATATACTAATAGGAAAAAATGTTAATTTGAAAGATAAATCTAACAATTTTATTCTGCGTTGAACTTGGCAACGGCCTTGCCACCTTCTGAAACGGCATGCTTGGCAAGATCGCCTGGAAGAACAAGACGAACAGCTGTCTGAACTTCGCGGGAACCAAGTGTGTTACGTTCGTTCATATCGACAAGACGAGCGCCTTCCTGAGCGATACGTTCGAAGATATCTGTAACGAAGGAGTTCATGACCATCATAGCCTTGTTGGAGATACCGATATCTGGGTGGACCTGCTTAAGAACCTTGAAGATGTAGGAGGAGAATGTTTCGGCACGCTTCTTGTGGCGAAGCTTCTTGTCTTGCTTGGCAGCGTTGGCGGCATCGACGCCCTCGACGGCTGGTTTCTTCTCTGTTGGTGTTTTAGAGGCTGGCTTCTTGGAAGACATTCTAAAATAATGATCACTTTTTCGGCGCCATGGTCTGAAAAAAAGGCTACTAAATTTGATGGGTGCAAAATGGCATATTCGGAAAATATTCAATATGACATTTTGCACCATGAAAATTTTGAATAATGAAGGTTATTAAATGGCGGGGAAATTGTTCACCTCATTCATTGATAATGCCAGCTAAGAAAGGTGTTAAGAAAACAGCAACAAAGACAGCAGTAGATGGTGAACGCCAACATCCAAAGACACGTTCATCTCGTGCCGGTCTTCAGTTCCCAGTCGGCCGTCTTCACAGATTCCTCCGTGAAGGCCGTTATGGTGAGCGTGTCGGTGCTGGTGCTCCAGTCTTCATGGCTGCTGTTCTTGAATATCTTACTGTCGAAGTTCTCGAACTTGCCGGTAACGCTGCTCGTGATAACAAGAAGACACGTATCTCTCCACGTCACATCATGCTTGCCGTTCGTAACGATGAAGAATTGAACCAATTACTCTCCAACATCACCATCGCTTCTGCAGGTGTTGTTCCACACATCCACAAGGTCCTCCTTGGCAATCCAAAGAAGGGTAAGGATGCTTCCCAGACACAAGAATAAACTTGTTTATGTATTTATTATTTTCAAATCAAAAAATAATTTAAATTTTCCAAAATTTGATAAATGGAATTTAAGATTTCCATATATGATTTGAGTCATCCTACATGAAGCTTGTTATAATTACAATGTGAGAGATCTAATAAAGCAGTGTTGTGGATATCAAATTTTTTTTCAATGGAATTTTAGGTTGTGGAATTCTGAATAAACTTTGATTTGATTATGAAATCTGATTGGGCACAAAAAATGAAGACAATAGGATAAATTTTAATGTGCGAATAAAATTGTTCTGTTGTTGCTAATGCAACTCCTTAAATTTGCGGTTATTTAGGAATCAGAGTATTGATATAGGAGTGAATCAATGAAAATTAAAGATAGAAAGGAAAATTTTACATACAAACAAAAGAAACTATAAAAAGAAATGCGTGATCTATAACAAAAAATCTTCTCATAACAAAAAGTTACGATAATTCTCCCATCCGCTGAGAGTCGCGTTATAATGAGTTATACAAGAACTAAGAGCGATTCTGAATTTCGTAATATATTCAGGGGTTATTTTTGACTTTAAGTGCTCTGAAATTTTTCTTGTGGTAGCAATTTCATCCATTGTTGCCATAAGATAAACGCCGCAATCTGTGTTGTTGTTCTGAATTGGCCCTTTCATATTCTTGAAGCTGTAGTTCTTAATTTTAAGGCCTTCAGCTATTTTGTCTGTTAAATGTTTGGCTGGGACAACATTCACATTTTTGAGAGAGTCGAAATGCAAAAATGTGTTTTTCATTGTACGGTACCATATAAGCAAAGACCAATGTCCCATCAAATCACCTTTCAAATTTGATAATGGAAAGAAAATTATATCATACTTTTCAAATGAGGCTGTTTCGATAATTTCCGTTGCTTTTTCTGTGTCTAATCTTTGAAGTAGTTGCGTAACTGATGGGGAAACGAATTTGTATAAGGCAAGTTCCTTATCAAATCGATGGGCTTCCAATGCACAAAGAAAGTGAACAATTGTGTCATCTATTTTCCCACCAATCTTGAGCGTCTCAAGGTTTTCCCTAGTACAACTAACGTCGTCAATATGCGCTAGGATAGGGGAGAACAAAATTTTTTTGAGAAATTGGATGCCTCAATTTTTTCAAGGAAACCATTCAAAATTGGCCAATGAAATAAACAATAAATATTTCTTATTGTATTGAGTTGTTGATATCCAGTATTTTTCAGACCGTTAGATTTCCTTCAAATAATATATAAAAAACGATATACATTAAATATGGAACAATCAAAAAACTTTATTAAAAAATTGAAAATCAAATCACTTTTTTTGTGAGTGCGTGTTAAAAAGTTAGGATTATCTAGAATTATGAGGCACAGCGTGAATTTAAAATATTTTAATTTTAAAAATCTGTTTTTTATGATGGGTTGAATTTGAAAGTGTGTCAATTTAAAAAGATATATGCCACAAAAAATTCACTAAAATATTTTTAGCACATGATTGTGATGTGATTCATTTGAAATTCTACATAAAATCAAATTTTGAAAGGCAAAACTCCAAATAAAGTTTTATCTGATGATTATTGCATTTCAGTATATAATAAATTATTTGCATTTTTTATTCAGAATTCTCAAAAAGCAATAAGAATTGAAATTTCGAAATCAAAAATTTGCGTTCTTGGTGCATTTTCCTGTAATTGTGAATTCATGTGCTTTGCACGTTACAATAGCGATAATATGGGTTGAAAACGAATGAAAACGTGATTTTTGAGTTAATATAAATTCTCATTTCAAATACCAACAAACATCAATATTCAATCAAGAATATCTCATCTCTTGCTGATATATTAAAGTATGATGCCCTCGTGTTTGATTATAACGCAAATCTGTTTATTAAATATTAGGGTTTTTGAGGATTTCATATTTCGAAAAGGTTACACCAATAAGAATTCGAAGGCATGAGCTCAGCAGATTGGATGTTTATGCACCTTCTATTTGGCATGATTCATTCAAAAAAAAGTAAACAACACTGTAAAAATCGTATGTGAGAAGTAACGCTGCTGACCTATATGAGTAAACAGTGTTTGAAGCTATTTTATCTTCTTGAAGGCTCAAAAACACAGTTGTGATTCTTTTTTTATGTTAAAAAACGATAAAAAAATCGATCCAATGAGTGAAAAAGCATCTTTCTTCTCACGATTTCGTACTAAAAGTGGCAATATAGAAACTAATTCGAAGCCTAGTACACCTGAAACTCTCACTCGTAGTTCATCTACAAATTTAAAGAGAGAATTACAAATTGAACAACTTCTTCAAGAACCGATTATAGATTTAGAAAAAATTAGAAATATGGCCTGGGCTGGCATTCCAAGTCAGCATCGAGCCAGAATATGGAGATTGTTTTTGGATTATGAACCAGTAAATACTTCATTAACAGAGCAAACATTAATCCATAAACGTGGAGATTATTTTGATTGTATGGGACGTGTTTATGGTGAAAGCCAAAGAAATTATTGGACAAATGCGCAAAAAACTACAATCAGCCAAATTCAAAAAGATTTACCTCGAACAAGTGTTGCAATATTAAGAAATCTGCGTGTTAAAAATTTATTCGAGAGGGTTCTCTTTGTTTATTCAGTTCGACATCCAGCATCAGGATATGTTCAAGGAATGAACGATGTTTTACAGCCTTTCTTCTTTGCATTCCTACTACCTTTTGTTCCTGATTGCGCCACAGCTCGCGATCTAGCAATGAAAGAAAATATTGATGAAGTCGATGAAAAAACTCTTCAAGAAGTCGAAGCAGATTGTTTCTGGTGCTTCTCTAAGCTTCTTGATGGCCTTCAAGATCTATATACAAAGGACCAACCAGGTTTATATAAAATGCTCGAAAGTTTGCAGAATATTGTTGACAGAGTCGCCCCAGAACTATCCAAACACATCATGAAAGAGGAAATTCAATACCAGGAGTTTGCTTTCAGATGGGTAAACTGTTTATTGGTTAGAGAATTTTCGATGGAAATTACATTTAGAATCTGGGATTCTTATTTGGCCAGACATAACCATGTTGCCACAACCCATATATATGTATGTGCAGCAATGATGGAATTTCTCTCTGCAAAGCTAATTCCTTTGAATCACAGCGAATTTGTCATATTTTTGCAGTCAATCGATCCAGCTTCGTGGACAAAGGATAGCATTGAGGAAATTTTTGCTCAGGCATATGTCTATGAGGGAATGTTTTCAAGATCTCCTTCTCATTTGAAGTCTGCATCAATGCCTTCCCTTCTTAAGTGATTTATATATTATTTTTGTAGTTGATAGAAAAGTGGTGATAATTAATAACTCTTGAGTGACCTAATTATTACTAAATTATTTGTTTTTTATCATTCTTTCAAAATTTCTTTTTATTATATTTATGTTGACTTCTACTACAAGTTTTCAATTAATTTCGGTTTTTGAGAAAATTCCAAAAATGAAATTGGATTTTTGTTCTTATTTTTAAAAAAATTAAGATATACGAGATTGTTGAAATGCTATAAATTCATAAAGACATAATTTTTAAAAGATATAACGAAAAATAATTTACAATCTTGAAGCTGTATCATCGAAGTCCTTAAGCATATCGTTGATAGACTTTGTGTAGCTATTGTTAAGGCTCATAACCATTTGAATTTGTTGTTTGAGTTTTTCATAATCTGTTCCGCGATGTAAAGCAACTGCCTGGTTAATCATGATGCTATCATCATTAGGGAAGTTCTCAGAAGCATTTTGAATTGACATCTGAGCATTATCCCATTCGCCAAGAGCGCAATAACAGCAACTGATTGCATTTGCGAGTAGAGGTGAGAGAGGTAATCTATCTGCAATATCTTGTAATGAATAAAGTGCTTTCTTGATTTCGTCTTTTTCTAAATAAAGTGAAACAAAAGCAGTCCAAATACTTTTAAGGACTTGCTCACTAATATTCTCTAATTCCTTTTGAGCAAGGTCGGGTCTATTCAAAAGTAATAAACAATGTATTCTTTCGGCAATTGCCTCTGAATTTGTGTTTCCATTTAACGTTAAGAGAGCATCTGGTATGTTATCTGACATAATATATAGCATAGCCTTTGAAATTGCATAATATGGATTTGTTGCAACTGTCTGTTCGTCACCAACTGGAATTAAATTGGCAATTTCAGTCTCGTTGTTACATTTCTTGGCCTGAGCAATGAGATAAACTCCTTTATGCATATCATTGGCCTGGGCTTTAACTTGATTCAATACGAAATCTGTTTGTCCAAGATTTAATCTAGCGCGTAAAACCATAAATTCTGTCTGCTCATCAAGCTTCTTCATATCTTTTGTGTCTGAAAGAACCTTGGAGTAGAGTCCAGCATAGAAAGAATCATGGATTTCTTCCATATTTTTTGAGAATTTTTTTTATTATTGAACAGAACGATGATTACCCAATCTAGACTTTAAACGATGTATTTCATTTAACCATCCTGAATTCAATCATTCTTCAAATGAACTATCCATCCTTTCCCCTATTATTATTATTTCCAGTATCGATTATATAGAATTTATCAATGCCGATTGAGGATTTTTGTCATTTAACATGAATACTCAAGGATGAGAATAGATAGAATTCATGAATTTATAGTATTATGAAAATATAGATTAAAAAAAACCAAATAGGAAGCATTTGAAAAATATCCATGTTTAAAAACAAATATCTGATATGTGTATATATACATTACAAATATATAGTATACAAAATATACTTAGAAAGAAGAATGTGGTTTCTTTCCAAGAAATGAAGCAATTCCTAATGCAAATATGCATACAGGGAGTATATTTAACTTTGATGTGATTTCAATTGTATCTTTTCTTGTCTTTCTAATGATAATAAGTTGTTGTTCATTATCTTGATTTTTGAGTATGCAATTTTTAATTGATATTTGACGCTGAACATCCCCAAAAGCAGGTTCATCATTTATTGATGTATTGACTAATGGTGAAGGGTAATTTGGTTCAAACAAGAAAAATACTTTCATTTTTCTGTCTCCATCGGATGCCTGGCGTGGCAAATGAAAATCAATGTCCATGACTGAATCTGGGTTCGATTCTCTTGTAATAAGAGAAAAATGAGAATTTTCGTATAACATGTTGAGTTCGGCAATAAAAGAAGGAGAGCTTAAATGTATTTCGTTACCTGCTGTAATCGGAATTGTTTTTGCGGAGAATGTTTTTGCTTTTGCGATCATATTTTCTTCGTTTTCCTGAGTGTAATAAAAATAATGTCTAATTCCGTTTATTTTGGTTACCTTCTTCCTTGTGATAACTCCTTTAACAAAGTCATTATTTGGAAAGTATATCTCTTTTAAAAAATCTGAGGAAATATTGTCTGTTTCATTAATTGTCCTTAATGGACTTGTTACATTCCTAACTCTTGTTACAGGTGCTGGGCTTGATTTTGGTTCAGCCTTTTTAGGAGTCCTGGTTCTTCTTGGTGATGACATTTTAGATAAAATTTTCAAAAAAAAAACGCTATAAAAAGATAAAAAATTTAAAATAAATGCAAGAAAGTGTTCCCAGTGTAGCTGGAAATGAATTTTCTTCATTTAAAAAGGAGTTATTTTTTCCAAAAATTTTTTAATTTAATAAAAATAAAATTCATTATTATAGAAAGTTTTTTCAAAATTTAAAAAATAAAAAAATTTTGGAAAATAAAAAATCGGTGAATCAATTTTAAAATATATAATACATCTGTGTTGCTTTGAAAAAGTAAGAAATTAATGAAATTTATACATTATATAGAAAAAATTTCAATATATCCTCTAATTAATGATGCCATATAGTTACCAAGACTTTATATAATAACAAATAATGACTTATAGCTTTGTATTCCTATAATAAAAAGAATATTTCTTTATATCGTTGGATTTGAAGGAAGGTGGTTAGATAAAAATAATCTTGAGTCAAGACAAAACAATTTATTACTGTTACAGCAACAACACAAAACAATATATAAAGTTATGAAAAAGTAAAAAGATAATTTCGTATATAAATGTAGCATTTTCGATAATTGTGAGTAATTGATAGTTTCGTTGGGGATCTATTTGAAAAAAAAAGAACACTTGTAAAATTTAATCGATTACTCGCAGAATCAATAAGAATCCATGGTTAAACACCGGAATCTGTTTCTTTTTTAGAATGAATCTGGTGACAAACTGGACACATCAATTGCCATTCAACTGAACAATCACAGCAAAGTGGTAAACAACAACAGCAGCAAAATGAAAGCATAATACATGATACAATTCCACATTTTGAAGGCTTAGGGAATTTTTGAAAACCTCTTCCAAAAAAACCACATCGTGGACAGTGATATTTTGGATCCGTTTCCGGATCAGCAATGAAATGCATTCGATCGGACATCGGTCTCCGTGCATGATCCGGATTGAAATAAAAAGTATTCGAGTCTATATTAGATGTTATTGTAAAATCTTGAAACGATCTTGTCACTTTTATCAATTAATAAATTCTATTGGAGTGGTATTGGCACTTGGTTTTGACCCTTCAAACTATGAGCATCATTTGTTTCTAATGTTTTTATTTCATTTTGCAGATTTTATATTCCTCTATCTTCAATGTCTGAAGAAGTCAGTTATTCTGATAATGAAGAGCTTGGTATTTATGCTGCTAATCTCTTTCATGCATTATTTGCTGATTGGTTCCATTATAGATATATCACATCAAGTTAGAAGAACGTTTTAACGAATTCGTATTTGTCAATAACAAAGCTTAAAATAAAACATCCAAAAACAATATATTGATATTAATGGATCCTAGCAATGACATTTTTTGAGTTAATGCAACATATCTATCAATTTTTCATGCATTTCGATAATGAAATACTATGAAATCGAACAAATGACATGGAGATTAAATAAATAACTATAGTATTGAAATATCCAATCATAATTTTTATTGTCGTTCTAGAAATTTTACAAATTGATTTATTTCTGAAAATTTCGATTTGATTTTAGAGCGATGAATAAACCAACAACAGGTATTATTGAATCACTAACTAATTTTGGATTTTCATAAGCTGAAAACAATCAAATCTAAAAATCTATTATATCAATCAAAATTATTAAAAATAACATGGCATATTATCGGACGTTCTAATATGAATCACATTTAACCTCAAGTGACGTAATAATAATTGAATTATATTTGATAGTTTTTAAATTTTCCAAAAATCATTATAGAATAAATCAAATATTTGATATTTGTTTGCCGTAATTTTGTGATAATTCAAATTTCGATAATATTCAATCTTTTTGAGAGAATTTCTATTCCTTTCCTCAAATCTATACTTCTATTAAAATATAAAACTTCTTAAAATCTAAAATTATTGATATACAATGTAGAATCATGTTGGGTCATACCATACAAATTGAATATGATTTTTTATTCTGTACTTTTCGAAAATTTTTTATTAAAAACTGCCTTCTCAAAATAAAATCTCTATTTCTTAATGTTAGCATACCATGTAAAAACTTATTAGATTCAAAACGATAAAAAATTTGTCAAATCCAAAAAAATTATAGATGCAGATGAAACCACCCCTACAAAAATCATCAGGTATCCATGATGTTAATGCTCCATGCCAGATACCACAAGTCCACAATCTACTATGCAAGGAAAATTCTAAATTCAAATATCGTGTTGTTCAGCATATTGGTTCTGGAGCTTTTGGAACCGTTTTTCAATCGATATCTCCTACAGGCAATATTGTTGCAGTGAAGAAAGTCTTCCAGAATCCTCATTTCAAAAACCGAGAACTTGAAGTATTAAAAGCGTTAAAATCGCCAAACTGCTTATCATTACATGATTACTACACAGAAAAAGAATCCGGAACAGATAATACCTATCTATTCCTCGTCATTGAATTCCTTCCAATGTCTTTGAGACATTGCATCAAAGAATCAAGACTTTTCTCAAACAAATTCGATCCAATTCTTCATAAATTATATTCTTATCAAATATTAACAGGTTTGAGAGATATTCATGCATTAGGAATAGCTCACAGAGACATAAAACCCGAAAATATTCTTGTCAATCCATTACATGGAGAAATTAAAATCTGCGACTTCGGATCAGCTAAGTTCATTCTCAATGATAGAAACTCAGTACCAGAAGTCGGATCCTTGAACTACAGAGCACCAGAATTATTATTAGGAAATCGCACTTATTCAACAGAGATTGATATTTGGGCAGCGGGATGCGTCATAGCAGAGATGGTCCTCGATAATATTTCGATGTTCCCAGGTACTAATGATACCAATCAAATGGAAGGTATTGTAAAAGTTCTCGGACAGCCAACACCAGAAGAGGATAAGAGCTTCCCACACCCAATACCATTCCCTAACGAAGAGAAAATTGCAGATATTTCGATCATTTTACCATACAAATGTGATCCTTTATTAATTGATTTACTTAAATCAATTTTCGTATACAACCCTAGCAAGCGTCCAACAGCAGCACAGCTAATGAAGCATCCGTACTTCAAATCTTTGTTCTCTGTAACAAAGTTACCAAATGGTGCTCCAATGCCAAAGCTCGCTCAGCCATAATCTTTCTGTCTGTATATTTTTATGTTTTAGTTGTTTAAATTCAGTGTATATCCCATGTATTTTCAATTGTAGATCGATTTTATGAATTTCATTACCGAATGAAAAAAAATTATTCATATTAGATCTAAAACAGAAATAAATCTATCATATTTATAAACAATTCTGATCCGAAAACTATAGAAAATCACAAACTATCATTCAATATGATTATTTTTCATATTCATTACTTTACTGGGCTATTTGAAGGGAAAGATACTACACTCCATATAAGGACACATACGTTCTAGCTCCTTCAACACTATGATTTCAAGATTTGAGTCCAAATATCCTTCAAAATATAACAATTTTTAGCCATAAATGGAAACTAAAGTTTGACCAATATTTTTAGAACAAATTTCTAAACTTCTTTATTGTTGTTCGATCATCTTTTCAAAATTTTTGTCACTTTTAGCCCGCGATGGAAGATTTTCCAACTTTCGAGCCACAAAACAAGATTCAAAACTTACAAAAAGAAATTGAGTCCATTGCCGCTAAGACGCACAGCTATATTACATACAGAAAGATTGATGAAGAGAAAGATTGGTACCCATATGTCGAAGATATTTGCAGAAAAATGGAATACGTCTGCGGTCCTAAGTTCTGCCTTGAAGATGCAAAAGATATCACTTACAAATGGACTCAAACAGATAACTATTTCCAAATTGTAATGACTGACGTTCCAAAAGAATCAATAACAATTGATGAACATCATATATCATCACCAAAACTTTCAGGTGACTGGTTATGGCCTGTTAAAGACATCACTGTCGATGTTGTTGGCAGTATTACACAAATCGAGTTCAATACAACAGAAAACGTACAATGGCCACTCCTCATTAAAGGTGGCAATCCAGATGGTCTTTCATGCTTCTATTTAGCATTGGTTGCAAATCAATCCCAAAAACAAGACATTGCCCTTTATTACATGCAGAGAGGCACAATGGCTAACAACCACAACTGCGCTATGGCATACGCTCTCTCTCTTCTTGAAGATGCTTCTCAAGAAGAATGTGTTCATTGGTTCGCCAGAGCTGTTTTGAACCATGCCGATAATACATGCGGATATCTCTTAAGTGCTGCTCTTCTTGATGGTCGCGGTATCGAACCAGCTCCACAACTTGCAGAATACATTTTATGCAGATTATGCGTTGAAGGATTTGCAGATGCATTCACAAGATTGGGCATTCTTTACCTCCGTGGTGCATTGGGTGTCAAGAAAGCACCAAAACAAGCTCAGCAATTGCTTGCATTAGCTGCTTATCAATACCATGATGAAACTGCTGAAAAAATCTACGAAGCTACTCCTTGGGACCAGTTAATCTCTGATCAGGAGAAACAGGCTGAAGAAGAAAAGAAGAAAATTGAAGAAGAAGAGAAACATAAAGATGATCCAGGAGTCAGCGATTACCTTATCGCTGGTGGTGTTGTCGCTGGCCTTATCGGTGCTGGTATTTGGGCTTTCAACAAATTCAGCAAAAAATAAATTTTATAGATTAAAATAAAACAAAAAATTGTAACTTCTAATCAATATGTTTTTGTTAGGTTCATAATTAGATGGAATTGATATAAAGCTATCAAATTTAGACCAATTATTTTTTTTATATGAAAGACACAATGGTTCAAAAATGACTTTTTCAATCTAGATAAATATATAAACTGATACCAAGTCAAAAGAATGTTAGAAAATTCATCAAAAGAAAAGGGATGAGGTATATGAAAAAATATATGTTATTGGGAGTGAGAAAAGGTATATCTCTTGTTTATATAAGGAGCTTACTCCTGCTGTGGTTGCTCAGCCTGCTCACGGCGTGGGCCACGGAAGCCACCGCGCTGTGGGCGGTCGCCACGTGGGCCATTGCCGAAGCGGCGTGGGCCACGGCCCTGTGGGCGGTCACGGCGTGTCTCGAGAACCTTAGCCTCGGCTTCGCGGAGTGTAGCTGGAGCAGCGTTAGCTGGAAGGCCGAAGTAGTTGCGGAGGTACTCGATACCCTTGTCTGTGAGTGTGTAGTAAGCATGGGACCAAGCGTATGTCTTGATGCAGAAGCCCTTTGTAACGAAGGCGCGGCCGATCTGATATGGGTAGATGTTGAGGCAGTCGAGCTCTTCGTGTGTGCCAGACTGGATATCAGAAACGCAGAGAACACCGTTCTCGAAGAGGCAGCGGAGAATTCTCCTGCGGATAGCTGTTGGCATGTACATTTTAGGGAAAGGAAGAGCCAAAACCGTCGACCATGGCTCTACTATTTTTAAATAGAACTAAGGACAGTTAAAATATATTTGGCATTGAAAAGGTATTAAATTGTACTGATAATTATTATCAATATCTTTGACTTTTGAAATTTTGTGATATTTTTGATTGATTTATTTTCACTTTAATATCAATCACTATAAATAGAACAAACTTTTCATTCATTTAATAAGTTTAATGACATTCCATCCCCTACAACTATTTGGGAATTCGAATTAGATTTTGCAATTTTCAATGAGTAATATTTGAAAATACAAAGTTATGATGTAAAATTATTAACCATGAATCTTTCACGTATTGTTTTTTTCTCAAAAAAAAAAAATCATGATCGGAATCTTTCGATTTCAGTAACCAGCCCTCTATTAAAGATGTCAGTCATTTCAATGAACAATCCTCGAATATTTCACATAGGAAAGGGATGCGAAATAATAAAAATGGCAATATACCGGTATAGTATGGATTAATTTGATTTTCAGATAAGACATTTATATTTTTAAATCGAGCAATCCGAAAAATCAGTTTTTGACAAAATGAATTCATTCTTTGAGGATTTCTGGAATTTCATATGAGCTTTTACAATACACGAAGAATTACTATCATTAATCAAACCATACAATTCCCTAAATAGCAATCTATGTCATAAAAAATTAATCTTTTTTCTCACTTGATGATTAATTGACACTTTTTTGCCATATTTCCACATTGAACTATTGAATAAATCATCCACATCAGAATGTGATTTTGAATATTATTAAAATAAGATTTCGCAAATTGACGGTTATTTTTCAAAAACCGCTTCTTTTTGAGTGGTTTATATCCATTAAAATATTCGAGATCTAAATGGCCCAAACTGAACTTACTCTCAAAGTTGTCGTTATTGGTGATTCATCAGTTGGAAAGACATGCGTTTCACTCCGTTACTTAACAGGCGAATTCTCCAGCCAGACAAGACCGACAATTGCTGCTGGTTTTTGCAATGCCAAAGTTAAACTCGGCAAAACAGATATAGATCTCCTTATCTGGGATACAGCAGGTCAGGAAGCTTATCGTGGCCTTACATCTCAATACTATCGTGACGCTAAGGTCGCTTTAATCGTTTTCGATTTAACCAACCCAGCTACACTCAATTCCGTTACAGAATGGCATCAGCGCTTAACTGATGCTAACCGCGAGTCAGTTGTTTGCGTTCTCGTCGGTAACAAATCTGATCTTCCAAATCGTCAAGTTTCCCAGGAGCAAGGCGAAGCCGTTGCTAACGAAATTAAGGCACTTTATAGAGAAACATCTGCCTTTACAGGTAAGGGTATTAGCGAAGTCTTTGAAGACGTTTGTGAAGAATATTTGAAGCTTCACCCAACACAGCCAACACCAAATGTTAAGCCAACTGTAGACGTAACAAGACAGTCTGGCGGAAAGCAAGGTGGCTGCTGCTAAACGGCGTTTCCATACGTTATTAAACACTTTCATTTATAGTTTCATAAAATAGTCCCATGTTAACTCCCATTGAAGGAAAAATTACAACAATCATTATAAAAGTTTTCCAAGAAAAAAAAATTCAAAATAGTATTTTAAAAATTTCAATAGTTTTATTATTAGTGTACATGTCGAATTGGTGTTTTATTGTACAAGATTACCAATCTTAAGCTTGTGAAGGAAGTCGATCTTGATATGTTTATGGAATGTTTTGAAAACTGATGAAATATCGGCTCTCTGTACAAGTGGCGAAGCACCTCCTGGATGCTTGCATACATATTGTGTCATGTCATAAACAACACCATTGATTACATTCCAGCAATCTTCTGGGGTTCTGTGCTTCATTACTTCTTCCATCGTAATATCACCTCTCCATTCACATTGAACAGCTACATTTTCTCCCCATTCATTACGCATGGCTTCTCTTTTAGCGAGGATTGCTTTCATATTCATTTTCAATAATAATTTTTCTTATAAAAAAAATTTTTTTTTGATGCCATTGACCAACAATAAATTTATACTTTCGAATAATAGAATTGAATAATACACATGAAATACTGATATGGTCCATCAGAGAGCAGGGAAAAATTGCTTTCAATCCATAAAAAATTGAGATCGAAAGGAGTCGAAAGAAAATATTCGTCACGGAAAACTTCTAAACAAAGATCATTGCTTAAAGTTCGTCTGGGATCCTTCTCAGAATTTTTCTAATGAGAATATAATTTTTTGTAGAATTTATTTAAGTAAGGACTATACAATAATAAACAAACCTTATGGCATGAAAACTTAAGGTTACAAATTTGGGAAATTTCCATTTTTCCCATCCTATTGATTTATTTTAATGATACTCTAACAAAGTTCGTGAAACAAAGACATTAATGTGAAAAAATGTCCATAACATGTTGATTGAAGTCAGATTTAGAAAAAAATCCAGCATTTTCAACAAATAAGATCAAAATTAGCAGCACATTGTTATTGAAAGAAATAGATATTCATGTAAGATGTTACAATTTTTGATAATTGCCTATTGAAAACAGTTTTTATCATTCTAAGTGATTCGACTTTTGAATTGAAAATAATCATATCTCGGATAATTTTAATTGAATAGTGAGAGAACTCTTAATATTGAAAGAGCATAACATCTATGCATAAACAATAGTAAAGCTGCTCCATATGATTACAAAGGAGAATCTACTATTCATGAGAAGACATTAATAATGAAATATTATAAATTAACAAAATTATTTTCATAGAAATATAATGTTAAATGAAAAATTTTCCTAACCAATCAGCAAGAATTAATGTAGATACTGATGTGCGTGTATCATTCAAAGGGGAAGATATGAAAAATAAGTTAGAGTGAAAATTTCGTAAATGTACAGATAATGTATTGTTCCAGATAAGATAGTTTTTTAATGAATATTATTTCATAAACTTTTAGACGCTTGTCATTGATGTAATTTTTTCAAAAATATCATCATTGGATACAAAAATCATGCAAAATTCCATATAATATCAAAGACCAAATTGTATCAATGATATGGAATTAACGAATCCTAAAGAATTCACCAAATGTTAAATACAATTCTCAATAGATACTGATTATTCTGACAATGACCGAGTCATCCAAAAACATGTTGGGGTCAAAAATATGGCAGCAATATCATTTATTAAATGAGGAAGTCACCAACATAACAAAAAGTTTCTAGTTTCTTTTATATTGGCGTTCAAAGATTTCGAGATTTCAATATGGAGAGTTCAAAATTTGAATTTCATATTGCAAAAACGATTTTTCCTAATGTGCAGTACATATTGACATGTTTTAACTTCATTTAAACGTATCGCTAATCCAATAAAATCGGAATATAAACATTCAATGGAGAACATTTTCTTTTGTAAAATTGCTCCATTGAAACTCAACATTTTTCGGTATCGAAACAATAACTATTTAATATATGGACCATTAATCATATTTATCTTAACTTTAAAGCGAAAAATCAATATAAAAACCTGTAAATTTGTTTTTGTGTATTTTCAATCATTTTAGGTGTTCCAACGATTTCCTTAAAAATAGATTTTGATAAAAATTAAAATTAATATCTCTCAATTTGATTATTTTGAATAAACATTTTGAATTAACATGTAAGAGCCATGATAATAAATAATATTTGATAAATTGCATATTTTTATCAAATTATGAACGTTAGCAAATTGTGAATTTTCTATTGAATTATTACGTTTGACTTTATCAACCGGTTTAACGAAATTACTGTCAAATGACTATTTCAGCATAATTTCAAAACAAAGTGGACAAAATTGCATAATGGCTTTTCAATACTAATTGAAATTAATTCAATGACTTCTTCTAACATTAGGAATTAAATCCTAAAATATGGCATCAAAATTTAAAATATTTATTATTTCATGATACTCGATTTTTATATTGTGATATTTATGAAATATTTAGTTCAATTTATTATTCAATGATACAAATACCTGAAATATCTATCTCCCTAAAGAATTATGGATACGAGCTTCTTGAGCCAATAGGTGAAGGAGGCTTTTCCTCAGTCTTCAAAGTGCAGGATATTAGATACAACCAGCTATTTGTTTGCAAAATTACTAAAATTTCACATGATAAAGATAGCTCTATCAATTGCAATGCACAAGCTCAGCAGTATGTTAATGAAGTCGAAAACTTAAAACTTATTTGGCATCCAAATGTAATATAATTTTATAATCATTTCATAGAAGGAGATCATATGTTTGTAATTCTCGAATACTGTTCTAATGGGAGCGTTTTGGATTTACTATTAAAACAAAATCAACTCTCTGGAAGAAAAATATTAACAATAGTTTCTCAACTAGCAGCTGCCATTGAGGTTTGCCATTCTAATAGTGTTGCACACCATGATATTAAGCCAAACAATATCCTAATTGACGAGTACAACCAAGTCAAACTCGCCGATTTTGGTATGTCCACGCATTTGGAAGGAATTTCTACAAAATTTATGGGATCAATCAATCTACTTGCGCCAGAAGTTATTAATAAATCTCCATATGATCCATTTAGTGCTGATATTTGGTCATTTGGAGCCACAATTTTGGCTTTAATAGTAAGTGATTGGTTTTTGAAAGGAATCCCATCACATAAAGCTCAACTCATGGTTCAATCAGGTGAAATACAAATCCCTGAAGAAACACCTCATGAATTAATTGAAATTATCAAACATTCAATGATAAGAGATCCAGAAAAAAGATGGAATATTACACAGATCACAAATTATCTTAGAGAATCCTTGGGGTCTGTTTTACAAGCGCCTAACAGAGCCTCAAGAATTCTTCCAAGATTATCAAGGACCGTTGCAGTTCCTCAGTCCAATAGACTATCTCTTCCAGCATTTTCAGTCAAGGCATGTAATAGCAGAAAAGTCTTATCTTTATCTAAACTTGCACCTCTTGTTCCCAAGTGAATCTCTTTATATTATATATGGATTTGTTGTTTTTGTATCTAACATTTTATAAAATAGAATGTTTTATTTCCTAGGTAATTAATAATTTTTTGGATATTATTTTGCGTTTGAAAGTATTTATATGGTAAAATTATTAAGGGTGAATACAAAGATCATAACATTAATAACTGTAATGACCTAACGCAAATATTTTTTTGATCATTTCCTTTCATAATCAAAAACACAAAAATGTTGAATAAAAACGATAGAATACATCTTTATGCATAAACATTCGAAACAACAAAGAGAAAAAATGAGATCATTTTCTTTCTCGAACAAATAATGTGGAATAAATTAACATTGTTAAAGAAACAATAGCTAAACCCCACAATCCTATCCTCAATGATTCTGGAACCATCAAGCTATGCTCTGAATGAGGATATGTTTTAACAAATCCAGAAGTTAAAAGCGGGAAAATGCTTCCACCAATGAAGCTAAAGCAGTTTCCGAAACCGAGAAGTGTTCCTTCCAGCGATGGACCTGATGAAAGTTCTTTGAAGAATCCCATCATAATTCCTTGTGGACCTGTGCATCCGAATCCGAAACAAAAGAAGAGTATACATGCATAAATAGGGCTAACATAATCTAGACATGCTAAAGTCGCTGCTGCAGTTATTGAAATACTGGCAAATATAATGATTGTCAGCTTTCTCCGGTGGATGAGCTCAGCGATAACAGGAATAAGAGGGCTTCCAACAATAACAGACAACGACAAAGACATTTGACAGTTCGATGCAACAGAATTAGAATAATGAAATACATCAGTTAAAAATGGAACTCCGTAAAGGCCAGTGACGTCCATATAAAATCCTGGACCAAAGAACATTAATGTAGAAATAAGCCAAAAGTCAGGAATCATCGCTGTCATCTTCAAATTCTTGAAAACTTGAAGAATTTCATCGCAAGGTTTACCACGGGGCGGAAGTGTATTATAACCAACTAGACCACATTTACTAGGATGACTTCTTACAAAGGCAAAAGCCATGATGGCAAAAACTAATCCGGCAATTGAAACAACAATGAAGCATTTTCGCCAACCAATGATGGTACCAAGCATCTGGAGTGGTGATTGAGATAATATTGATCCGAGTCCTCCGACACCAATCACTGCTCCAGCAAAAAATCTAAATTCTTTATAATTAAACCAGTTGGCTGCAACTTTATTAGTTGAAACATATACTGCGGCACAACCAACACCTACAAGAAGCCTTCCTATGGAACACATCGTCAAAGTTTGAGCAAGTCCGCATAATAATGAACCAATTAATGCAATTATTAATGAAATTGTAATCGTATAACGAATTTCAAATACATCAGCAAGAGAACCTACAAATGGCTGCAAAAGCCCATAAGACCAGAAAAACATTGAAGTGAAAAATCCTAAGTCTGAAATTGAGACTCCAAAATCGGGAGCAATCATTTTGGCGAGTACAGCTGGAGTAAATCTATGGAAATATGCAATAACATAGCATAAGCAACAAGTAATAACAGAAAGCCATTTTCGAATTTTGTATTTTTTCGATGTTGGGCCTATATCGTTTGCATTTTCTGTTGACAATGCTGAATTTAAGATGGAATCATCATCCATTAATTGAATTACGCTTTCGTTTACTTTTTAGCGCTTTTTTCATTGTTCTAGATACAAAAAATTACCATTAAACTATAGATACATTTAATACTAAAATCTATTTTTTACCCGAATTCACTTGGATAATGATTGTTTCAAAAAAATTAATTTCAAACTTTCTTAATTTGCTTGCATATTTTAAGAAAACATATGAAATGATGAATCAACGCATAATATTATATTAAATTTAGCAAACAAGCAATTTTATTTTCCTCAAATATCAAAACCTGCACATTCTGGACAATCAATTGGTTTTTGGCATTTACATTCAGATGCAAACCTAAATATAATAAAAAATGAACACAAGATTTATAAAATTTGTATACCAAATTTTATAACGTTCAAATTTTCTGAGGTTCATTCTCATTGAATTGGAAATTTTATCAAAATTTTCCAATAATATTAAACAATATCATAAAACAAATCAATCCCTCACAAAAATTATGTTGATGAAAATTCGGCAGAAATATTGAGAGAAAATCCTAAAAAGTGCCAGTTTCCGTCAATAGCATGAGTACAAATATACCGCGAAAAGCTCCTTATTCCTTCTTCGATGCACCATTACCAAGAGTCAATAAAGAAATGTTCCCGGTTGACCCTGCAATTCTCGGACGCTCAATTCCACGACCTTGCAGACCAATCGGACAAATTTCCAAGAGATTTGCAAACACACCAATCAAGACACTGCAACCGGAATGTCATGAGGTTAGGCGTTCTTGTTGTCAGTCTAATATGTTTGAATAAACCTCTATTTTTAATTGCTTTTTGCAATTTTAAATTACAAATCATAGTATGCCCCATAAGGTTCCATACTAAACCACTAATAAACATATTACCGCTTAATTTTTATTGATTTTCTATACATAATCTATTCTTATTTGTTCAATTTCAATAGACCATATTATATAATAAAACATAGTTTCCTGTGCTTTAAAAATGATTCAGGATTCTTTTATGAATTCCAGATAATATAATAAAATTTTCTTAATCAAAGATTAGATGTTAGTTAGATGCCCTAGAATTGCAAAATTTACCAAAATAAATAAATTCTAGTTGTATAATTTACCAAATCTAAATGGTGAAAATCATACATACATTCACACCAACTAGTTATGCATTTGGTGTCAATAAATGAAATTTTTAGGAGTTTGTTCAGATTGATTTTAAAAAATCATAATATTGAAGTTTGATATCTTGACTTCAGTATTTTTACGCACAATTAAAATGCTCCTACATTTGATATATATTGGTAGCACAAATGTTATTATGAAGGTAAACAAAAAGGTACTTTTTTTACACAATAATACCCTTCAGGTGAAGTATCTTTTGATTAGCAACGATAAATTTTGTATTTTTTTTTCATGGTGCAAATATCGAAATTGTGCAATGAATTAAAGCGTGCTCATGTTATTACGGAATGTGGTACATTGAGTATCAGTATTAATGATCGAATCATCAACACAAAGAAGTCTTCAGCGATTTGTTTTTCAGAATTAATCAAAGAAAAATATTATATTGATAAATCAATCACATCATTGAACACACATCTAGATATTACATGCCAAGATTCGATTGATATACTTTCAAACTTTATAGAAACAGGGAAACTTGAATTTGAAGCAGATGAGGCACATTATCATGACATATTCGAAATCGGCAAATATTTTGGAAATCAAATACTCATACAAATATATGCTAAACATGTTAAATCAGACAAATCTCTCACAAATGAAAACATTTTTAAGAAGTACGAAATTTCTGCATACGAAAACGATTCTACGACAATGAATGAATGCATCAAGTACATTTCATCACATTTCTACAGTCTGAAAGATGATGATATCATTACAAATTTTGTGAAAAATGGATTTGAATTTTGTGAAAAAATTTTGAAGTCAAAAGAACTGAAAATAGAAAATGAAGACAAACTATGTTTGTTACTTTTAGATACTTGCAGAAGAGACAGTACATTATTTGATTTATTTAGCTATGTTAATTTACAATTTTGTTCTTCAGAAGTTTATGACTATATTTATAATTTTTCAGTTGAAAACTCTTATGAATCAAGTCTTTTAACTATTTATAATGAAACATTGAAACATCATTCAAAATTAAGAAATAAATTTGAAATCTCAAATCAATCTATTACATCTTTCGAAAAACATTTGATTCAAAATCAATTTCAAATATCAGATCAACCTATTAGTATTTATGAATCAAGATATGTAGAAATTTCTAAAGAAATTCAAATGGAAATGACTGCTTCATCTATTTATGGTGGAAATTTATCCAATATAAATTCATATTTAGATTATGCTCATTTCGCTACAGATGATAAACCTAATTCATGGGTAAAAGCTGATCTAAAGGGATATAAATTAAAACCAAAATCATATATTCTACGATCAACATGTCTTAATAATTCTAGTTTATTGAGGAAATGGATGCTAGAAGGTATCAAAGAAGATGGAACATCTATTGTATTAGATAATCAATACTATGAATTTCAAAAAAGAGAAATCAAGGAATTTCCACTTCAAACTAATGATTATTTTGTTGCTTTCAAAATAACCCAAACAAAGAATTCAATTAATAGTGGCCATTTCAATATTACTGTTTTTGACTTCAAAGGAGAATTAATAAAAATTTAACCATTTTTTCATTCAATCATTAATAAGCATATCTTATACAACCTAAACACACTTATAACATATCTTTTTTAATCCCGTAATTAAATTCAGTAAGTAATTCTGGAGTTTTATATTAAAAATATGAATGTTGAAAAAAGAATCAAAACACAATCAAAAAGCTTAAGCTTTGACTGTTTTGAAAACACAATCTTAAATCATGTCATGTATTAGACCGCGAGATATGACACATACATAAGCAACTTGCTTTGATGTGTGATATCATAATTCGTTTGATGTTCATTAGTTGTCTATTCTATATTTTGATCGATTACAGTTCAGATCCTAAAATATTATAACAGCTTTATTAAGAGGAGTTTCTCCATATGTTGCAATATGATTAACTGAAGCAGATTATTCCGTCAATTCAGAAACAGTATCAGTTTTGTTCGATGCAATTGCATGATAAAGTGGTTTTTCTTTCCACACATATTTCTTTTTCAACAAAATAAATAATTTAATTGTTTCCTTTTTGAGCTGGCATGAGCAAATAAGCTTGAAAAATAACGAGGTTCTGAAATGATATTACTCAAAAAGAACTTAAGCTAATGGTATTTTTATTCATGGAAGAACAAAAAATGAAATTTATTAGTACAAGATGATAGATAAAATTTGTTATATAACAGAGATATTATCATGTATTCATATGTATGCATCTAAAATTAGTAGATTTTGCAAATTTGTTGGGAAGTATTGTTTGTTTGGTGTTCAGGAGAATAGATCATTGAAAATTTGTTAATATCTTGTCAACAAGCTATGCAAAGATCGTGGATAAGCATAAATTAAACAGAAATTGAGCATCATTTCAAAATATGTTAAAGCACTATATTAAGCAAAATATTATGTTATATCTGCTGGCAATTTTATTGGTGAAAAGTATTAAATTTGAAATATTATATTTGAACATACTATTTTCGAAGGTTAGATAATGACTAAAACTAACCAAATGATGAAGGAAATCAAAATTTCTTGAAAACAACGATAGTAATTTTTAATTGAAAAAATTAGGAACTAAATCAAAGTTAATTTTCAAATAAAACAAATAATATAATTATTCTAAGACTAGTTCAACATGTCCTCTTCAGTATTTAGTATTATATTCATCTGAGAGGCTATTCAAATGAAATTATCCGAAAAAGTATCAATCGAATAACGTATTTTATATGGAGGCAGGACAAAGTACTTCTAGGCCTAACAAAAATGAACCTAAAGGCGATCTTAGCTTAATTAATTATTCGAATACCCAAGTCAAACTTCAAAACTAATTTGGGCTGTCAACTTAAATAATATTGAACAATCATCATCCCAAATAATTGATTTCATTAAAAATAACAAAATACCTATCAAGATGCCATTTTATTTGATTGACATTTTTTCGGAAATGCGTCCTAAAGATATTAAATTATTTACAGAACTTTATCAAAACATATCAAACGAATTTTCATACATCGTCAAACCGAAAAATGAGAAACTAGCAGTGCTGTTATATAACAGGGGCTTTAAATTCGAAAACTTCAAATCTGAAATTGAAGAAGAAGAAATTCTGAATTTGTATTCAACAGAATCTCCTTTATTCTATATTGCATGGGATAAAGTTGATGACCTTAAGAGAAAATTCCCTAATCTTGATATTGATAAGGAAATAGATAATAAATTCATTCCACATGATCTTAAGAATAAATTCCCAAATCTTGATATTAATCACGGGATTAATAAGATCACTCCACTCGATTGTGCAATTAAATACGGATCAGAATTGTGTTTCAATTACTTGAAAAATTTAGGAGCTTATTATACTAAAAAATCCGAAGAATATGCCATTCAAGGAGGAAATCAAAACATTTTTATGCAAATGATAGAAGATGGTAAATCATTTGATAAAATGCTAAATATAGCATTAGATTATCAACAACACGAAATTTCTGAGTACCTTAAATCAAATTTTGGACAAACTCATAATTCAATAGCAGAAAGCATGTATTTTGGTAATTATGACGTTGCATCTTATTTACTTTCTAATGGAGCAGATATCAACGATATTTACATTTCTATTCATTTTATATCTATCATAGTTTTATTGCATTTTCTTTATTTTATTATTATTCATTATTTTATTGGATTCTCGCTTTTATTGTCACCTATGAATCCCCACTAAGTATTGCAATTAAAATTAATTCACTAGAAATTGCCAAATTCTTAGTTGAACATGGTGCTGATATCAACTTGCAACTTATTCTCTTTCTTTTTATATTTGTCAATATTTTATGGAATTCGTTTTCTCTTAATATTTATTATGGTTTTATCCAATTATCTTTCTCTTAATATTTATCATTGTTATATCATATTCTTTCTATTCTAATGATTGTCCTCTTAGTGTTGCAATTAAAGAGAAATCAATAGAAATTGTCAAATTCTTAGTTGAACATGGCGCTGATACCAACATGATGCGTATTTTCTTTCTTTTGATATTTATTATTTTTTTATTATATTCTCTTTCTTTTGATATTTACCATTTATTTATACTATTCTCTTTCTCTTAATATTTATCATGGTTTTATCCAATTATCTTTCTTTTTATATTTAATATTGTTTTATTTGTTTCTCTTGCCTTTGATATTTATCATTGCTTTGTAGAATTCTCTTTCTTTCTATATTTAATATTGTTTTATTCGGTTCTCTTGCCTTTGATATTTATTATTACTTTATAAAATTATCTTTCTTTCCATATCTTTCATTGTTTCAAATAATTCTTTTCATACCATGATAACCCCACTATGCATGGCAATTAAAGCTAATTCAACAGAAATTGTCAAAATCTTAGTTGAACATGGTGCTGATGTCAACATGCCACTTATTCTCTTTCTTTTTAAATTTGTCAATGTTTTATGGAATTCTCTTTCTTTTCATATTTAGCATTGATTTATGAAATAATCTTTCTTTTCATATTTATTATTGTTTTATTGGATTCTCTTGATACCAATGGCTGCCCTATTACTACTGCAGTAAAGAAAAATTCACTAGAAATTGTCAAATTCTTAGTAGAACACGGTGCTAATGTTAATGCGAAAATTATTCTCTTTCATGCTATATTTATCATTATTTTAATGTAGTTCTCTTTCTGTTCATATTTCTCATTGTCCTATTACATTCTTTTTAATATAACATTTATCATTATTTTAGGGAGTTCCCTTTATTTTCATATTTATCAAAATTTTAGGAAGTTCCTTTTATTATCAAATTTATCATTGCTTTCCCCTACTATATATCATTGTTTTATCAAATTTCATTTCTTTTCATATTTATCATTGCTTTATATAGTTCTATTTCTTTTCATATTCAACATTGCTTTATGCAATTTTCTTTCATTTCAATTTCATCAATGTTACATGGAACTATCTTTCTTTTGATACTTATCATTATTTTATAATGTTCTCTCTATATTAATGATTGTCCTCTTAGCATTGCAATTAAAAAGAATTCAATAGAAATTGTCAAATTCTTAGTTAAACACGGTGCTGATGTCAACCTGTACCTTATTTTCTTTCTTTTCATGCTTATCATTATTTTATTGGGTTCTTTTTCGTTCCATATTTATTATTGCTTAATAGAATTTCCTTTCTCTTTCTTATCATATATATCATTATTTTATGGAATCCTAATAATTTTTATGGCATCCTCTTACTTATCATGTTCTTTCTATATCAATGTACACCCTCTTGATATTGCGATTAAAGAGGAATCAACAGAAATCGTCAAATTCTTAACTGATCATGGGGCCAAAAGTGCTTAATATTTTTTTAGGAATAAATATTAACAACTATTGAAGATACCCACTATTTAGGATAAATTGGGAGTTGTGTGATATCAACTTGTCTACCGGTCAATCTCTTCAAATATATAGAACTTATCAATGCTAAAATTTATTGTCACTTTTGAGTTCCTCACACAGACCCATAAAAGTGACACAAAGAACAAATACCCATTTTTATTTTTAAAAATCGACGGTTCTAGGGAAAAATACCTGTCCAACAAGCTTATTTAATATGTATATTATTTTACAAAAAGAAATAAGCCAAAATTCTTGAGTAACATCATTTCTTTCGAAAAAAACTCGAAAGTATTCAATTTTTTTGAAAGGGAATTATCAATGTTTAGGGAAGAGAGCAGTAAAGAGACTTTATATAAGAAAATGAGTTTAATTAATTTTGATAGATCACACAATTTTTGAAGCATCTCATGTAGATTGGCAGATACCACGATTAGTTCAAATGCTAAATTAATATATTTTTACCAAGCTTATGATTTTCATTACGGAGATAACTCTTCAGAATTTTATTTGAGAATTTATCAGTTATCTTCACTATCGACTTTACATGTCTGTATTTTATACATCACAGATTAAAATTTGAAAGTCAGAAATTAATTCAGAATGATTTCTTGATGAGCTACTTCAAAAATATGAAAATTTATGGATTTCAAGTAATCGGAAGCGCGATCCTTTACCATGGTTCCCAGAAAATGTAGTGGTTTCTATATGCAAAAGAGCAGAAACATTACTCAAGAATGAACCAATCATAACGCAAGTTCCTTTTCCTGCGTTAGTTGTAGGAGATCTACACGGTAACATTCAAGATCTATTTCGTATACTTAGATTGTTCAATAGACCACCTCATGAACGGATTGTTTTTCTTGGTGATTATGTTGATAGAGGTAACTCATCATTTCATGTAATTTTACTTCTGTTACTACTTTACTGCAAATATCCTAATCATATTACATTATTAAGAGGAAATCATGAATTTGAACAAATCAATCGAGTTTATGGTTTTTATTCAGAATTGTCAATGATTTATAACAGTGATATAGCTTATAGAGCATTTCAATCCGTCTTTTCAATGATGTCTTTTGCTACAATTATTGGGAAATCAGCAATTTGCCTTCATGGTGGTTTGAGTCCACGCTTCCAACTATTAGGAGATATTGATAAAATACGGAAACCTCTCATCAATACTAACTATTTTCCATCAGTTAGTGATGTTGTTTGGTCGGACCCTTCTGACCCACTTTCATGTTATGATATGAATGGAAGAGGAACAGGATACTTCTTTGGAGAATTAGCAACCAAGGAGTTTCTGCTTAAAAATAACCTGAAAGTTCTTATCCGAGCTCATCAGTTTAATTCCAATGGAATTAAGTCATTTCATAACGAACTAGGCTTAACTGTATTTTCAGCAACAGATTATCAATGCTACTCCAACAGATCAGGTACAATCAGATTTCAAGAAAATGGAGATTGTTATTGCTATAGCTTTGGTCCAGAAAATGATCATTATCTTCCAATACCGATTATCCTACAGTTAAATGATACAATTGGTTTCAGATTTGCTGATAATAATAAGAAACATATTAGAATGCTCAGAGGAAAAGAGAAATTCATCTTTCATGAAGTAAAGGACGTAAAAAGCAATATTAGATTATCTCAATCTCCAAAATCACCAAAAACTTTTGATGGTGAATTTAATTTATCATTTACTGTTCCAGAGCCTAAACAACACCATCATCCCAGGAATTCCCATCATACTATTGATCCAGAAGTTGTTTCTCCACGTAATTATAGAGAAAAATTTATAGAATCTAAAAAAGATAAAAAGGAAACAACTCCAAGCAACAGAACATATCGAACAATGGACAAATTCATTGTTCACACACCTGTTATCAAACTTCCTAAGGTTCCTAAAGAAATTAAAGAAGATATGACAGAACCTCTTCCACAGAAAGAAGAAAAGACAAAAACAATTCCAAAGTCATCCAAAACGAGTAAGAAAACAAAGAAGAAATCATCAAAAAAGAAATCAACTAAAAAATCAAAGAAAATAATGCCAAAAGAAGAAAATATTTCCAACGCTCAAACACTTGATGAAAGAATTTCATTCCCCAGAAGGAAATCTCCAAAGCAACCTAAAATTTCTATTAATATTCCTTCAATGCCGCCTCTTCCGGATTCTCCAATCCAGAACTATAGGCCAAGTTCTGCAAGAAGGCCAATAGCTGCTAATTAGATATATTATTGTATGTATATATATAGATAAACATTTATTTGAATTTTTGCGTAATAACTTTGTGCTTTTATCGTATATGACTATCTATTACTTACGTATACAATCATGTCGATCATTTTAGTTGGTGAATGCAATAAAATCCGCCTAAATGAGAGTTCAATGTTTATAGATTTAAGAGTTTTTGGTATTTAGCATTCATATATAAAAAGGAATCATTTACTGTTATAGAAAGTTCGGGAATAATGACAAAATACCTATAACGTCGGTCAATTAATTGTTGTAAGCATAATTACGAGTAAATCACTATCACAGGTATCATATTTCTTCTTGAGTTATACTACTTAGGGTTCTTATTTGTGTAATTCAATTCAAATCAATTTCAATTTCTGAACTCGGAACAAAGAATGAATCTGAGTTAGAGAAATCGTACAAATTATAGTATAGATTATTGGGCATTTATTTGTTTTGAGCTGATCGCATTTCCCTTTTCTGAGGCCGATAAAGTAAATCCTCTCAAAAGTGCCATTATTCAATTTGATACTTTCGAATTAATTGAACAAATTTACTGATAATAATCAAATTAACAAATTCACTCGATGCTCAAATTTTGATGAGGATTCAAAAATCTAATAACAGTACAATTCGTTCCGCCTGGTTTTATATATCTCAAACCTTTGAATAGTGGGTTCTTAGGTCCATCGTATATCCTTAAAAAAGAAGATAATAACAAATTATACATCTGCAAAGCTTTTTCAAAAAAGGCAATCGGCGACGAAGCTGATGTGGACAATTTCATACAGACAATCAGAATTGTTAGAGGATTAAAAGAAGCTTGCTTTCTTCCATACCACTATTATTACAATGAGGAAGGATTTGTTTATGCCATTCGACCATTTTTCGAAGGGTTAGACCTTTATTCATACATAACGAACTGCGATCTTGATATTAACAGCATTTATGCCCAATGGAAAGTCCTAGTTCGAATTTACAGACATCTTCATAAACGAAAGATTGCACCGAATACAATCAAAGCATCAAACATCTTTGTAGAAAATGGAACAGTAGCATTTATTACCGATATATACCCTCCACCGAAAAGTTTTAATCCTACAATTCATAAATCAAATCCATTTGACGTTGGATTTTTATCACCGGAATATTTGACTTTAGGATGCCCACCTTCCTATAAATCTGATATCTGGTCATTAGGAGTCCTACTTTGGTTTATGGTAACAAAAAAGTTGCCATGGAATGTTAATAACATTGTTGTCATGCTTAAACAGATACAAAGAGCCACACCTGAGAATTCAAACTCTCTTCCTGATGAAATTAAAGAAATCATGGCAACAATGCTCCAATTCAATCCAGATTCAAGAGCTGAAACAGAAGTATTAGTGCATACAATGCCTGGCAAACAGATTGCTAAATTACCTCCAATTGGCCCTGAAATTAGATCAAATTCTTTAAAGATTGCAGGAGATATTGTAGTTAAAAAGCTCAAAGGATCACCTTCTTCTCCTATCACATTGAATGGAATCAAACCCTCTCCTCACAGAATTTCTTTGGATGACAGCGACAGTGGAGACAAAAAAATCCACGCTGCTGGCGGAAATCAAAATATCCAACTAAATATCCCAACAAAATTCACTAGAAGAGTTGGAATAATATCTCGTCAAGGATCTCTAACAACAATACAGAGATTTGCTCCGAAATGATTAATTTTAACATTTTATTTGTATGATAATACTAAATATATTTTTATATTCTATGTTTTCATATCTGTTTTGCTTACCTTCTTCATTTCTTCATTTGAATTTCATTTAGAAGCAGGGATATAAATGAAACTCATTAACACTAGCTATTGACTGTTTATGTTTAAGAATCAAATTGATATAAATTTTAATAATTTCAAAATAAAAAAAAAATTGCTTTTGTATCTTTCATTTAAACCTAGAATGACATCTCAACTTTAATGATATCTCAATGCTATCTTCAAATGCTTTCATTCACTCATTTCAAGCTACATGATTGAAAAATTAACTGATAATTATCACATTATTTAAATAAAAACCACAATAAATAACACATATACTAGAGAAAACATCAACATAAGTTAAAACGAAAATACAAACAAAATTTTTATAAATAAATCTCAAACATGAGGGAAAGTCATATTAAGAGTCTCAATTATATGGTCTGCACATTTTTCTAGACAAGCAAGTCTGCGAATACCGGTTGAACTGATCGTTTCCACTCTCTTTTTGATAGATCTGACTAATTTCAGTGCTGCTTTTGCAATTTTCTTCATAGACACAGGATCAACAGTCAGAGCCCATTCACAACGCATAATGGCTACAATGTTAACATAATCCTTACCAATTGCGCGTGGTGAAAGATCAATATTTGGTAATTGAGAAACTAAACACTGGCGAAGTGCTTCACTGATTGTATCATTCTCCAAAAAGGCCGATGCCGAGAAATATCCAGCATATAAAGCACAAACATCTGGTCCAAAGACTCTATTTGTGATTTCACTGAATTCTTCTGAATTTGCACTCATTGCTTTCCAAATTGTTTTCTGGCATTGTTCACGGAGTTGTAATCCGATATCAAAAGCAATGGATTTAACTCGCTTGAAAAATTCTTCAAATAAAAGAAGCCATTTTTCACCTTCAATGAGGACAAGAACATTTCCAAGGGTAGAAATGTATAAATTGGAGACATTTTCCTCGTTTTCTATTCCGGTAATGGCTAAATCGAAAACCATTTCTCTTGGAATATCGAATTCGATGGCGAAATTCGGGAGATGTCGAAATGGCATCCAATGATCTATGGAATTAAACAAAGATGGGAAATTTGAAAAATGATCTAATATTGGCTTAATTGTAATGAAAAAGTTTTGACTTGAGTAATCAATACTCGCTAATCTTAACCTATGAGATAAAATGGCTGCAATTTGTTCAACATCTACAGACTTATAGTCCAATTCTGTAAATTGCTGTGATAATTTGAGAATTTTTGAGCGACATTTGATTGTACTGATTGGACTAATTGATGAAAAAAGGGCAGTCAATATTACTGGCTGTCCTTTTGAACATCTTTTCAATAAATAATTAATTAAGTCGCTATTTGCAAGTCTGAGGTCAGTATCGGCAATTATATCGGATACAGGTGAAAGGAAAGAGACAGTATCAATGTCTATAATAGGTGAGCAAAAAGACCAAATTAAAAACCCAGCAAATGCAGAACCGCAGCTTCTCTTAATAAAATCGTACAGGGATTTTACCATGTGATGATACGAGGTTGGTAAATTATAAGACTCTGTAAAAATTACGTCGGAATAAACATGATCTAAATAATTTCGTAATCTTGTTGTCAAATACTTTGAAACTTTGTATGGAACATCTACTTCTTTTAATAATCTTGATATTATAAAGAGACCAACAATTAAAGAAGGCGATTCTTCATTTTCAAATTGGCCAAGAAATTTTATCAAATGTAATGATGAAGAATTCAGGTATTTAGCTAATTCACTAGTATATGCTGAGTATTCTTGTAATACGGTCATACAAACTTGAAAATGTTGAACAGGCTGAGGAGAAACAGTACATAAAACAGGAAGGATATAGTAGAGCATATTGCTAGCTTTATTTCCTGTGTAGTGTGAAGCGTCATACAAAATGGTCTGATTATTATCGAACCTAATGTTAATCTGTTGACCGTGAGTATGAGAAAGTAAATGATTTACTGATACATTGATCTGAAATACACTTCCGTTCAAAGGTGTCTCTGATACAACATTAAATAGCTGAATTCGATTTTCTAATAGGTTTTGTGTATAAATTGTTGTATTTTCAAGTTGCCTGTAAGTAAGAGTTATTGATTGAGGTTTTGGACAGTATACAAATACATAGTAAGAACGTATGGCAGTGGAATAAGCAATATCATTTTCATCCTCAATCATTAATAATGAAAACTCTTTTATGAAAAACAATATATACAGCTTTTTAAGAATGAGAACTAAAAAAATATTCATATACACGGGATACTTGTCAGCTTTTATCGGCGCGAATAAAAAATACAACTCCTAGAAGTTTCAATGAAGATTTATGTGATTTTAGATTTTATAAAAAGTGCGAGTGAGGAAAAGGAAAATATGATCCAGAAAGGTCTATTTTTTTCAGTTTGCTTAATCGAGGCTCTATAAGTCTTTTGAGTTGCTCACTATGTGAGTAAGATTTTTACTAGTTACAGCCTAATAAAATAATTAAATGATATGATACTTGCATATTTCAATAACAGATAAAGTTTGATTCGGCAATCAGTCATCAAACCAACCTAATAGTAATAATATATATGCAGATAGAATAACATCAATTTCTGCAATTCAATTCATCATTACCTATAATTTAGAGAAATTTGGTATCATTTTCATCAATATTTAAAAAGGAAAATACTACCATTAGCTGGTGTATGGTATCACATTGACAGATTTATAGCCAAACAATGAATGTAATTACTTTTGTAATTGAAAATTTTGAAAAAGTAATAAAATTGAAGCGATAAAAAATTGCAACAACAGCTAATTATATTCTAAATACAATATATAATAGAATATTAAAATCAAAAATGGTGATTGGATAATTTAAGAACTGTCAAATTAATGAACGATACATTCATAATTTTTAAAATGTGACATGATTTCAGAAATAGAATCAATCATTCTAAGGATATACATCCAAAATTGCAAAAAGAATTTCGACCACTAAGGGATGAAGGCCTATCGTCAAATTCATTCACAAAAATTGAGCTCATTTTTTTGAAAGGAGAATGTTCTTTCTCCTCAGAAATTATGAATAGGGATGGTCGTATCACTTTTAATAACAATGAACGCCGAGCACGACGCTATTGTTAAGGAATGCATTGCCGAGGCTGCCAAGTCTGAGGACCCAATCGGCACACTCTCCGTCCTTCTTAAGAAGAAGGCTCCAAAGGCTCTCATCGAGAAGGTTGTTGGCCGCGAAGTTCTTGACTCCCGTGGCAACCCAACAGTCGAAGTTGATGTCTACGTAAAGTACCTCGGCCGTATCACACTCGCTGGCCGCTCCTCCGCCCCATCTGGCGCTTCAACAGGTGTTGGTGAAGCCCTCGAACTCCGTGATGGCGACAAGGCTCGCTATGGTGGCAAGGGCACACAGAAGGCCGCCAAGAACGTTACAGAGGTTCTTTCCCCAGCTCTCAAGGGAATGTGCTTCTGCGACTTCCCAGCCCTCGACAAGAAGATCTGCGACACAGATGGCACAGTTCTTAAGAAGAACGTTGGTGGCAACGCTTGCACAGCTACATCCTTCGCTCTCGCCGAAGCTGGTGCTGCCATCCAGGAAATCGAACTCTTCCAGTACCTCGCCAAGGCCTTCTATGGTGGCTGCGACAAGGTTCCAAAGAAGTTCAAGCTCCCATCTCCATTCTTCAACATCCTTAACGGTGGCAAGCATGCCGGTGGCAACCTCAAGTTCCAGGAATTCATGGTTACACCAACACGCAAGGTTCCATTCCCAGACCAGCTCCGCATGATCGCCGAAGTTTACCAGAAGCTCGGCGGCATCCTCGTCAAGAAGTACGGTCTCTCCGCTAAGAACCTTGGTGATGAAGGTGGCTTCGCTCCAAACCTTGACTCCCCAGAAGAGGCCCTCGTCGTTATCGAGGAGGCCATCAAGGCTGCTGGCTACGAAGCTGGCAAGGATGTCTTCATCGCTATGGATGTTGCCTCATCCGAATTCTACGACGAAGAGAAGAAGCTCTACGAAGTCGAAGTTGGCAAGTTCCTCAACGCCGACCAGATGATCGAGTACTACGAGGACCTCCTCAAGCGCCACCCAGCCATCGTCTCAATCGAAGATGCTCTTGGCGAACTCGACTACGAGAACTGGACAAAGCTCAACGCTAAGATCGGTGACAAGGTCCAGCTTGTCGGTGATGACCTTTACACAACAAACCCAATCACAATCAAGAAGGGTCTCGAGGGCAAGTGGTGCAACGCTCTCCTCCTCAAGGTCAACCAGATCGGTACAATCTCCGAGGGTATGGAGGCTGCCCGCCTTATCCTCAACGCTGGCCACCGCGTCATGGTTTCCCACCGCTCTGGCGAAACATGCAACTCCGTCATCGCTGACCTTGCTGTCGCCATCGGTGCTCAGGCCATCAAGACAGGTTCAACAGCTCGCGGAGAACGTATCCAGAAGTACACACGCCTTCTCCAGATCTACGACTACCTCAAGGAACACGACATGCTCGCTGAGGAATAAACATCTTTCCTGATTTATTATTATTGACAAATCACAATAATTTTTATCAAAATATTTACTCAAAAAATGTGGATTCTCTATAACATATATCTTCTATAAATTGTTAGAACTCCATTAATTTAATAATAATTTAAAAGGATTGAAGGTTTTTGATTGACATATTTTTAATTTTAGAACATAATTCATGCTGGACTAATGATATATCATAAAAACAGTCACTGTATTCAGAATATTACATTTACTAAGTTGGATTTGTTAGGGAACAAAAGTTTATTTTGAAATTTTAGTAATATATTTTTAAATTTAAACTTTATTAACAAACAATAAGGAATAGGAAATATGTAGTATAAATACCTATTTTGAATTAATTGTTATATCAAAAAGGTTTTCCAAAAATATTTATTTTAAATTGAGTTGAATTATGTAGTTCAAGAGGTAAATACTGGAACAGTCAAACAATTGTGACACATGAATATCCAGATTATGATCGCTCGACTTTTTTATTTTTGAAATTACGATTAATTTAAGTTGAAATTCATTTCAAAATGAAATGTAGTAATTAAAAATGCTTAGACATTGCAAGATAATCTATGCATTGCTTTCTTCGTCACAGAATTTTGCATGTTTTTCGTAATAATATAATACTTCTTGTGGATAGCGAGTTCGCACTTCTTCTTCAGTGTATTCAAACGTTTCTTTTGATTTTTTATGATAGAATTTAATTAGCTCTTCTTCATCTTGGATTTTCATTCCAAGAATTACAATTTCGTGTTCAGGAGGTGATGTTTTGATAAGAATCGAATTAATGTATTCAATGATGATATTTTTATCTCTAAACGCGCTGATAGATAACCAAGAATACTGAAATGCAGTAATATTACTCTTCCAACGTACGAGATATTGAATATGGCCATTGTTCTCACGATGGCCAACAATTGAATCAATATTTTCTCGAGTTGGAATTAATGAAACAGGTTTCATAATTTTTGGCACTTTTTTTGATATGAGTCAATTGAGTAAAATTACTTGAGAGAGGACGGGGATAGATCTTTCGAGAAAAGAAATATCAGATCTCTTAATTTAAAATGTTGTATTAATAAAATGGAGAAACTCCTCTTCATCAAGCATCTAAGTAAATTTTCCAGTTTCAAGATGTCTTATAAATCAATAATTATACATTGATCTTTGTTTTAATCTAGGAGACTTGTATTAGTTTTTTTCTCCCTTCCTTTATGTTAGCTGGCTTTTTGTAGTGAAAATCCGGCCACAAATACTTTCCCTATTCCTATTTTGACTTGAAAAAGAGGCACATTACACACTGTTGTCCCAGCTTTCACGTCAAGTATGTTAGCCCTTGAAGGTGGACAGGCTACTCTTTATGTGACACCATCCAATTATATTAAAAGTATGACAAATCTTCTTATTTCATTTTGTAAATCCGAAACAAGTCTTGGTAATTTTTTTTGAATAAACATTTTAAGTAGAGTGCGAAATTATTACTAAAAGTATTTAATGAGTGTAGTTTAGTCAAAATATTATCACAATTTATTATTTTATTTTTCAGTCAAATAATGAGTTCGCCCTTGGAACAACAATTCGAAGTTTTTGTTGGTAAATTCCAACAAGGTGCAGAAGATACACATGATTTTCTTAAAAATATGATGCAAGACCCAGATTTTCTTCGAATTCCAAGTTCAATATTGGGAAAAAATGAATATCCAGATTTTCTTTTTATGATTTTACAAGCTTCTCAAGCTATTATTGAAAACAATTGGGATTATAGCAACCCAGTTTGCATGGAATTTTTAAAAAATTTGGTATTTTTTCTTGCACCAAACTCTAATGAAAACAATGACACAATTTCCTTATGCATTGATATACTCACATTCATTACGCTGAATTATTGGCCGCCATTTCCTTCTGAAAATAATGATTCTCAATCAGATTACATTTTACTGGTTGGAATCTCGTTTAGTTCTCTTTCAATCATAGCCAAAGTTCTATATAAGCAAATAACAGATCCAAATTATCGAAATCAACAAAGTATTCAACAAATACAAAATATCAGCTCCAAACACGAAGATTTCGACAAAGCAATTCAGTTCTTACTAAGTATCATCGAAACTAATCCAAACAAAACAACTTACGTTTTATTATTTGATTTTATTTCCGACATGAGCAAGATTTACGCGTTTGAGTATTACCCAGAAGCCATAAGTACATTTTTTGTTAATAATCAGCAAGAAGAATACTTTCCTGCTTTATCTCGGCTGATTTTGACTCAACACGTACTTGGAAACACTGAAAGATTGATTCCCATTGGCGAATTCATTGGAAATTTCATAAATTTGTCAATAAATCCGAAATTAATTGTCGAAAATTCGGATTTCTTTGAATTATTTACAGATCTAGCTCCACAAATCTCCATCATGAACGATACATCTCATCCAAACTCAGAAGAAGAACCAAATAATCCAAATCCATTTGAAAAATATTTATTTGACCATTTACAAGGAGTTTTACTTTTAATTTCGAACCTTACAAAAGAGAGACCAGATTTTGTACAAAAATTTCTCAAAATTTTTGAATTTTTAATTTCCAAAAAATTTAAGCATTTAATGAGCATTGTACACTGGCAATCAATTTACTACAGTGTACTGAACATTATTCCAGCGTTTTTCAAGGTTATTGATGACAAAATAATTTTTGAAAATAATCCTCAAAATAAAATGTTCCAAATGTTCTCTTATGCATTATCATTGATAACATCAGCACATGATGAACAAATTTTCTCTCTAATTCAGAGTTATTTCGTTGAAATTGTTAATAATCAAGAATCTTTTGAAGAAAACATGGAAAAAATTGAAAAACTGATATCTATGTTGATTATAATACTCCATTATTCAAAAGATACTTCGCGATACTCAGAAATTATTAACTTTTTTATTCAGAACATCCAGAAGCCACAAGAAGACACTATTTATCAAAATGAGCTCATATTCTTCTTTATTTCGCAAATTAGTGATGTTTTACATTCAAATGTTTTTTCTGGACTTTTAGGAGGAATTTACGACCAATTTTATCAGCACTTGGATACAGATAATTACATGTATCAAATGTTTATTGCAAAATGTTTGTTTTCTTTCATTAATTTAGACTTTTATAATAATTCTAACAATAGACAAGCCATTGCCTATTATCTGAATAACATGAAGGTACAAGGACTTATGGAGATGATAATTCCTAGCTTCGAACCAACTTTGGCCAAGCTTCATCCCCTTTCTTTGCCAGATTTCATAAAATTCAATCAAATCCTGCCATTTATGCTTAACTACATAAACTGCAGGAAACAGGGGTTATCAACTAGGTTAAATCAATTCAGAAAAAACACAGAAATTCATTTGTTAAATTTCCTTAGCCAACAACTTGAATCGTTTAATCCAAGTGACATTGAGAGTCTACATACAACATCTATTGCCGTGAAAATGATAAATGACTTAGCTTCTGCGATTTATAAAAAAGATATAGTTTCAGATAAAGAAAACAAGAATATTTATACCGGAGTATCAATGATAATTGAAAAGCTCCCAGTTCTTCTTGAAAATATCAATGGAAACATCGAAGCAGCAAATAATCAAAATTCAATTCAGGAATATTTCAATTCTGACCTGTTTTCCATGCATTATAAACTTTTCAAGAAGATGGTTAAGCTTATTTCATTACAGCCTCAATTCCTTCCTAAAGAAGACTACATTCAATTGTTCCTTTCGACTCCTCAGGCTTTTTATACTCAAGACATGGCTGAAAGACTATACATAATGTTCCAGACCTATCCTTCTGATGAAGAATCCCAAAAAAGTTTTGATTTCGTATTAAATTCTCTCTTTTTAATGGAAAATCCACCAAAAGACATCATGTCTGCTTCTATAAAGTTCGTAACTAGTTTTGTTTCCAATAATAATGCAGAAATTTTGCAAAGATATATTTTCCCAATTATTCAGAGAATCATTATGTTCTGTAACTGTCCAATTATTGATATATCAAGGAATGCGCTTAATTGTCTGTCTAAATTCATTTCTGATATGGATTCCGAGCATAAACAAAAAACCAGACAGGAAAATTATGCTCCAAGTTATAAAGATCTAATAGTTGTGGCTACAGAATCAGGAGAGATGACAATTATTGAATACATTTTCATAGAAATTATTGGATTAATTTCTCTTGGATATTTGAAGTTTAATTTCGATCGGTTCCTTAATATCTTCTCAACTGAATTAGTTTTCGATCCAATTCAGCAGAATTTTGACAAAATTTTGGATGAAAAACTTGGAACACATGAAGGAGAGCTTCCTGATCTCATTAGAACACTTGTGTTTGACCATAGCAACGAAGCAAACCATCATAGACCGAATATTTTGAAAAAAGTTTTTGTTTTATTTTCTGGAGTTTCCTATGCCGATCCAGATTTCAACATTCGTTATAGGAATACAAAATAACTTTATTTATTTTGTTAATTTATTAATAAATATTATATTTGATAAAAATTTTATTAACAAGTCTTTGGAATCGAAGAGTTTGGAACAAGTTTGATAAAAGGATTATTGGTTTTTTATTCTCCAATGATTGATTTTAGATAATCTATCATATCAGAATTATCTTGAATTGATTCTGCAATATTTAAGATAGAAACTGTGTCTACATTTGGTGACTTTTTCTTTTGTATCATGACTTTATAATCTGCGCCATTATTTATTAGATATTTAACTAAATCTAGGTTCTTACTTTGAACAGAAAGACTTAATGGTGTATAATATAGGAATCTCTTCTTCGTTGAACACATGTCATTGCAGTTTGCGCCTTTTTCAACAAGATATTTTGCAATTTCGAGGTTTCCTCTTTTACAACACATCATTAAAGGCGAAATGAAAACATGAGGATGTTTCTCAACTCGTTCATTCACATTCATTCCTTTTTCTAGAAGCTCTTTAACAATATCGAAATGTCCATACTTGCACGCGTACATCAAAACATTTGGAGCTTTGCTATCTTTATAAATTGGAGAATTTTTATGAAGAATTTCAAGAGCAACTTCATACAAACCATTTTTGATTGCATAAGAGCATAAATCATAATTCCTTATAATCTCTGTTTCATCGGATCTATATGGATATCTATAATACTTTGCTTCAGTCTGAATAAAAGTCACATTTGCACCTTTTTCAACAAGATATTTTGCAATTTCTTTGTTTTTCATCTTGATTGCGAAAGAAAGCGGCGAATAACAAAATTTATTCTGTGGTAAGCAAAATGTTGTATTAACAGAACAGCCTCTTTCAACAGCAATCTTCAAAATGTCAAAGTTCTGATGAATAGAACTAGAAATAACTGGTGTGAAATCTTGAATTTCTTTGAATTGGAAATTTTCTTCTAAGAAATGAAGAATTTTTTCTCTTGCAACAATTTTCTCTTTTTGGTTGATGACTTTCTTTACTTCTTCTACTTCTATTAGTTTATCTTCATGAGAAATGTCTATATTTAGTAAGTTCATGGACTTTTCAAATAATTCTTTTTCATTTATCAAAGAAAAATAATTTGAAAATTCTTCAAAAGGCTTTCTAATTGTGTTTTCATGTTTGGCGTTGATCCTTCCGAGTTTGTTCATAAGTAAACATATCTCTGTGTTGCAAAAATTATATAATGATGAATAAGCTGTCACGTTTTTGAAAGATAATCTATAAATTGACAAAATCCATTCAGCGACATCATTTCTATTATATTCAACAGCAAGTTTAAATGCTTCTTTGTAGTCTTTCTTTGATATGGAATTCCTTTTAGTGAATGCAGCTTTAATAAGTTCGAAACTACCGCCAATAACTGATAAAAATATATCTGGAATGAAATCAGTCGAATTTAATACCAAAAAATGGTAACAATTGATCGAATTCCATTTCGTTGCAATATCTAGCATATCGTTTATCTTCGGCCAATCAAAATTGCTGGATGAAGTTATCTCTTGCAATTTATGAAGATCATCAAAAGCAATTATATTTGAAATGTAATTATTCTCGAGATTTTCGAAATAGTGGGATTTTGATTGATCATCAAAATTCCGAATCCTCATAAATTGTTTGTTCATGATATCATAATAAAATTTATTATCAATTTTAGAAGAAATAATATCAAACGCTTTTAAAAATACTTGGACCTTCTTTCTACGCTTCATTCCTGCGTAGCTTATTACTCTGAGAATATGATTGGCTGGAACAATTTTTGTATCAATTAAATCTATAAGGAGGTGACATGAAATTTCGAGATTTTCCATGTTTAGTCCCCAAATTACAGTATCTGCTTTGCATAAGTTGCTTACAATATCCTCTAAAAACGAGATTGGTTCTTGGGCACTCAAAAAATAAAAGTGACTCCCTAAAATTTTCATTCAATTATATCAGCGCGAAGCACTGATTGTAAGTATCTGAATATACTGTGTTGTTTCATATTTTGCGTTATTTCTGTTGAGAAAATATGTAAACATATATATGCCATGTTAGACAAAGCAACATATTTCATATCTAAAAATTAATTTCGAGAAAGCTCTGCATTTTGAGAGCGCTTACATATATAAATCAACAAATACTGATAAAGAGCAGAAATTCTCTATTTATTCAATGAATGATAATAAGAAAATCTGGAATGTATGATGTACTAAAATAAACAGTAAAAACTAGATAATTTATCTTAATATACATAACATTTATTTATTTTGTGGTAAGTTTTGTTGTCTGCGCAACATTTGTTCTAACAATTTTCGATTCTGTTCAAGTGTGTCGATAGGCTTAATTGTATTGTCAGTATTAACTGTATTCGTTTTTCTAAGACTTTCTCGCTCCATGATTCTCTTAAGCGTAGAATTCCATCTATTTTTAACTGAATTATCAGTTCTTCCAGGAAGTCTTCTGGCAATTTCAGCCCATTTGGGCCCGATTTGCTTCATTGTAGTGATGAGAATATTATCTTCTTCTTGTGTCCAAGAACTTCTATTAATATTCGGATCTAAACGATTGCACCATCTTTCGCGACACTGCTTTGGAATTCTTCCTGGTAGTAATTCTGCAAGTGATGACCATTGACTTGGTCCGTTTTTGGCAACCCAATCTATAATTATCTGATCTTCTTCTCCAGTCCAAGAGCCACGTACAATATTCGGATTTACAACTTTATTCCAATGTGCAAGTACTTGTCTGTTTGTCTTTCCTGGGAAATTCTTCGCGATTGTGCTCCAGTCTCGTGAATGCTGAACTAATTCGGCAAGTAATTTATCTTCCTCGGGAGTCCAGCTTGCAGGTCCCATTGCCTTTGTCCGATTGCGAGTTCTTGTAGGGGCTAATGGGTTTAACTCGTGTGCTGAATCAGACTCCTGATTCATATTTTAAACAATGTAGCCGTTTAAAAATTAATATACACGAATCCACTTAGTTTTAGAGGATTTCATATATCAAATTATAAAGTACCTTTTATTATGAGATTATTGGAATATATGAAATTAAAACTATTTAACTTCAATGGATTGATATTGCAGATGATGAAAAATTTTCTGATTTTTCAAAATTATCGATACATATCATCTATGTTTTAGTTACTTACACGATCCTTATGTTGCAATATATATCATATTGTTGGTAAAATTATATGATTGCAATATTACTAGTTAAGGTTGTATAACTAATGTATATGAAGTCGAGAGAGCTATAAATGGTGGATTTAAGTAAAATTAGATGATTTCAATTCACTCAAGAGAATTTCATTTTGAAAATTAAACCATATCGCCTTCCACAAAATGATTTATGCAAAATACATGCATAAACTTTCATTAGATTGTCCAATTGTGAATACATTTCAACAGCATTCTTATATATTAAACAATATAATATTCACTTAATTTTTTATTTAATACAATACAATAACAATGATATACTGAAGCTAAACAAAAGAGAGAAACTATTCATTGAGTCATGAATTATTGGCATTTTTTTGTGACTCGAAGAATTTCAAAATCTTATATGTTTCTTCGGAGTACTGAGTCTGCGGGAATGTATTTTGGTCGAGTTTATAGAAAATTGGATATGCAAAAACGTTTTTGTATATTGCTCCTATAATCTGATCAAAAGTCAATGGCCCATACTTGCTACTTGATAGGTCTATTAAAGATTCGATAATGAATTGAAATCTAAGGAAACCTGTTGTTTCTGAAAATTGAACTGTAGAAATGAAGCCAATTATATCATTAGTTACTTTTGTGCATCCATCTACATCTTTTTTATCTAATAAATTCTTGTAATCTAAAATAGTTGTTATACATGAATCAAGATTCATTTTAAATGATGAAAAAGTGCCAAATAAAAGTGACGAAATTTTAAAAAACGTGCATTTTTAAAATTTATGACTGAAAATGAAATTATTTTAGAATTATATCAAGCAAAACTAGCAGATAGTGGGAGCGAAGCACTTGAAAATGACTACCTCAAATTTATTAAACAAGTTACTGAAGGATTAACCTATAAAGTTGTAGATTTTACAGGATGTCAAGGATCTTATCAAGTATTTTCTCGATTAACTCGTTTAATAAGACAATACCCAACGGTTTACAGTCTTAAATTCTTTGCAAATTTAAATAAAGATATAGGACTTCAAAGAATTGTACAAGTTTGCAGAACAAATCCAAGAATAACATCCTTAGACATAGGATGTAATGATTTGTCGGACGAATCTTGCAGTATTATGTCAGATATGGTAAAATATTCAAATTTAAATTCGTTACAACTTGGAAAGTTCGATAACGAGCTTCTACACAATAGATTTACGAGAGATGGAATTACACCGTTCTTGATTGAGATCACAAAATTAAATAAATTACGAAAATTAGGTCTCAGCGGCATAGGATCAATAAAACAACGAAAAACCATTAAATACAATGAATTTAGCCAAGTTGTCAGCGAATTAGTTGCAAAATGTTCCAAATTATTGACTCTTGACTTATCAGAGATGGGATTCATAGAAACAGACTTACCAGTCTTGACATCCGGCTTTGAGAGGAACCACACTCTCAAGCATCTGTCAATTTCCAACAATTCATTTATGAATTCCGCTTCTTTAATGAAATCAATAATGATTAATACAAAATTAAGATTTCTAAAGATCAGCAACTGCGGTGTTACATCAGAATCGATAGAATATCTTGCACAAGCCCTATCCAGAGGTCATCAGCTGATTTATTTGGATATTTCAAACAATAGAATTGGATCAAATGGAATTTCAGTACTTTTTAGGGTTCTTTCCGACAATATCTATTTGACTGAACTCTTTATGTCTAATGTTGATGCTACTTCTGACGTTGCTGCTTCATTTAACTTATTTTTATCGAAAAACAGAGTCATTCATGAGCTTGACTTCTCCAAGAATGATTTGGGAGATCATATGGCCGAAGTTCTTGCGATGTCTATTGGTCATCAAACATCTTTAGTCACACTAAATTTATCATCATGCAGAATTTCAGATCAAGGTGTTTTATCAATTGGAAAAGCATTGCAGCCAAATATAACTCTTAAGAAACTCATTTTAAGAGACAATTTCTTCACTAAAAATGCAGGATTTCAGTTATTAGATGTTTTGAGGAGCAATACATCAATAACATCATTAGATATATCTTCAAACCAAATTGATATGTTCGCAAAGAACGCAATCAAGACATTTTGCGAAAGAAATAAAAATAATAAAATTGATGATACTTTAGCATCAATGAGAAAGCAATATATCAACTTATCCATTGATAGTGCTAAGATTCCTGATAAACAGACGCAGTTAAACAACTTAATTGAAGAAAAAAAGAAATTAAATGCAGAAATCGAAGAAATTCAGAACAATATTGACCGAGAAACAAACATAATTGATATGATATTGAGAGATGATAATAAATCCTTGGAAGAACTAAAACAATTCATTAAAGATGATCATAAAGTTATTAGTGATACAGAACAGAAGATGCAGGAGCTGGAACAAAATAAGACTGTTGATGTAAAAGAATTCCATGATAAAATTAAGTTTTACGAAGAAGAATTTGACAGATTAGAAAAAGTTGCTCAAAATTTTGTTGTTCAAACAGATGAAATAAGAAAGAAAGGAGAGATTGATAAAGCAGAGTACGCAGCTAAGATATCCCAACTTCAAGAAATGATTAAAGATGTTAAAGCTCATTTGAAAGCCAAAGCAACTTTGCTGGAATACGAAATTCCAGAAAATCCTTTTGTTGAGAAAAAAGAAGAATTTCCTGCAGATGATTTTTCTTCTTATACTTCTACAACGAGAAAAGTTGAAGAGGATCCGTTGGCTAAACTTGAAGCAGAGCTAACAAAGAGATCGGAAATGGAATCAGCAAATACTGGAAAGAAGAAAAAGAAGAGGAGAGTTAAGAAACAAAAAGATTAAATTTTATGTTTTTTTCTTTGTTTTGATACCATGATTAAATATGTTTTATTGTTTATAAATGATTAACTTAAAATTATCTTGTTCCTCATAATGAAGAATTGCTTGATCATTTTGAGCTCATACATTGAAAACTACGCCATGTGAAAAAAAAAAGTATTCGAAATTCGAGTCGATACGAAAAGCAGACTTTTTTTTCGTACCCCCTCTCAATTTTTTTTCCAGTTTTCGTACTTTTTTACTGAGCATAGTATGTGATGTCTAATTTTTGCCTATGATCAGAACTTGTCTTTCTCGTGTTCATATTTCAATCTCTGGTCTAGACATATATCACATCAAATATCATATTTGATTATTTACAATTATTTAAAAGATTTTACTAGTACAAGCATAATGTTTTGTGCAAAGTACAATTTCAATGTGTTAATCTATAAAATTTGATTTTTATTGCATATGAAATTAGGCATCTTTTTTAAAATAGAGTTTTGAAGATAACCATATATGGGAACGAAATGTACTTGTTATTATAAGTACATTTATTGTTATAAATTTACTCAATTATCATAGATGATGAAATAAATATTTTATTATATAAAAAAGAGTGTTTATTCATTATAAATAGAGTTCCGTTAAGCAACTATTTTATTTGCAACAGGTAAACCCTAAATTTGCATGTTTGAAATATTGAGATCAAATATTTGCATGCAATCAATAAATTTGCTGCAAAATTATAATCTCAAGTATGTGCTATTTTGAAGTAATAATGAATTCGAGAGCTTTTTCACCATGATCTTTCAGAAAATGAAAGAACATAGAAAAACTGCCCTTTTTAGAGATGCCCTGACTTCAACAAGAGTCAGAGCCGGTATCTGTATGTCTTTCAGGGCCGAGATAAGAGGATATCGTCAATGATGTGGGCGATCTCCCTCAAACTCGGCCCTGAGGATTAGCATTACAGGCTCTGACACATGTTGAAGCCAGAAATTTGAGTTTGCTGTTTATCAGGGTCGGATTCCTCTCCTGCCGCCCTAGATCAGGACGGCATTTGGGAAATCCGGCTCTGAGGACTGTAAGTGAGGCCCTGGTCTCTGCTGAGGCCAGATCCTATGTACGTAGGTCTTTCAGGGTCGAGTTTTGACAAGAACGTCCATCAAATGGACATTTGTGTCAAAACTCAGCCCTGAGGATTGTATTTGCAGGCTCTGACCTTTACTGGGGCCAGAGCTTCGTTTGGTAAGTAACCCAGGGCCAGATTCCTCGCCTGCCGCCCGGGATCAGAGCGGCATTTGGGAAAGACGGCTCTGGGGACTGTAAGCGAAGCTCTGGCCTTTTCTGAGGCCAGAACCTGTGTATTTCTTTCTTTCAGGGCCGAGATGAGAGTAGATCGTCAATGATGTTGATGATCTCCCTCAAATCCGGCCCTGAGGATTGTATTTGCAGGCTCTGGCCACTTCCAAGGCCAGAGCTTCGAATGGACGTTCTTTCGAGACTGGTTTCCTCTCCGGCCGCCCCGAATCAGGGCGGTCTTTGAGGAAACCGGCCCCGAGGATTGTTTGCGAAGCTCTGGCATTTCCTGAGGCCAGAGCTTGTGAATTTCATTCAGAGCCAAGTTCCTCTCGGATCGAACCTAATGAGGACGACCGTTGAGGAACTTGGCTCTGAGGAAATCAATTGTGAGCTCTGGCCTCGATGAAGGCCAGAGTTTTCAAGGGAATGTTTTGATGGGATGAGTCTATTATCAGTAAGCTCATCCCATCAAAACATTCATTTAAAAATTGAATGAATAATTATCGTATGAATTCAAAAATTAAAAATATAAAGATGAATAAAATTATAATACATTTGAAATAGAATTAAATTATATTGAAATTGAATAAAAATTTCCAAAAAAAATTCAAAAAACTGAAAATGAATAGAAAAAATACAAAATTTGATAAGAAAAAACGATTTGAGTTAAAAAACATATCGACAAAACATGAATGTTTATGATTTAGATTAAATTGTGAATAAAATTTACTAGTTAAAAGAAGAATGAGAAAATAAAATTATATTATAAAGAAGATACTTTAGAAAGGAGTTTACGATTGCAATATTATATGGTATAACATTGCACTCTTAACCTCCTTTCGAGAATCAAATTTCTATAGCAAAATTGAGATATGAAAAAATAAGCTTTCTTCGAAAGGGGTTTATAATTGCAATATAATATGACAGTATATTGCAAATGTAAACTCCTTTCGAGAATCGAATATCGAATCTCACATTGCGGAACAAATGTGAGAGATTCTCCCGATTTGAGTACGTACTTGCAGGGTGCCATTGCAAGACCCTGCAAATATGTACTCAGATCGGAAACTTTGTTCCCAATGTCACATTGCGGAACAAAAGTGAGAGATTCTCCCGATCTGAGTACGTATCTGCATGGACATAGAGATATAGTATGCAACAAAAATATTTATCAACTTTATCACACTCATAGAATTATATTCATCCTTCAATCTTGATTATATTTCATATTTCTGAGCCAACATAGAGATCCCAGTCATATTAATAAAGAATACCAATTGTAACCATAATAGAACACAATTTTTTAAAAGATATAATTATTCAACTTCCTGTGATACGCTATTTTGATAAGATTTCGTAAATTAATGTAAAACAAGCATAGATCTATCATGAACAATCATACGATAGTAAATATATTGCTTCCATGCTAAATTCAATTGAGATTATCTTGACATTAAACTTAGAATCCTCTCAAATTCAAGGAGATAATCACAATACAGCTATATTTTAATGCTGCTGTATAGCGGAAGCTCTATCATTATTATAAACATATAATACCATATGAGTACGAAAACTGGAAAAAAATTGAGAGGGAGTACGAAAAAAAAGTCTGCTTTTCATATCGTTTCTCGAAATTCCCTTTATTATTTTTAGTCAACAGCATAACTAAGAGGAGTTTCGCCATGAGAATCTTTTGCATTGATATTTGCCCAATGGTGCAATATGATGTGGCTTTTCTTCATCTGAACTTTTTAAATTAGAATATCTTTGCAAAGTCGCATGACGGAATGATGATGCTTTGTTATCAAAACATTTGTAATTATACTACACATATCTTCATTAATGGAATTGGCTAATAATAACAATGATATGTGAAAAATTTCTTGATTTTATTTTTGAGTTGAAATTTGACGTATTTCCTTTAAAAGTGTATATTAATTTTATGATACATACATATAAACCATGCTTCTTCATTGCCTTTTGAAATAGATTCGTGTATTTCGTAATACGTATTCAACCTTTTCAGTTAGAAATGCTGCATATGTATAGAACCCATTCATAAAGGTTTCAAGTTCATATTAGGAGGCCTCACTCCCATTCGAAATAAACTAAACGGAAATAAAAGCGAAATCAGTGGAAAAATTAAGTAAAAATTAAAATACAATTAAGGTATTTAAAAAACAAACAACATATATCTTATAAATAGCTCGCATGCATTGGGGCTAATGGAAATGGATGCTCATTTAATAAAAGAGGCTCCATTTGGTTTTGGGCGCCATCTATATTGCAGCATTGAATGGAATTAAGTTGCTCTAAGACAATAGTCTTGACATCAATCTCATTTAGTGTTGCATCGTGAGATAAAGAAATTAATGTCTCTGTAGCCTTAACCATAGCATCTAAATGTCTTCTGAACGTGCAATCAGCTTCTTTGTAATTATGAACCGGGCAAGAACTCTGATGTATGTAAGGAAGGAACCAATGAGCCGGCAAAAATTTTGCAAAGAAATAGCAAATTGGATACATGTAACGGAATGATTTCTTAAAGCCGATTCCAATTCCTGTAATCTGGTTCTTCAGTTCTTGCGATAATGTTATATATTGAGTATTGAGATTTCTATGAGCCCAAGAACAGACAACGAGCTCGGAAAGATGATGCTTTAATCCGCGTGGAACAATAAACGAATTTTCTAAGCCAGAATGAGCAAATGTATCTATAGAAATATGAGTAAAAATTCCAAGTAAGAACCAATAAAGGTTTGATTGACGATTTGTAATAGAATTCAATTCTCTTACAATTGGGCGTACGAAGTGCGAAATAGACTTATCAACACCGTCTGCATACATTGCTCCCAATAAAAAACTTTCTCTTTGGGATTTCGTTATGTTAGGAAAATGGGAATCTGCGTAATATGATGCGAAGGCTTGATGGAACGAAGGCGTCCATGAGTTAACGGAAGAGAAGAATAAGTAAATTAGCATGAGCCTTCGTGAAACTAAACAACCAAAAGTGACAGTTCTGACATTCTCAGATTTTTCAATTTTTGAAAAAAGTTTTGAATAGAATCTGCTTTTAAAAATATTACTAATAACGTTATTTTAGATTTAGGAAAATCGAAATGATCACGCAGCATTCAAATATCTTAAATACGTTAACAATTTTGAATCATTAATTCTTGGTCACATTTCTGAAGATTATTCAATTTATTTTTAATCGTAATTCGTTTTCCTCCTCTAATATGCATTTTCTGATAATTTTATCCCTCTGACCTATTTTAATCAGGGAATTAATTTGATAAAATAATGATAATTTTTAGACCTAAATCTCATTCTATATTCATATTTAAACATAAAATTAAGTTATTCCTAACTCTGGATTTTTTTGCTTCTGACGGACCTTGTGTCAAAATTGAATGTAAAAAATTTTCCAAACCTTAGTTTTAGAAAATCACTTATTGCAATATCTAATTGTCAATCTAGCTTTCAGTCCGTACTATTTTCTTGGTCGGAAAATTCAAGTTCACGATTCGATTCAAATATATAGAATACGATTTACCAGAAATTGAAATATTATTTAAAAGCGCAAACGAAACATTTTACTGTAATATAACCGCTAAATCGACTGTATTTCAAAATCATATGCATATTTGCTCTCAAACATGAATTGCAATAAAAATTTCATAAATTTTTCACGAACTTACTTAAAAACTCAAACATTAAAATGAACATTCAACAAACTAGTACATTTCCGAACATTTGATTAAATTTTCATATATTTACTTCAAATTTTCAATTGATTTATTTTGAATTTGATTTTTTTATTCTAAATATGATATTTTATACATTCATTTCTTAATAAAATTGACGATACTCATGAATGAATTAAATTAGGTTATACTTTTCCACATTTTCGAAGAAAATTTATTAAATTTTTAATAAGTTTATTCATAGACGTATAACTTATAAACAAGACTACTGTATGGATGAATTATAACTACTCATCCAAATAAGCTGTTGTTTCAAATGCGAAAAAAAAATTAAGTGAAAAATATCAAAATTATGTCTTAAAAAATACATTTTTAAAAATGGTTTTTGATTCTTAATCGATTGATATCAAACTTCTATGTAATCACAATAATATATATATATCTTCTTAGATTTTATCCCAGATATCAGTAAAACTTTCTTCTAGGGTGCAAAGAGGTAGCCATTTCCTTGCTATTTCTGCCTTTTCGCCTTCTCCTCTGGCGTCCATCTCTACAATTACCTTTGAAATCAAATCTGACACTTTACATCTGTCAATTGGCAAAATTTGTGTCCAATTTTGAATGATGACAGAAAGAGTTTCAATGTTATTTGCGAACAATGTGACAGAATTTGGACACTCGTTTATCAAGTCAAATACGATAGAAGGAGATACTCCATTTTCTACCATATCCTTTGCAGCGACAACTCCATCGTGTTGTGAGAAAAAGCTCTTTGCAATTGCCTTTTCTGACAAAGTTTCGCAGCCAACTCCTCTAATTTTTGCCAATAACTCAGCCAACTCTTTAGCTGTGCAGTTCTTTGTGTACTGGTCAACAATATCCTTCCTTGGAGTGCCTAATGCTGATGATAATTGAACTGCAAGAGAGAGTTCTCCGTAATCTTTTAGAGTTTGTATCAATTTTTTGGGTTCTTCTGCGAAGAAGTTCCTCTTTAATGAAGAATTGTTTGTTATGTATTCGTGGAGGATCTCTGCGGCAAGAAGATATTGCTTTGCCTTTAAATTATCTGATCCTTCAGGTGAAATCTTGATTGCGCGATCAAGTAATTCAATCCTCTTATCGATAGAAATTGTCTCTATATCTTCTATGGCCAATCTGATGAATTCCAGGTAAGCATCGAGTATTTGTCCTCTCTTAATAAGCAATGCAGGGAGATAGAGGCTGTTTAAGCGCTGCAAATGGGCGGAAAGTTCTTGGAAATCGAATTTGACGCAGGACTCTTCATCCATGTCCACATTCAAATACGAGGCCAAGTAATATTGAAAAGTAATTCCGTGTTTTTTAACGGCGCGCATAACAGATTCGAATGCCTCTTCATCTCTTACTGCGAGATTGATAAGAGGATTCAAGCGGCGGAGGACAAGAAGGCGGAGTTGGAAAGATGCAGTATCATCTGGGGAATTTTGAGGGAAATTGGCATTTTCGTAATCAATAGCAAGCGAATCTGGGTATAAAACATTGGCCCAGTTGCACAGAGCGTCGATAAGAAGGTCAAAATGACGATATCTGTATAAGAAATCTGAAAGAATTGGGAATTCTGCAGGAACAGAGCCAGATTCTGATGCAGCTTCGATAGATGATAACGCGAGATGCTCAGAAGTCGAATCTCCGCAATCTGCTTTTGAGATCAATTCGCAAATCGGGGACTTTGCGAAGGATTTATCGATTTCTGTCATGCTCAATCTAACACTGAAGGCTACTTTGCGCAATCTTGAGTATGAAACAACTCTTTCTTCAGAGAAATAAATATTCAATAATTTTCCTAAGAAATCTGAAGCGAACTGTGTTTTTTCCATCAATGCAACATCATCTAATATCTGAAGAACGTATTTAGATGCATCGCACTTGGTTTCTTGCAAAGTTCTGACAAATTCTTCAGATTTGCAACATTGGCCAATAGGAACGTTCCACATTGGAGCCACAGCAACAGGGAAGGCCCAGATATCCTCATCCGGTCTTGTGAAGTCATTTACAGCTCGAATTTGGATAATTCCGGCTGATGTCAACGCAACAACGCCAAAAGAAAGAGGAGCGATCAAATGGATGACGCCAAATTGAGCGGTTGTCGTGTAAGACGGAGTTGGATGGAATCTGACGGTTGTAAGTTGGTCAAATGAAGAATTTGGATCTACAACGGTAAGAAAGCCTCCAGACCAGATTGCTTGAGTTGAACATGCTGAAGCAAGAAGTTGGTGTGATGGCTGGACCTGTGGATGCTTCGGAGACTGAAGATTTATTGTATATAAAATTATTGTTCTATCAAACGCAGAAATGATGTCATCTGAAACCGTCCATATGTTTATGATATTTTTCAGTCTGAAATAATGGATGCGGCTAAGGTTGGCTCTGTTGAAAATTGAAATTGTACTATTTTTAGATAAAGTAACGTAATAATTGCGTGTTTCTATGATCTTTTTGATTTCATCGATTGAATTTCCCGCTGATTGTTTGATTGTTACGTGGTTTTTGCTTGGATTTAAAATAATTTCACGAATATAACCATCAGAGCATCCAATAATCTTACCATATGATGAGGTAATAGATACTCCTTTAGGGATTGTATAAGTAGATTGAATTGGATGAAGTTCTTCTGTAAATAATGAAATTGAATTTTCATGAAGTGCAACAAAAAGCCCAGAAATGAAGGATACAGCTACAACTGGTCTTTCAACTTCAGCGCTGAAGCAAGGAGATAATTTATAGTGAAAGATATATAATTTTTTAAAAGTTGAGACCCAAAAGCTTTGTAATTCTTGAACCCATCCTGTATTTATCATTTCTTTACCATTGATTATCTTTTCAAGATCATTTTCGAAGGATGTTTCGTTATCAAATTTAAATGTCGTATTTGGCTGTGTATAGACAGGATTTGTATCTGAAGATGTTGGGTTTTTAAGATACTCTATATATTTTATGACCTTTTCGCAGATCGAAGCAGATGGTGCGTTGCCAAAAGCATCATTAGACCACATTCGATCCAAAAAAAATGCTCTCCTATAAATTTATGAGTATTTTTGGATGATATTAATACAATAAAGATATTATTATATAAATATTTCAATTTTATAAGAATTTAAAATGGATTCCGTCAATTTGAAATTTGAATTTACTTCTATACTAAATTTTAAGATCTATTGGCATGAAATAAATACTATAGATCAATCTGATCAAAAACCCAAACACATCTTTGCATTATTATTCTATAATACGAAAAATGTATCAGGAGAATCAAAAACTCATGCAATATCAAAGATTAAAGTATATATAATTAATTTATTTACTTGTTCTGATAATTGGTGAATTACTGAAATGGTCATTAGAGTGTGATTTACTTATATAAATTTTAAAATCTTTTTATTCTCTTGATATATACATATGATATGTATACTCTGATTTCATGTATTAAAACTCTCATATAGCAAAATCTCTCTCCGCAATCTTTTCCACTGATCACAGCAGATTTGGAGAAATTAATAGCAATTTAAAGAAAAGTTTTCAAATAGTCTATGATAAACGACAAGAGATATCAATAGTTCAATTGACTTTTATTCTGACTGCTATTGTGGCGGATCTGACATATCGTCGTTTAAATTTGACATTTTTTATGCTATGCTACAATAATAATAAATTTATCATTTTTAATTGATAAACCTTAAAAGATTTTTTGCGAACTTTGATCGATAATTTTTTTTTCTACATGGTGATTTTTCTTCTTTTTGCAATATCCAATTGCATTTCCTGCTGCATCTATACAAAAAGTGAGAACCTCTGTCCAAAAGATGATATAAAAGTTCCAATTCACAATTATTCAGATTGGGATGATTTAAAAAGAAAGATAGAAAACGATACAGTTGTTATTTTCAATATTGCAGATTCTATTGTACAAGATAATACATTTTTCGATACAATCAGACTTGGATTTAGTTGCAATTTTTCAATCGTCGGTTTAAATCAAGACACAAAATTAAAATTTGATGCACTCGCATACTATTTTTCTTATGATATCACATTAATGAACATCATGATTTATATGAACAGCTTCCATCTCTCAGCAAAAGACTTAATTTTGATAAATACAAAATTTAATTTAGAAAAAGAATTTCTCATCTCATGCAACAGTATTTCATCTGATTTAACATCATTACCACCATATCTTAATCTTCAAACTTCAAAATTTCAAATTATAAGTAATTCATCAGTTGAAAACATTCAATCCACAATTGAGTTCAAATCAATTTCATCCAATGTTGATATAGACATAATCAACTCCACAGAGAATATCGATTTTGGTGCTGTTTTTCGAGGTTTTTCAATTTTACTTGGAAAAGACAACAAAATACAAATTAATCCATTCCAATGTTCAGTAAACATGACAATTAACATGATTGCTCCTAATCGTAATCTCATATTAAGTAAATATTTTATTTCTCGAGCAATTCATGATTCATCAATCCATTTCAATTTAATAGAACCAACAAATGTATATGCTGTTAATTTTCGATCAAATAACTTCGATTATTATTTAATTGACCATCAGAATGTTCAATTTTATGTTCATGCTTTTAATGATATCAATTTTGAGTCAAATATAAAGCCGAATTTAATTAATTTTGATTTAGTTAATTCAAATGCAACTTTCGAATTTAGCAATAATTCTTATATACAAAGGTTAGATTCATTTAATTCAAACATAACATTCATTTCAACACAACATAATAATTATAAAGTTGAACTAGTTTATTCAGATATTAGAAAATCAACAATAAAATCTAGTGAAATTGTTGTTGGATTAAATAATGGTGCTAATTTTTCCAATTCATACTTTTACGGTCATTACGTATTGGATGGAATAAATTTTAGATGCTCTGGAGTTCATTCTTACTTCCAAAATGTAGAAATTGTAAATAACATGACAATGACATTTGCTCATCCAACAAATAATACTTTACAAATAGATAACTTTATCAATGATTCTCAAAAAAATCTCGGTTTTGTTCTTAAATCAGGTTCAACTTACTATTCAAACTTTATTTGTAGTCATCAAAAGGATTTCATTAAAAATAATAGAATCAGATTCTCTTATGAAGATTCCATTATGATATATGATATTTTAAATCATGAATCTGAAACAAAAGGAGAATATTGTATTGATTTGAAGAGAATTGATAATAATCAATATAAAGAAAATCTAAAAATGTGTCATGTTCAGTCAAGTAATAAAAATTGTCCATCACAATATATTCAAAACATGAATTTTGACAAATATTATGCAAATGAATCATCATCAGTTAATATCTTCTTTGTGATGAATAACGCAGATACTATTGATCTTTCACAATGTCATAAAAATGTAGCTATAGAATGGATTAATTCCAATTCAAGCCAACTGGATTTAACAATCATTGGAACATCTTTCATTACATTGGAATTAATCGGAATAAATGCATATTTCAGCAATGAAATTGAATGTGAAACTTTAATCTTGAGAAATTCCAATGTTAATTCCAAATTTTCTGCAGATGAAATTAAATTTGATCAATCATCTTCATTTATCAAAGACAATTTAATAACAACGAAATATGAATTGCTTAACTATTCTCCAAAAATTATTTCATTTGAAGAAGAAACAATCAAAATTGACCACATGAGTTTTATAAATAATGAAACAATTACAATTGATAACAACTTAGCTTGGAACACCGAAATCAATCTTAATTATCAGTCACCAGGATTTTTAAATCTAATTAACACGAATCCACGTTCTTATATAATTATTAATTCAATGAATCCATCTGCAACAAATAAATTGAAAATTGATCCTTGTGGAATTGTTGCTTTTCGAAGTATAACTGGAAAAATACCAATTATCTTCAGCATATCATCTGAAACGGAATTTCTTATCCTAAATAATGATACAATTTACTTCGATAATATAACTATTAATAATAGTTTGAATTTCGTTCTTGGAAATGAAATTAATGTCCTGAATTTAAGGATAGATCCTTCAGGACATATTGAATCTGGATTCGTCGTAGGTGATGAAGTGAGTTTTGGATATAAAAATTATCAATACATTGGAAATGTTTCGATTTCTCAAATGAATTTTGACCAATTTTCTCTCTTGAATATAATTTACAAGCCTAAAAAAGCAGCAAAATTAGAAATAAATCTTAGTGCCACTTCCATTCCATATATTGAAATGGAATACTATGGATCGATAAAAGGGAAAATTGATTTCAATCTAGTTGATGATGAAATATTTGGTGTCAACAACAATATAGCAGATATCAAAGTTCCTGTTCTAAAGATCACCAATGCAAAGTGTAAAAATTGGAAAATGAATAATCAATTTAAGAAAGAAAAACTAATTGATATTGAATGCATGACGGAGAACAATATAACAACTTTCTATATTGCCAGAAAGCACATATTAGACAATTTCACTAAGGCAATTATTATCATTATATCTATTGCTTGTTTTGGTTTTCTAGCTTATGGTGCATTCACTGTCTTTGTAAAACTTAAAAGAAAATCAGAACTAAAGTACTTAAACAAAATTTATGAAGAACAATCAACAGAACAGAGTCTTCCAGAAAAGTCGGATGATTCTGATGCATATTAAATTTTATATGCAAGTGATAAAGATTGATCTTCTAATTTCCAAGCAATAAGAAAGATTGGAAATTGCATGATTAATATCATAGCAACTTTTGTTTGTTAATCATTCATTCAAGAAAGTTGAATAAGTAATCATGATGGAGATAGTATAGATGTTTTGATTTCTAAATAAATGTTTAATTAAAACAAGAATATCAAGCTTATTAAAGCTGGTAAAGTATTTTGATATATTTCTATATATATAAAGATATTTAATGTTTTTATAAAATTACTGTGACTACTTCGAAATATTAAAATTTAAGATTTAGAAATGATTTTTAAAATTTAGGATCAAAAATCAATCATTGCAAAATGAATATAAGAGATTGAATGTTTATAAATAATTAGGTTCTTCATCAGAAACATCTGGTGTTGAATTATTCTTGATGATTAAGTAAGTAATGACTCCAATGATAATGCATAAAACAATAATTCCGCATGAAATAGATAAAGATAGAATGAGAACTTTCTTCTTCTTGGCTCTTTCATCATTAATCTGATTAGGATTATCTGCTTTTTGTGCTGGACTTTTTGTTGGATCTGGACTTCTGGTTGGATCTGGACTTTTTGTTGGATCTGGAAGATGAATAATATTCAAATCGAACTTTGTAATCTCATGCTCATGGGAACCATCGACTTTGATAGAGATTGTCACTTTGTCTTTTGTTTCGTTTTCTTCGATCTTGAGATGCATTGGAATTCCCATTTTTATTCCATCGTTTGTTATCGAGTTAGAATATATGATGCTTTCTGAATATGCAAGAGAAATGTTGAATGTTGTGTCGAAATCTTTGTCACAGTCCATAATCATTAGAGAAAAATTGATATCACAGCCAGGTAAGTATGATGCATTAAGATCGATTCCTTCGACACCAATTAGAAGTTTCGTATTGTTTCGAACGACAACTTTAAATGTTTTCTTCGATATATCATCATCGTCTGATGCGATGAACTCTGCTGTATAATTACCTGGGATAGTGTCTTCAGGTATTGTGAAACTATATATTTTCGCAATTCCACTCTGTATATCGCTTGTATATGAATAATTTGCACCATTGAATAATATATATCCTGTCAAGCTTGTATCGACGATATCCAAGTCAGTGACTGTAACATTCATATTAAGTGTTGAGTTCGGGATATAATACTCAAACTCTGGATTATCAAATTTGATTGTTGGAATATTATTTCTAACATGAAATATATGATCAATTGAACTATGGAATGTAGCTCTATCACCATAAGAAACAATCAATTTATATTCACCTGATTTATTGGGAACTTTTATATCTTCATCAAAATTGTTTTTATTTTGAGTGTTTCCGATTTCATCTGATTGTAAAACTTGGTTTTCCTTGTTTCTTATAATCTTATAAAATACAGAGCAATCTATACATTTATAGCAATGATCAATATTTTTTATCGTTCCTTTTATTTTAATTCTTTCGTCCTTTGTATAAAAATCTTTTATCAAATTCTCTTTAAAATTAAAAAATGGAATATCATTTTCAGCTTTTGATACGATAAATGATATTACCTTTGATTTTCCAGGTTCAATGACAATATTTTCCCATAATGCACCCATATACATGCAAGGTATAGAAGGTATGTCAGGGTATGGGTGGTTTTCAAAAAATGAACTACGAAAATAGTAATCCAGTCTTGTAACATCTGTAACTTTAGGATGGTTTTTTCCTATAAAATTTAGTGAAATGGGATAGCGGGATGCGTTTACCTTAAATCCGAATTCTTTTATTTGAAAAACATTACCATTGTAGCTAGGATCATTATAATTTTTTAAATAAAATGAATGATATTCGAAATTAGTATATAAATCAAATTTTTGAGTATTTTCTCCAGTGTTGCTAAATTGGTGGGAAATTAAACCTGTAGCATTATAATGATTGACTTCAAGATTATATAAAAGGCCTGGAATACTATTTGGTTCTATAATTTGATCTTGGGATGATTTCCTTATCTTGGAGGAACCTTTAATTCCCACGTAGTATGATGTGAAATATATGGCGAAAGAATTGTATGACTCTTTACGAAATAAGGCCACTGTCTTAATTTTTTTCAGGAAAAGGGAAAGCATTTATTAAAATATTATCAGTAATTTATTTAAAAAAATGTATTCAATTAATTAAATGTTGTTCGATATAAAAATTATATATAAATCTTATTTGTATTAATGCACATGAATTTTTAAAGTCATCCACAAAAATTCAATATTCTTTTCAAAATGGATTATTTTGAATCATTTGAAATAAAATATATTATGTATTTCACAAAGTGCTTGAATCAACCTCAAATTTATAAGCGTAAAAAGATAAACATATATATAAAATAAACGCCTTTTCCTTCATAAAGTATTTTATTCAAATTTTTGAGGTAGAGATTTTATGTAGGAAAATGTGTTTAAAAAGATTATTTCAAATTAAATGATATAAGCTTGTTTCGAGCACTTATTTTATTAAATAATCAAGCATGTACATCGCTCAAATTGAATTGCGAATCGAAAAAAAAATGCCAAAAAAATTGAGGTACAATTATTTTCTTTTCAATTTATTTCATGAAGCGACTTTTATTCAATTTATTTCTAATTTTTTTAAGTATCTATAGATAAGCAGATGTATTATTTCAATAAAAACATTTACATTTAAACGAAAGTCAAAAACGTCGAGAAGGATTTAAGGGTGAACTTACGCCCATATGACATATCATTCAATTGTGTTGTTTAAGAAATTTGAATTAAAATCAGATAGGCTTAAAAATACCCTGAAATATCCCATATTCTCATGTTTTGCGAGCAAAATTTTTGAATTGAAATTTACATGATTGATCTGATCTAATTTTAAGTTGTAACAGAAATTAAGTTATTATTATTCTCGAAAATGCTACTAACTTTGTCTTATTATTTGAATTCATACTCGTGTATATCAAGGTACTATTAGAAATGTCAGGAAAATATCTCTGTTGTTTTAAGGCTGCACTTATGCCCATCTGACTTTAATTCAAATTTTTGACAACTGGCGTGAAGCGTCATTGAAAATTAGCCTTAGACATCTGAATTGAAGGCCATGTCATAGGGGCGTAAGTGCACCCTTAAGTTCTTAAGAAAATAACACAAAAATGTATCTATTTTCATTTGTAAGTTGAAAACCAGAAATCATAAGTATATGCTTGAATAAACAAAATCTTGATGCCGTGTGAACGAGATATGCAACTATTTTCCATAACATTGACTTATTTTCATTGTTGATGAATAAATACAATATAAAAATAAACTATAGGAACGGTATTTTAAACAATAATCTTCAATTATTTATGATATATTTATTCACTATACGAATATTTGATTCTATAAAATGCAGATAAAGTTAATAAAGAATCTCACTTCATAGTGCAGTATATAATAACAGTGAAGAAATAGCAGAGATTCTTATTACATAATGTAAGATATCAATGCAAAAATTAAAAAAAAAACTCCACTTCATATAGCAGGAAGAAATAATATTTACAACACATTCATCGTGATTAAACATGTTCACTTCTTCATGTAGATATGAATATGCAACAAGAAAAGCAATTATGTTTGATATGTTTTATCAAATTTTCAGAAGGAGCATCATTGAAATATAAGTCGATCAATCGCATATCATTGAAGTATATTATCAAAACCTATACTATATATTCATTGCAATTCAGTTTTGAAAATAAGTTATTATGAAATTCATTCCATTTTTCTAATTTTTATCAAATCTCGATGAACATTTCGATAACAATGCTGGAAATATTTACAATATCTTTCTGTAATAAACTAAATTTTTAAAAAACCTCCCCTCGGATCTTCACAATTGAAACGATATCGTAGAGTTCAAAAGAAAAAATAAATAAAATCATATAAAATCAACAACAGTAATAATATCTCTCATTTATCAACTTTTCTTTCAATTTTGATAGGAAAATTGACAAGATTTCATATCACCACAAATGACCTTCCAGTACAACGTTACTGCATCAGATCCTACCTTCGCCGGATCCAATGGATCCATGGGCGGAAATGTTCAAATGTCCATGAACATGGCTCCACCAACAGTTGGACCCAATGGAGAAATCAATTATTCCGTAAACATGGGCGGAATGGGCATGGATATGAACATGAGCGGAATGGACATGGATGACCAATCCCAAATGATGCCAGGACAGCAAGTAAATTACAGCATGAGCACTCAACCTCAACAGATGGACGTCAAAATGAACATGGGAGTACCCGGAATGAACGTACAAATGAATGTACCACCGCCACCACCAATGGATGTCCAAATGAACGTCAATGCCAACGCCAATGCCCAAATGAACATGCCACCACAGCAAATGAACATGTCCATCAACGCCAACGCCGGAGCCCCAATGAACATGCCTTCCCAGAACGTTAGCATGCAAATGAACGTCCCTCAGCCACAAGTAAATTATCAAGTGAGCGTTCCACAGCAGCAGCAGCAAGTTAACTACCAAATGAACATGCAGCCAGCCAACATAAACTACCAGATGAATGTTCCAAACGTCAACTACCAAATGAACATTTCCAACCCATCCATGCATGTCGGATACCAAACAACACAAATGGGAAAGCCAATCTATAAAGAAACACTCGGATTACTCCAGCAACAGCAAGATTTGCTCTACCAGTTGATGTATATCCAGCAAGAACTTATGGCAAAGCTCGATATCGATGCCGGCGTCGCTGGAGCCAACATGGAAGACATCATCAGCACTGCTGGAAAGCCAACAGGAATGTTCCCACCACTCAGAATCCAACGTCTCGATATCAATCAGACAATTACATGCCCATCATGTCCATCAATGACGATTTCTACAAGTGCTCCAGCACCGAAACCAGCTGCGAAAACAACTGTTAGGGTCTACAACTCTAAGAAGAAGTCCTCATCATCTTCTTCCTCTTCTTCTTCGTCATCTGATGATGAAGATTCATCTCCAAAGAGGAATCCACCAAAGGTCAATCCAGGCTGCAACCACGACTTCTTCATGGGACAGTGCAAGAAATGCGGCTGCCTCGAATGCTCTGTAAAGGGTCACAGGTTCATTTGCGGAAGATGCACAATCTGCAACGAAACGAAATGCAAGTTGACGGGTGAACATAACTTCATTTGCGGTGAGTGCACGGTCTGCGGAAAGAAAGCTCCGGGAAGCACATTTTAAATTACTCGCTCTTTTATCGATATTTATGCAGATGTTTCTTTATTAACTTTTTGGGTTGCATAATAATGAGTTGTTTCTTTATTATTTTTTTGTGCTGCATAATGAAGAGTTGTTTCTTTATTATCTTTTTTCTTTGATATTTGCGTGAAATGAAAATAGAAACTCATCTACTTCTTTATTATCTTTTTGTGCTGCATAATGAAGTGCTGTTTCTTTATTATCTTTTTTCTTTTATATTTGCGTGAAGTAAAAATAGAAACTCATATAATTCTTTATTATCTTTTTGTGATGCTTTATGATGATTATTATTCAGAATGTATTTTTGTCATTGGCATTTGTCCAGTGTGAAATAAGAATCTCAATTACTTCTTTTGTATCTTATTGTAAATGCCTTATGAAGAGTGCAATTTTGGGTGTACCTTTGTCATTTACATTTGTATCTTGTGAGAGGAAATAATTGCAAAGAGATTGAAAGCCAAACATCGGCGAATAAACAAAATTTAGAATGCATCATATATGTGTTTTGCAAGATTTAAATCTTTGTATATTGGTTGTTATACATAGTAATAACTAAATTATCGTTGATAATATCTTTTGAGGGATATTTAAATGAATCAATCAATTCTATTTTGAACTTTTTGTAAATCGAGTTTAATTCTTCATCATTTCCCTTTTTAAGCTGATACTTCGCAATTCACTGTATTTATTCTGATTCACGTCTTGATCACACATAAAGAAATTTTGAACAGCAATGAATTTGCATTTTTTCCTAATAAAATAGCCTTATAATTAACGAAAACGAATAATGTATCGCTCCCGATGAGGAAAACGATGACCTCTAAGAATCCAAATTAAATTTATAGAATTTGATTAAGATCATATAGGCATTTGTATTGAACATATCAATTATTGATAACGAATTTATTTTTCTAAATGACTCTGAGATATGCCCACGTTCCACCAGCCGTGCTTCTATATGGAACGTGGAGCGATAGTTCTTCAGACAATACTAGTGACGAAAATGAATCAGAATATAGTGGAAATCAAGAAGAAAAATATGAAAAATATGAAGATAAAGAAATTCAACATAGAAACCGAATGGAAGACCAAAATTCTACAGATACCGACATTCGATATAAAAATCATTCAAATAAAGCAAAAAATGAATCAGATTATTCTGAAAGTTTTGGATTTAACACTAGTTCTGATGATGACAATCCTCACCATACGCATGTTTATGAAGATGATGAAGATGAATTCACAAAAATACAAACAGTTAGTTATACTGAAGAAAGTATCGTATTAATTAATCCATTTCAATCAGAACAATCATTGGATACAAGTATAGAAGCATCATTGGATACAACTTTAAATAACTCTCATGAACAATCAGAATCTTCAGAATCAGAAGAGGAAGAAGACGGCGAAATTCATCAAGAAACCCTACTTGAAGAAGAACCTATAAGTGATGTAGAATGCAATGAAGAGGAATGTGATGATGAAGAATTTCAGAGATACGAAGAAAACTTGTTTGATACTTCTAAAATCGAGCAGTCCTCTGATGAAACTCAATCTACAACTGCAAATATTTCAAATATATCAACAAATGCTAAAATTTCTCAAGAAAACGAAATATCCCAAATTAATAAACCAGAGCAAGAAAAAATCAAAGAAACTAAGTCCTTTTCAATTAAAGATAGCGATATTGCTCAAAATACTTCAAAAGATTCAAGTCAAATCCAAAATGAAAATAAAATTTCGACAGAAACTGAAAAAATTGATAAGAAAACTATTAAACAAGATTCATCCAGTAATGCTATAACAGATATTAAGCCTAATTATACAAAATCTTCACCAGATAAACCAAATGAAAACAAATCTGTCCAAATAGACCAAAGCAAGCTCGAAACCAATAATTTGCAAAGCAGTAATAACATTGATCCTATTAAGAAGACTTCAATTGCAAAAAGTTCTGATCAAATCCAAAATGAAATCAAAATTGACGATAAAACGCAAACAATCAGGTCAGAGCCAATATTCCCAGCTCCTAATCTCACTGTTGATCTTAATTCTCTTAAAGACGATGCTGAAACCACGGATTCTCATTTACTTCCAAAAATTCGACAACTTCTTGATGTTGCCATGGAAACTCGACGCAACAAAACCAATTACAGTGATTCTGATGATGATTCTTCAGAAAATTCAAAACTTAGATTCATTGATGTTGAAGAAGAGCCTCAAATAAGCATGAAACCAATTGTAGAGACCCGTAACACTGATAATTTGTTCAATTACATATGCAATCTCAAAGAAAACAGTACAAAAAGTCAAATTTCAGCAATAATTTTTTCAATTGACCATTTATACAACATTTTCTCACTTCAGAAGACAGAAATGGTGCTAAGAATAACATTGATTAACTCAAAAACGAGTGAAAAGCTTGGAAACCCCTTCGACGTCAAATTAAGAAAATCAACAAAGAATCCTGGCCGTTTCAAGCCTGATTTATTCAATAAAATTGTTGCTGTCATACCTAAATCAGCTGATGTCATACTAAACTTCGCTCTTCTCACTAACAGACAGTACTTTGCTTCAACAAGAATTAAACCAAACGATAAGTTCACAAAAAGTGGGAAATATTTCCTTCAATTTCTTAAAGAACCAGGCAGTATGAACTGCGACATCACGTCGAAAGTGAAAGGTCTATTTTCAGCTAAAGTTAGGGATCCAGCTCTTGAAATACAATTCACTTTTGCTGAAGAAAAAGATGCGAAGAAAATGACGAAAATTCCATTTCATTCTGTTTTTCCTTTGTGTCTTGTTGACTCCATTGTTGCGTTTAGAGACTGTTTGTACATCATGCAGACAACAAAGAGAACTGCTCACTACGCGCAGATGATTTCTGGATTTGGAGGAATCATCGAAAATGACGAATTATTGATGAAAATGAGTAGTGAAGTGAAAACTGCGAAAAAGTCTGGATTAACAAACACTAAGTTTGTTGAGATTGTTTCTAAGTATACTTCTGCTACTGGCTGTTCTTCCTGTACTCCATTTAGAACTGATGAACTTATTCCACTCAAATTGTTTTATTCTGCAATTGGAAATGATATTTTTGTTTAATTAATTTTTTTGTTATTTATAGATATAAATATGTTTAGTGTTTATTCATTAATTTTTGTGATTAATCTTTTCAGTGACAAATGTGCAATATTATTAGTTGCTCCAATTACAAATGAAATATTTACTATTACTTTAATGTGTATTAGTGCTTTAAGTTTGATGAAAATGTTAATCTAAAGTTAATATCAATGGCATCAGGCTAGACATTCACACGCACTTCGCACTCATAAAAGGAGTAAGTAGATGTGATCATTATGAAGAAAAAAATCATGGGGTTGTTAAGCGTTCTCAGAATTATCTCACCTTTTTCTTCTTCATTATCTTGAAATAAATAACTTTTATGATATATGTTTCTCATACTTGAATAAACAGCTATGCTTATTTTTGCTTAGTAATATTAGTTATCCACAGCAAAAATACTTGAAAATCGAGATCATATATTCTTGACTTATCCCTGTATGTATAACATGAAATAAAGAAATCTCAATCTTGGTAGTCTTAATAATGATTTAAAAAAAATAGTGTTTGTATGTAAAATAAATAATAAAACAAACAAAGTTTAAAAATATATAAAAACAAAACAATATAATTTATGGACTCTTGTATTCTTCTAAATCATGAAGAAGAATGAGATGAGGAAAATACTGAGAACACTTAACTTCATTACCATCCTCGTAATATCCTTCAATCAATCCATTTCTTAAAGAAATTTTCGAATTTGGCGATTCTGGTAATTCTGAAAATTCGCATAAAATATTATAGAGACCGAAAGTCAGATATATCAAATCAAAGAATGATTCTGATGTTACGTCATTAAAAATTTCCATATATTGAATTAATTCTTCGTAAATCCAATAATTTGTGTCCTGAATATCAGAGTAGTATAATATATTCAAAACACCTTGGATTACAAATCGAATATTCTTCAATAAATCAGAATTTTGATCATTTTTGAAATTTTCAATTAAATTACACAAATTTGCTTCAACAACGAAGATATATGATTCTCTCTTAGTTAAAATCAATTCAGTATCAAAGGATCTGCACCAAGTGTTGATTTTTTGTTGAATTGATAAAAAAATTTTGGCAACACTTGGCAAACAGCCGATTTCAGCTAAAACAATGTTGAATATGGTAGTAACAAAGGTCAAATTCGAAATATCTAGTGAATTTGGAAGTCGTAAAATTTGGTATTTTTTCCAAAAACAATCTTCGAAAGAAGGCAGCATCTGATTCGAAGAAGGGCCTACATCCATATCAATATCCTCACATTCTGACGAGCTCATCAGATTCATTATTGAAAATAAATAATATTCTATTTGAGAAATCAAGAAATTCTCATAGAATTGGAAGCAGTGTCTTGAATACCTCTTAAAGATCTTAAATATCAAAGAACCTCTCGGTTCGATCAATTCAATGGCCCTTCTGAAATTATTTGAAATGTAAACACAATTTTTCTGATAAAGGGTGAAGTCATGTAAAGCTGATAAATTAAGAGTATATAATTCGTATAAAGATGTCAACTTACTTTCTAAATCTCTCATGTTTTTGATCTTTTCTGAAATGTTATTATCATAAACATTCGTAATTGAGAGGTAAGGAGTGGCAATCCATTGGTGATTTAAAACATTCATGGCCATACTATCCATTCCTGTCGAAATATTGTAGTTTGGATTGAAATTTGTTCGACTATATAATCCATATTTTTTATAATTAGTAATTGCATTGAAATTCGAACTTCCAAGATATGCAAGTAGTGTTTTATCGCTAGTTCTATTATGTTTTCTTGTTATTTGCTTAATTAACGTGTTTGCATAATCTTTTTCGATTTTTTTAAGTCTGTAAGCTGCGAGAATAACTTCAATTGGTGTAATATAAAATGGAAACTCTTGGCAGAATGCATTTATTGAATTTGGCTCTACCTGCTCCGGTTGAAATGAAATTTTCAAACCTCGATCTGAACCAATTTCAGAATCAATTGACATTAGCATATTGCGGTTGTATAATCTTTTGTAAACATTAGTTCCACGTATTATAGAATTGACTGCATCACTTAATTCTTTTTTCTTTTTCTTGCTTGGGCGATAAAATGGATCATAATCTGATAAAGAATCATCTATTGCTAAACTTGTGAGTTCTTTGAAATATGTATCTGTTGGGGTTTTCGAATTAATCATCATTTCACTGACATATTCGATAGCATCTGTTGTTCCAAGCATGATAAACGGTTCAATAAACTCTTCATATGTGATTGAGTCCGTTTCATCAGATGAAATTGCATCAGAAACCCCAGACATAAAAAAAATTATTCCAAAATTTGTCACGTTTTTGACAAAAATCTTGAATGTTTTTTTCATTTTTCTTAGGACATATTCTTTCATATTCGATTGACATTGACGAAGATGAGTTCAATGAGTACTACTCTAAGCAAATAGATTTAATGTTTTTCTTTTACGGCCCGAAATGCGATGAATGTAACTCAAAATTGCAAGATTATGATGATGCTTCATTTTTCTTTAAGAAAACACGTTTTGTAACTGTCAATTGCCATAAAGAGGACATGTTATGCAAGAGAATGTCTGTTGTTACATTACCTGCAATAAAATACTTAACATTCAATCCAGAAAATCATATTAATTATCGTGGATCGTACACATTAAAGAGTATTGTAAACTTTACTGAGCAAGTTTCTAAAGAAAAACCTGAATATCAAAGAGCCAATCCAAAATCAATAAACAAATTCAACATTAATGACTACACAGATCAAAAATGTCTAGTATCTGCATTTTACACCCCGCAATCAATATCATCGCTACCATTTTTCCCTGTTGTACGAAATATGACCAGAGTATTCGAAAATGAGAACAATATTACTATATCTACAATAAACTGCCTCGAAAGTCCCACATTATGTGAAGGATTTCCAATTTCTTCACTTCCTGCTTTTGCTTTGTATCAAAATGGCAAATTCTTGAAGTTAAATGGTTCATCATTAGAGGGTACCGTAGAAGATATCAATAACCATTGCGGAACAACAAAATTAGTTAATGGTTTCAAGAAAAGAAAATCTTGTGTTTCCTACTTTAATCAAAGAATAAGAAGTAAGAATAAAAATACCGAAGGTCCGGAGGAATGTGTAGAGATCTATAACTTAGATAAAGAGCTTTTACAAATTAAACCACAATTAAAACAAATATTAAAGCAAAGGAATGCTTCGCAGGATCTATTAGATATCGCATATAGTAAATTGTGTGCTATAGAGGAACTTGATAGTGTAATTGACTCGATTTTGGATGAAGAAGAAGAAAATCTTTAAAATTCCGAAATCAAAAACTAATTACATATGATTATTACTCGTTTTATAGATAGATAAGTAAACTGTTTGATTTTTAATATATGTTGGATCATATTTTGTTTTTCCAACAAATTCGAAAATGATCTGATTCAGTTTTTTATAATGAGCCTGATGCTATTTAATCAGAATCACTCAAAAAATCAATGGCATTAATTTGACAGCTATCGAAAATCTTTTTAAAAAGTTTCTCTTTCAATTTTTTTTATAAATGACATCATCTTCAGCACCACAAAAAGTAGGAGAAGTCCCAATTATTAAGCTTCCTCAAAAGAAAGCTGCACAACTAAATTTAGCAATTTCAATACCTCCGATGTATTTATCAGTCGAAAAATTCGAATTCGATCCTCAATTCAAAGCTGTATTTTATAATATAGAAGTTGGTATCCAGAAAGATAGTATGGTTTGTGTACATACGATTTCAAAAAGATATTCAGCTCTCCAAGAGTTTGATTCACAAATAAGACCAAAATTCTCTGAATCTAGATATTTGCATCCATTCCCACCTAAGAAATTATTTGGAAACACAGAAAATGAGTTCTTAGAAAAAAGATCCGAAGAATTACAAAATTACCTTGGCAATCTTGTTCGTGTTGCAGGTTTATGCGAAACACAAGTATTCAGAAGATTTTTCGGAATAGATGATAGTGTAATCAAGAGTTTCTAATTCTCATTGTTAAGAAAATACAAAAAAAAATTATATCTATTCTCTATCTTCAGCAATAATCTATCTCTATCAATTTATTTTTCTATAATATTATAAAAATGTTCTATTCTAACTTCGCATTTCTTAAAATTCATGACTGTCTATCTCTCAAAAGGAATTGTGTGATATTGCTCATTCACTTGGCTTGAAGATGCATAACTAAAATGTCATTTTAATGAATTACCTTAGTTTACAGCTAATCTGAAAATTCTGAATCAAATTAATGCATTTGATTCATTAAGTTTGTTGGAAATCATTATTGTAATTGAAATAAATGCTATTAAAACACCTAACAAAATTTTTATTAATCATAATTATAAGATTTTCTAATTGAAACACGGCCAGTACTAGTAATAAAAACATCTGGGCCCAAATTCTTCTTTGAAGGTTCCTCTTTCTTCTTTCTGCGTGTAGTCTTTGGTTTAGGCTTTGGCTTTGGTTTTTCTGTTTTCTTCTCTGATTTCTTAGCAGGAGCTTTCTTCTTTGGTTCTGGTTTCTTCTCTTCTTGTTCTTTTGTAGATTCGATTGATTCATCAGATGATTCATCGGAATTTTCAGATGAAGATTCAGAAGAAGATTCTGATGAAGAAGACTCGGATGAAGATGACGATGATTCACTATCATCTTCTTCAAACTTTGATTTAGTCTTCTTTGAAGTATTAGTTTTGGCTTGAGATATATTAGTATTGACTTGCGGTAGAATAGGTGCATCTTTCCTTAAAACAGCAACTTTATTATGCGTTTCTGTATGCTTGACTGGAATATTTTGCTCTGGTGCTGCGACTTTTGGAACATCAATTTTAATTTCAGGTACAACTTGATTCTTTTGTACTTGTAATGCAAGATTACGAATAATTGTTGAGTTGTATATAGCTTGTTTTTCTTTAATAAGTTTTTGTGCAAATTCATATTGTTCCTGATATGTTGATTTTGAAAGTAAAGAAAGATAATTTCCTTTTATAGCAAGAATACTATGCAAAACCATTTCTTGAATGACAGATTTAACTAATGCTAAATTCATATTTGGAATAATTGGTTGATTATTGAGTAATGTTGTAATTAGTTGATCTTCAGGCATCCATGGAGAATCTTCTGATGTCCTAGCAGCCAAAATGTAAAGAATTTTATAGCCTATATCTTCTCGTGGCGTCATCAATAATAATGAAACAATTCTAATATAATATCCTTTCAATATTAGACTAGTGCTAAAATTCTCCTTTGTTAGTTAAAGAACTATGGAATTTCAACAAAATCTTGACTGGTATCCAATTATCGAAAGGAAGGCGTATTCTTATTCATGGACTATCGATGTTCAATAGTGTATAATAAAAATGAAAGCAAGTGCCAAATAAATAAATATTTTATAAGATTGAGACAAAAATAGATTTAGGCCTTTAGAACTTCATTAAATGGACGCGGTCTCCCTTCTTGATTGTGAATGGAGCCTTAAGGTACTCGACCATTTCTGGGACCTTAGCAGCAGCGGCCTCAACCTGAGCTTCTGTAGCGTTGGCAGCAACTTCGATTGATGTTGATGTAGCGATGAGGTAGTCCTGAGAAATTTCGTTGACTGGGACAACTGGACCAGCAATCTTAACGATACCAGCGCCTTGGTCAGCAACGACGACAGCGCGCTTGCCCTGGTGCTCGCCACCAACAACGATGACAACTGTACCAACCTTGAGGGATGGGCGTGTTTCAACTGGCTTAGCAGCGCATGCTGGCTTAACGAGTGGATCAACTTCAGCAGCGACAGCTGGGCGTGTGAAAGAAACACGTGGGATACCTCTCCAGGATGGTTTCTTAACGTTCTTCTTCTCTATTGGAGTAATGAAAAGCAACTCGGCCATTTCGAAAGGCAGCCAACGATTAAAATTTGAATGGAAAATAATCGGCGAAAAGATTTTAAGACTTTAAGATGATATTTGTGACATGCATACCAAACTATTTAATTTTCATCGTATAATCGCTATCTGATTTAGAATTTTACAATAGAAAAAATAATGAGATTGATTTATAGGAAAATTCCTCTGAATTCTCTTTTTCTATATAGAAAGACAGATATTTTCATCTGAGAATTACAATGATTGAATGAATCATGTTGAATATTGGGACGATTATATTTAATGGGCAAAACTATGTAATATAAAAAATAAGCACTATATATGGATGTTCGATATGCATGTAATAAACTTATTATGCTGTATTCTTAAACAAATATGAGTCCCAAACAATAATTAGGTGTTTTCTACCTTTGATATCAATTTTATGTTAATTTGTTAAGGCCAAGAACCATATCATACGTTATTATTCCTTGACTTTTTCTGATTGGAAATGCAGATGGAATGACCAAGGGCTAAAAATTTGAATCTTAGAATTTTTATCAGAGATAAATTTAAAAACAAACGAAAAAATGATTCATTTCGAGACTCATACGGTTTTTGTAAACCTGCGAATGGTCGGCCTTTTCTAGAGGATGCCAAAGCAGGTCACCACACCAAAGGAGTTCCTTGCCCTTGCCGCTCGTTCTGATGCTAAGTGGGTTAAGGTAAAGAAGTCTAATGATGACAACACCAAGTTCAAACTTCGCACAACAAAGTATCTTTATACACTTACAGTTAAGCCGAAGTTTGTCGAGCTCGTCCAGAACTCAATCCCAGAGTCCCTTGAAGTTATCGTCCTTGACAAGAAGGCTGAGTAAATCCTTATTTTGATTGAAAAAATTCAAAATTATGGAAAATTCGGAAAAAATACTCATAAATCATATTCAATATTGCATGAAAATCTACAGAGGAATGATTTTCCTATTTTTTCCAAGAATTTTTCTTCTTTTTTTCTATAGACCTCATATCCAAATTCTTTTTAGCTACTATTTGAAGTTAACCCTATGATTCCTTTTTGAGTATCAGCTATACCATTAGCTAAATGATCGTAATTTAATGATAATATCGATCAACAAATTTATTCGTCATTGAGACATTATTGATAACGATAATTTATTTTAAATAGAATTTTATATCGAAATACATTGAGATAATGAGCATCTAGCTTCAAAATTATGAAATGCAAAAGACCCAATGTTACTTACTTTGAGATTTTTCCTGATGCTGTATTTAGTGTATCTGCAGACTTCAACCCTCGATCGTTGAAGTCTGTTGACCCCAAATGCATTCAAGAAACTATTCGTGGCCTATTAGATATCGCGGTTGCACCAAAATGTATGACAATACATCATGGAACTCTGTGTGATAGAGTGATCCTTGCAATGTTTGATGGCCTTGACGTTAAAAGATACAATAAATTTAAAGAAAAATTACCAAACTTTGTAAATATTTCACAAAACAAGTTTCCTGTATTTCCGCAAGCTAAAGAACGTGAAGGCTATCTTATCCCAGGCAGACAGACAGTTTTAGGTTTCAAAAACAATAAAAAAATATTCAAAAAATACAATAACTACGAAGAGATGATAACTCCGGTTACTGATTTACTAGATAATGGATATCCTCTGCATCTTGAAGGCATGAAAATTCCAGAAAAGCCGAGATGTGAATTATATAAGCTTTCAATCTTAACAGAAGAGCAACTAGCAGACTTTTCCGAGCTCCCAGAAGAAACAACACCCGAAACTCGCGAAATCATTGCGATCGATTGCGAAATGGTCGAAACAAAATTAGGATCGGAATTAGCACGTCTTTCTGTTACAGATTTTGAAGGGAAACCTTTACTTGACCAACTATTTAAACCAACAAATGAAATTCTTGACTACAGAACTCCATTTTCAGGTATATCCGAAGAGACACTCGCAAACGTTACAGTAACGCCCGATCAAGCTCTAAAAATACTATCTAAGTACGCTTCAAGAAAAACAATCATTGTTGGGCACTCCCTTGAAAATGATTTTCGTTCTTTGAAGTTAATTCACCACAGGTGTATTGATACAGCTTTACTTTACAACAGTGAAACAAATGGTGTCAAAAAACCATCATTATTTTTACTTTACAAGAAGTATATCAATAAACCTTTCCGTGCAAACGAATCCGGCCATGATTCATACGAAGATGCAAGAGCGGCCATGGATCTTGTTAATTTCTCACTCAAAGATCAGAACATTGTTATAGAACAGCCAAAAGTTCCAGATTTCATTGCAGAAATGATTAAAAAGCATGGATCATTGTTTTACGCGGGAATGACCAAAAATATTGATTTCCCTGATACAGATATCCTTGAATTAAAGAAAACAGAATCTGATGACGAGACATTAAAAGAAATTGTTGATAACATCGCAAATAATGACTTGATGTTTGCTCACTTTGCGGAAGCCGGTGAAGAAGAAGCATTAGATGATGCTGTTTTAGAAAAATGTCTTGAAAAATATAATAAAATTTTGGAATCACTCATTGAAGCACTTCCAAAGAGAACAGCACTCATTGTATACGTTGCAAATGGCAATGTAAACAGAATTAAACAAGAAGACGATTCAATTCCTCCAATGAACGATGAAAAAGTCAAAGATGAGTTCTTATCAATAAGACAAGGCTTACTTTGGGTACATTGCTCTCCAACAAAGTAAGATTTTTATTATATTATTTTTGTTATATTAATAAATGTATAGAGTTTAATTATTTGATATCAAGAACTTATTCATTCCCATAGCGATTGATATTTTTGGATTGCGCTTTTTTAGAAGTCTATTTTTAATGACATATGAAATTTAAAAACTTGATATCTGTTTAACGGAGATCAAGGTTGAGATTAAGCATCTCTTAAAACAAAAGACCACATTAGGTTTGTTGTCTCATTTTATAATATTGTTTTCAATAACTTCGAGCTTTTTTTATATTATATATGCCATTTCAATTTCAGATGGGTTGAATTTAATAATCATCTTGGAATAAACTTAATCAGAAAATTCAATTTGAATGAATTATTAATTTTTTTGTTCATAATAATATATTCAGAAAAGATGAAGTTATGTTTAAACTATTTAATTTTTTACTAATAATAGCTCTCATTTTTAGACGATTACTTCCTTGAGGATAGCTGTAACATCAGCTTCAGTGATTGACTTGTGGTATCCAAATGGTCCATTGCCATTTGCAACCATGACCATCTTGATGAGCTTTTCGAGATCGCCTTCTTTGATTGGAAGTTTGGCATGGTCACATTCACTGACTGTCTTGACATGGCCAATAGAGATGATCCATTCTTGAAGACGTTCAATGAACTTTGTAGCTTTCTCTTCATCACTGCCTTCACGGATGTCGAAAACACGTTCAGCACTGCGGGCAAGATTGAATTCGCGTTCTTTCTTGAAGTGGCGGAGGAATGGAATTGTGACCATAGCAAGTGTTGCACCATGATCGATTCCGTACTCTGCTGTGAGCTGATGTCCGATTTGGTGGATACCCCAGCATGTGTTCTTTCCTAATGTGAAGACAAGGTTGAGGGCGAATGTTGCTGCAACAACTAATCTTCCGTGTAATTCGAGGGATGAATCTGGTTTGAGTAAGTCGAGAGAAATATCAACGAGTTCACGCATGACAGATAACCAGAAGTTGTCCATCATTGGAACAACCTGTGGAGTTAAGAATTGGTCGATGCAGTGGCACATTGCGTCGAAAATGCCATTGCGAAGCTGGCGTGTTGGGAGTGTCATGGTGTACTTTGGATCTAATAAGGAAAACTTAGGGAATGTAAGTTGAGAATCGTATTCGAGTTTGTCGTTTGTTGAACGACGGGAAATAACGAAACTGCTATTCCATTCGGATCCTGTAGCTGGTAGTGTCATGACAGATCCGATTGGTGTGCATGTTTCTGGTAATGTATGTTTTGTGATGATATCCCATGGTTCATTGCTTGGATCAAGGGCAGCAGCGAGGGAAAGGAACTTTGTTCCATCGAGTGTTGATCCTCCACCGACTGCAAGAAGGAGATCTGGCTTCCATTCGCGAACGACTTGGGCGATTTCGATTAAACGGTCGTATTCTGGGTTTGGAGGGATGCCACCTTCCCATCTAACTTCGCATTCGAGCTCGGCAAGTGCCTTTGTAACGTCAGCGCGAGCGCCATTTTTGTCAATTGATCCGCCACCAAAGGTAACAAGAACTTTAGACTTTGGCTGAACGAATTTCTTGAGATGCTCTTGAACGACGTTCTCACCGAATCCAACTTGAGTTGTATTAGTCCATAGCCACTTCATGCTATAAAATAAAGTGAATTAAAATTGAATGAGCGCCAAACCATTTTCAATATTATTACAGTTATCAAATATCATATTTAAAAAACGATGCGATGACTACCAGCCAATTGTTTGTTACTTTTCAGAAGTCATTTGAAATAAAAAGTTTGATGTCATTCAAAACGTGGTTGGTCATTCAAAAAAAATTTCATTGTTTTATGAAGACAAGTGGTTTGCGTCACACACTAATGCAAACAAATAATTTCAAACATAAAGATAAAAATCATTTTCAAAACCAATTGAAAGGCTTTGATTTTTATTCATGACAAAATCTGAAAAAAAAAGTATGATTGAAAAATGATAAAATGATAAATCCTGTTTATACAATAATCTGAGAAAGGACTTCTCTGACTACGTCTTCTGTAACCATCTTCTCGTAGCCGAAAGGTTTATCTCCATTGGAAACCATGACCATTTTAACAACTTTTTCGAGGTCGCCTTCTTTGATTGGAAGTTTGGCATGGTCACATTCACTGACTGTCTTGACATGGCCAATAGAGATGATCCATTCTTGAAGACGTTCAATGAACTTTGTAGCTTTCTCTTCATCACTGCCTTCACGGATGTCGAAAACACGTTCAGCACTGCGGGCAAGATTGAATTCGCGTTCTTTCTTGAAGTGGCGGAGGAATGGAATTGTGACCATAGCAAGTGTTGCACCATGATCGATTCCGTACTCTGCTGTGAGCTGATGTCCGATTTGGTGGATACCCCAGCATGTGTTCTTTCCTAATGTGAAGACAAGGTTGAGGGCGAATGTTGCTGCAACAACTAATCTTCCGTGTAATTCGAGGGATGAATCTGGTTTGAGTAAGTCGAGAGAAATATCAACGAGTTCACGCATGACAGATAACCAGAAGTTGTCCATCATTGGAACAACCTGTGGAGTTAAGAATTGGTCGATGCAGTGGCACATGGCATCGAAGAGGCCATTACGAAGCTGGCGTGTTGGAAGTGTCATTGTATATTTTGGATCTAATAATGAAAACTTTGGAAAAGTGACTTGATTTCCAGCGGCAAGTTTTTCTGCTGTAGCACAGCGAGAGATGACGAAACCGTTGTTCCACTCTGATCCAGTAGCTGGAAGTGTCATGACAGATCCGATTGGTGTGCATTTTTCTGGGAATGTCTTCTTTGTCAAGATATCCCATGGATCAACGCTTGGATCTAATCCAGCAGCTGCTGTAATGAACTTGGTTCCATCGAGTGTTGAGCCGCCACCAACTGCAAGGATGAGATTTGGCTGCCATTCGCGAACAACCTTTGCGATTTCAACGCAACGTTCGAATTCTGGGTTTGGAGGAATGCCACCTTCCCATCTAACCTCGCACTCGAGTGCAGCAAGTGCCTTTGTTACATCATCACGGGCGCCGTTTTTGTCAATTGATCCGCCGCCGAATGTAACAAGAACCTTAGACTTTGGCTGAACGAACTTCTTGAGATGTTCTTCAACGCAGTTTTCGCCGAAACCGACTTGTGTTGTGTTAGTCCAGAGCCACTTCATGAAGCTTCTAAAAGTGAACTGATATTTGATAGATGTGTTTCGTTTTTTATTAAAACTTTAAAAATGTATTCATATTATGATTCTGTTAATCATATTAGAGCGATGGCAAAATGTTCGGTTTTCTCACAAATTTTTAAAAAGACATAAATTTGATTTTAGAATATCATTAGTGTCTAGATTACATATTTCTTGTATTGTAAATTTTGATATAAAAATTGTTACTTTTGGCAATTTTTCCACATAATCTATAGTATTCAATTTTCAGATGTTGACGATCGATTTTATCACTAACCCAAACTCGAAAATAAGCTATCTTCTTTGGGCAATAAATTGAATGTGTGAAATTAATATTAAATTATTGTCTAATCGTGGCATATTCTTTGATTTCTGATGCAAGAATTCATTTTTGTGTTCACATTAGTCAAAAATGATAACAGTGTTGTTTGATTGCAAAAAAATGCTCATCCGTTATCTTGTTAAGTGCTTAATTCCAATCAAATTCCAGAATTCATATTAAATCTTTTCAAATATTGGAAATATTAGCCAGATCCATAAGAAAGAATTATTTATTGATGATTATTGAATGCCCAACAAGTCTGTAATTTTAGAATTGTTCAATAATAAAAATTTAATTGCAAAATTTTTCGCATTTATCTATCAAAGCATTATGTTTCATGATCTCATACGTATTTTTGTATAATCTAAAATCAATTTCTATAAGACAGGCTATGATTTAACAAATTTCAAAAAGCATCAAATATTATCTTCTCATATCGAAATTAATTCATTTGGGGAAAATTGTCAAATACCCGTCTTATCAAATCTTTTGAATTTTTTTGCCTTTCCTGTTTTCTCGTGAATGGCTCTCAATCTAGTTCTTCGAATGTTTACAAGTGTGAATAATGGTTATGACACCATTTTGAAGTACAAAAATTATACTGCAAAATGTAGCCGCGTGACATTATTACTTATTTCTGATGTCATTTTTGAAAATATAAAAGAGAATGCAGGAAGAGCAAGTGGTAACACTATCGATATTGAGAGTTTAATAGGACCATTTAAAGAAAATAATGATGAAATATGGGAAATTTTCATGAAATTTCTTGAAGGAGAGATCATTACCGTTCACAATGATGAAATTAATCAAATTATAGATATTTGCAAGCTGTTGAAAGCAAACAAATTAATCCATATCATTCAAGAGCAAATACATGAAAACGAAAATGTTTCGCCACTTCAAATCTCCAGAAATAATTTGCTACTTCAAGGGCTCAGAGATAAATCAAAAACATTATTAGATGACAGAAACAGAAACATCATAGAAAGCCTTGGGCTTAAGTTGTTTCATTTTGAAGATCAATCATTTCCTTGGGAGAAACTATATCATATCATTGACTTAAATGATGATCAAGTAGATAGTCTTAATCTTCAAGATATTGATTTTAAAATATGTGGTTTATCAACTTTGGCCGTTGCTGCTTGTTTAAAAAAGGATAAATTAGTCAAAAAGATTCTTGAAGAAACTAGAAGTGATATTATTGATGCGATGCAAGTTTCAGCACTTTATGGGAATGTACAATCTTTTAAAACTCTTTTTCAATATGCAGAAGAAAACGAAGATGATATTATTTATGAAAAAATTATCAAAAGTAACATATTTGTTTCAGCAGTTATTGGGGCATCCAAAGAAATTGTTAAAATTCTTGTTGATAAATTTAATGACACAGAATATGATTTATTTAGGAGTTATGATAATGATAGATATGTAACACATTATTGTTCAATGCTTGTGTTTCCAAATTGTTTTAATGATTACATAAAGATATTATCAATGATAATGAAATCAAAAAGTGAATTAATGATTTATGATAAAATTGATAATAGAGGTTTCAATAAGTGTTGTATTGATTATATGGTAGAGAATCTAAATGATGAAATTAATAAGGATGATATTATTAAACTGTTTGAGAATTTTGTAGATCATACAAATAAAAAACAAGAAATACGTGTAAATTATAAATTTGCAAACGGTAATTTGAAAGATGTTCTTGTCAAATATATGAAAAATGATGATATTGTTAAATTCCACAACTGTTTGACATTATGTTCTTTTGCTGAAATAGAACTTGATATTCAAAATTTGCTTATTGATACAGTTTGTAATCAGAACAGAGCAAGATTTATTAAATTTATTATCAAATATGATAAGAAATCAATTGAAACTAATGATAAATTTGATTATAAAGCGTTGTTCAAAGCATGTGAAATTAGAAATGATAAAAATATTATGGCTATTCTTGATTCAGGTTGTGATATTAACTCCATTACGAAAATTAATGGGATTGAATACTCTATTTTTTCTTATTTAGCATCCGAAAGGAAATATAATGAACTAGAATTGATTCTACAATATGTGAAGGATAATGGAATACAAATTGACGATGCAACTAAGCTGCCAATAGTATTGGACAATGATAAACTGATAGAAATATTCGATAAAAAGTTTAAACAACTTAAATTTAAAACAATAAAATCTCAGTCAACAATGGCAGTTAGATCTAAAGAACCAGAGAATAACGTCAATGAAGAGATTGATGATGAAAAGAAGAAAGAAAAACAAATGCAGGAATTGGCTTTTCCATATCCATTGAAAATTTTTTTTCAAAAAAGAATGAAAGATGCAGAAAATGATGTTTTGAAAGAAAATTATCCTATTAATTACATAAATGAGAAAGGAGATACTCCTGCTTTAATGGCAGCAAAAAATGGTCTAAATTCAGTTTTGAAAATTCTTATTGAAAAAGGTTCCGATTTAGATGTCAAAAATAAATCAGGTTTAAACGCTGCAATGATTTCAATTCGTACCAATCAAAGAGAATCTCTGAAAACTATTTTAGATCTACATTGGGAACCAAAAAATGAAGATGATATTCATTCACTTGTTTTAGAATGTGTCATAAATCCAAATGTTGAGTTTATTAAAATGATTGATCAAGCATTTCATCCTAAAATTAAATACAATGCTCTACTTGAAGAGAATTCAACAAGTTATTTGCATATGGCAGCTCAAAAAGGAAACAATGAAATTATTCATTTTCTTGTAAAAGAAATATGTGTTTCCGTTGATATTGAAAATAGTAGGAAAGAAACACCACTTTATCATGCGATTGCATCGAACAAAAAAGATACTGTTTCTATGTTGACGGAATTATCTGCTTCAGTTAATCATATTGCAACAGATGGAGAAACTCCTCTTATTAAAGCAGTTAGAGTGAAAAGTCTAGAAATATGTAAAAAATTGATTGAAAAGGGCGCAGATCCTAACATTGGTAAACAATCAGCGTTGTATTTTGCCATTACAAAACTAGAAATTGATATTGTTAAGTTATTCTTAGGAACAATGAAAATAAATTTTGATTATAAATATGAGGGACGAGGATATGTAGACTACTGTAGACTTCGAATTAATCAGCAATTAACTAATGAGAAAAAGATGAAAATGGAGGAGATTTTCAGGCTTGTTCAAGACCGGGAGAAAAAACAAACAACAAATAAATAAAAATAATGTATTTGATATATCTTATTTATTTATTTATATATATATAAAATTGTAATTTATTTATTTATTTATGTATATATAAAATTGTAATTTTTATTGCATCCATGAAATTAACTTATTTTATCGATATATAACAGATATGCAATAATTGACTCCAAAATCAAATGGTAAAATCAGATACTTCAATAATTGCAAAGTAATCAATCAAAATATAGAAGAGATTTCACTTATGAACATCAAACGAAAGATGATATCACACATCAAAGCAAGTTGCGTATGTAAGCGTTATATCTCTCGATCTAATGCATGCCGTGATTTGGCAATGTTTTTGCAAAACAGTCAAGAATTAATAATTTGATGCCTTTTCCGACATTCATATTTTTAATATACACTTACTGATTGTATGCTTTTGAAAGGTGGAAAGAGGTTCACCTATTTAGTTGATCCGTGAAGAAGTATTTTAATTGTATTATTTTATTTGAAATAATGTTGTAAATGAACATTTTAATTTATTTATTATTATCAACATCATCATCTCTGATTTACTAAAAAAATACTTTATAAACAAAGTAAAAATTGTTGCCATGAGATTCAACAAAATTTAGTTGGAATTAATTCATGAAAATCAAACGAAATATGATATCATGCAAGTATAAAATCTTTCAATCTAATACACAGATTGATTTTTTTATTAGTAGATCAGAACAATGATTTCTTTAATGATTTTGATGTTTTTAAAATATTCACTTTTCCTCCCTTTCAATGTAATTGAAAGAACTTTGGAGGAATATTTATATATACATGTTTAATAGGGACGATGGTAAAAAGTCCATTAGCATATAATATAATGCTTATATTTAGTAAAATTAATATACATTTCAAGGCTAGATTTCGAGAAAAATTGAAATCGTGAATTTTTGAGTGGCAATATTACATGTAACTATATATAGTGTCCAAATAATATATTATTCTCTATTTTTTTACAAGCTATCAAAAATATTTCGCAATATCTTGCATAACATATTGTTTGGTACTACTTTTAATTGAATGGAACCTAGCGGTCATTCAATTTATTGTGTTGATAATTCAAAAATTTTGAGACAGTATTTCTGAATTAATTCAATATACATACAAAGTGTGTGAAATATGTTTCTCAATGATTACAAGTCTAGTCTGTAAATAAGAGTCTTTATTATTTTAAATAATAAAAAATTAAGGCGACCCGCTCTTGAATCTTTGCCAATATGGAATTCTCTATGACAGTCTTGTTTATTTATTCCCAATAAATAATTACTGAATTTAATTACGGAATTAGATTGAAAATACTATGTCATAAGTGGGTTTAGGTTGTATAAGATATACTTATTAATGATTGCATGAAAAAATGGTTAAATTTTTATTAAATCTCCTTTGAAGTCAAAAACAGTAATACGGAAAAAGTCACAATTACTTGAATTCTGTCCTGTTTGTGTTATTTTGAAAGCAACAAAATAATCATTAGTTTGAAGTGGAAATTCTTTGATTTCTCTTTGTTGAAATTCATAGTATTGATTATCTAATACAATAGATGTTCCATCTTCTTTGGTACCTTCTAGCTTCCATCTTCTCAATAAATCAGAAGAAAAAACATATGATGATCGTAGAATATATGATTTTGGTTTTAATTTATACCCCTTTAGATCAGCTTTTACCCATGAATTAGGTTCATTATTTGTATAGAAATTAGCATTATCTGAATATGAATTTATATTGGATAAATTTCCACCATAAAGAGATGAAGCAGTCATTTCCATTTTAATTTCTTTTGAAACTTTTTCTACAATTTTTGGATCAACAAAACTAAAACTATGATTTGATATTTGAAATTGATTTCGAATCAAATGTTTTTCGAAAGATGTAATAGATTGATTTGAAATTTCAAATTTATTTCTTGATTTTGAATGATAATGTTTCAATGTTTCATTATAAATAGTTAAAAGACTTGATTCATAAGAGTTTTCAACTGAAAAATTATAAATATAGTCATAAACTTCTGAAGAACAAAATTGTAAATTAACATAGCTAAATAAATCAAATAATGTACTGTCTCTTCTGCAAGTATCTAACAGTAACAAACATAGTTTGTCTTCATTTTCTATTTTCAGTTCTTTTGACTTCAAAATTTTTTCACAAAATTCAAATCCATTTTTCACAAAATTTGTAATGATATCATCATCTTTCAGACTGTAGAAATGTGATGAGATGTACTCAATGCATTCATTCATTGTCGTAGAATCGTTTTCGTATGCAGAAATTTCGTACTTCTTAAAAATGTTTTCATTTGTGAGAGATTTGTCTGATTTAACATGTTTAGCATATACTTGTATGAGTATTTGATTTCCAAAATATTTGCCGATTTCGAATATGTCATGATAATGTGCCTCATCTGCTTCAAATTCAAGTTTACCTGTTTCTATAAAGTTTGAAAGTATATCAATCGAATCTTGGCATGTAATATCTAGATGTGCGTTCAATGATGTGATTGATTTATCAATAAAATATTTTTCTTTGATTAATTCTGAAAAACAAATCGCTGAAGACTTCTTTGTGTTGATGATTCGATCATTAATATTGATACGCAATGTACCACATTCCGTAATAACATGGGCACGCTTTAATTCATTGCACAATTTCGATATTTGCACCATGAAAAAAAAATACAAAATTTATCGTTGCAAGTCAAAAGATACTTCACCTGAAGGGTATTATTGTGTAAAAAAGTCTCTTTTGTTTACCTTCATAATAACATTTGTGCTATCAATATATATCAAATGTAGGAGCATGTTATTGTAGTTATTCCTTAATTACATGAAATATCGAATATTTTAATGTGTAAAATTAAGGGTTTCGTTTTGCTAAAATTGTCACTTTTATAGCATATTTGTTTTTGGATGTTTTGCGAAACCAAAAAAAAAAAACTATGATATACAATGTGTGTGTAAAGAAAATACTTTATTTACTAGTTAAAAAATCATTTGGTATTGATCAAGTTATTTTTTCTGGATAAGATATTATATGGATAATTGGATAGAAAATACAATTATATAATCTTGTACCTGGTTTAATTAAGCTAATTGTCATCAGAAACTTGTAATTTTTATGAATTTCAGATTTTCTTTTCATTACTGCTTTTCTTAATAGGTCAAGTTCTTATTTACGTTATAAAGTATGATATTTACAAATATCAAGTTATCGTGTTTTTTGAGAAATTATGAGAAACAAACAAAAATGAAAAAGATAGGAATAGCAATGAATAGTGATGTGGGTATAGAAAATGTAAGAGATATGAATGCAAATCAATCAGTATTTAGGACATTGACCATAGATTTCGAAAAAAAAATGCTGCATATTGAGCGAAAACTATGATTATATTATAAGGCTGTCATTTAAAGCATAATGAAACTATTCCCTTTTCATTTTAATCGAATAAGATAGTAAAGATTTTTGAATTAGCTAGAAACTGATGAGATGTTTTCACAAATCAGATTTTTAATCTCTATAATGCATAATTCACTCAATATCTCAATTTTGATATTGCGAGATATTTTTGCTATCGGTTTCGCAATTTTGACACAATAGCAAGAGGGTTCTATAAGCATTATTATCAACGTAGAATCTGAATATCATATCAGAAAATGTCGCAAATCTGACATTTACCCGACCAAATAGCAAAAATAATTGAATACTTTTCGCAAAAACTTTAAAAATCGATAAAAATATGAAATATAGATATTAAAGAGACTTTTTATATAATATTCATAAAGATTTTCCAAAAATATGATACCGCAAAATTAAAAAAGTGACGTCTTGAGTGGAGTCAGAGTAGGTGACAAAAGTGCATACTCTTAAACAACCGTCGGATTTCCGGGTGAAATCGTGACACACTTTCGTCTTTCGTAGGCAGTGGTGGTTGTTACAAAAGGTAACTTCGAATGTAGCGTGAAATCTGCAAAAAAAATTCTGAAATTTGAATGGAGAACACAAAAATTGAATAGTTTACGTCAATAAAAAAGAGAAAAATGAAGCCAATGTGTCTCGAACCTAGGACTTAGAGCAGCAATCCCACTGTTTATCAAATTACACTACATGCATCTCTCACCTCAGTGAATGAGATCAACTATATGATAACTTTTTCCCCATTATATTCTTGTGGAAAAGTGACAAATAGCAACTTTGACCCTCTCTCAGTGGAGTCAAAGATCGAAATTGCTAGCTAAATGTTTTTAGCGAAATTGCGTATTGTACGTTTTTTTTCGCAAAACGAAACCCTTAGTAAAATGGATTATGTCATTATGTCAAAGATTGGAATCTAGACAAATGAAAGATTTAGATAGAAAATTTTTGTGAAATATTTGAGTTGTAAAAGAATTTGAAAAAAATCAATTCAAAATTTCAGAATTAATTGAAAAAGTCAAAATTATATTTTATAGTAATAAAAAATTTAAATTTCGAATAGCCTGTGTAGCTCAACCGCATAGAGTATAAGACTCTTAATCTTGGGGTTGCGGGTTCGAATTCTGCCGCTGGCTCTTTTTCTTTTTTTTCTTCTTTTATTTCTTCATGATTTAACCATGTATTTCTGATCATTTAAACAGAAACTGTGATCATTTCGAAGGTAGGACCGTGGAAACAAATTCATTTCATTATCATCTTGGGAGAGAAAATATTCTTTTTGGAATATTTCTATAATTTGTAGATTGATAGTGATTAATGATGTAACATTAATAGATTCATGAGAAACCTAGTTAAACAAACAACATTAGTCCGATAATCAACTCAAATTATGATGTGTAATGAAAATGCAGGAAATTTATTTGATATTCGAGTCATTTTGCATGTGCATTATAACATAAGCAGGCATTGTTATTTTAATTGATTTCCGTTCATTATGAAATAGAAAATTCAACAATTATAAGGTAAAACTATTCAACATGACATTCAAACCATGATTTGAATATATTGTTACTGTATTATTCCTTAATTGCATAAAATCCTTCGGTCATTTAAATGGCAGATTAAAATGCCATTTGTGATAATATTTATTGGCTTGCTGATTGTAGTCATGCGATGACCTTGACTGTGACCTATGCTTATTAAGCGAATTTGGATAATCAAGATGTAAATGTCTTATTTTCGACTTCCTTTCGACTAAAGAACATTGGCAAGTATCTCTAGAAACTAAAACGCCTTTGTTTCATCTTCCAAATTTTTTATGATTTTCCAAATGCCAAAACTAAACATATTGAATTTTTTGTCATTTTTCGGAAAATATATTTTTTTTGGAATTATGAGGTTAAAAATTTTAATTAATTTCATTTTTCCATTTACATTCAAGTTATTTCTAGATTTAAAAACGATAAATTAATTTTATTTTTAATAATACAGAAGTATAATATCGAAATTTGCCTTGAATATATAAATAATTAATTCAATATTGACAATTAGAACCATATATCATTTTGCATTCCTAAATTGTTCATTATTTACAGAGCTTAATTAAGGTGTAATAATAAACTTATAAAATTATTGTTATTCAAGAAAATATTGAAACTCAAGTTTTTTTCTATTGAAAAAAGCCCATGATATGATAACATTTAACCTATTAACAAATATTCCGCAGAAATTCCTTACTAGGAATGTTTTATTGCATCGTAATTAAAAAAATTTTATTTTAATTTGTATACAGATTTTCTTTATTCATGAAGACAATACTTATAGTGGTGTAACTTCTGTTGTTGGACGTTCTGGTCTGTTCATGCCATTTTGTTTAACATAAAGATGATCGTAGCAAACGCGATATTTCTTGCCAACCTCTAAATGGCTCTTGCAGAATTCTTGAATCTTTGGATCTTGGTTGAAGATCTGTTTCTTGATATCAACGCAAATCTTTTCCTGCTTTGGATCACCATATTCACCTGGCTTTTCGTACTTTGTGTATTCAAGAACTTTGAAAATAGCAACATCTGTAGCGTGATTGCAGCGGTCTGGGCATTCAGCAGTCCTAAATCTGCATGGAATGTGCTGTATTCCTTCGAACTCTGCAATTGTTTCATGTCTTGCAAGAAGAGTAACTTCGTCCTGGTACTGTGCCATTAAAATGAAGAGAAACATGTGATTTATTTTCTTATTCAAAATTCAATAGATCTCAAATTTTTCGATATATTGTCACTTTTAAAAATTTGTTTACCCATCATATTTTGATCAACAAAAAATAAAATTATTAGTATTTAAGCATATGTGCATATCATTCATATCCTGCCAAGTTCTCAAATTATTGTTAGTGATCCTTTCAAAATTTCATTTTTTTCTGCTATGAATTCTCGTAAAATTGATCGAATTTCGCAAGTGAACATAATCATTGCGAATCGCTGTATCAGAAGTTTCTCTTGTATGTGTACACAAAATTATCCAATTTTCTGGTTTTTCATTTGAATTTGAATTCAATTTTTAATAACTAATCAATTTTACTGGAGTTCGATGTTTAAAATTCAATGTATATTCATATGGGATCATTAAAATCGTATTATGAAAATCTTTAAATTTCAAATATTTTTTTGAGATCCAAAACAAATGAATTTGCACACACATGCTAAATGAAAGTGCACTGTGCATTTAGATCATAACTACTATCGTACAAATTGTAAGGGGTCTATTCCTAAAAAATAGGGGTCGATGTTTTTTAGATGCTCTCGATCACATTATTAGTGAACATTTTTTTTCGCTTAGCTGACATAATATGACTTAAAATACATCGTCTGAGGACCCACATATACCAAATCAGTTATTAAGTCAAAATCCATAATGAAGGTTTCAATATCATTTTATAGAATACTGTATGCTGCGATGCAAGCTTGCATGATTAAAGATCACTTAATAAAAATATGCTTTATGGCTTATATTGTGTCAGATCTAACAATTTTATTTCGGATAAAATCGGATACTTTTTTTTTGAATTACAATGTTTTCAAAATGGTTTGGAAAGAAATGGTATCAACGAATTGGCGAAAAATCTGTCTCTTCAATTGATAGTGCATCAACTTCAGTTGCTGAAAACTCATTTAAAGCTAAATTTGTTGATTCAAAATTAAATGTCGAGATTTATTCATTTATCAATGGATGTTTCAGAGTACGGTTTCAGTTAGAAGGTGAAGAAGAACAATATAATCGATTTGATGTTTCGAAATCTGATATTTTAATCAATCAACAAGTATTAAATACCAAATTACAAATCACAAATAACAATTTCGACGATAAATGCGAATTAACATCAAACTCTTACAAAGTCATTATTTATTACAATCCTTTCAAACTCGAATTCTACGATTCCGATAAATTAGTGTCGACAATCAACGACGAGCAGCAATTATTATTCATTACAGGCGAAGAAACAACTGTTGGGTCAGATATTTCGTTCCACGGCTCAAACGTCAGAATTTCAGGTTTAGCAGAGAGAGTTACACCGAATAATATTGCAGATGGCACATACCAGATGACTAATGTCGATGCATACGGCTTCAATGACAAGAAAATCGCATCAATTTACGGAAATATTCCCTTCATAATTGCTCATTCCCCAGAACTCTCATGTGGATTCTTTTGGGCCAACAGTTCCGAGACATACGTCAACCTCTCTACGAAAGATCAATCGAGATCTGCCAGATTCCTTTCTGAAGGCGGTTTCGCAGATTGTTTCATTTTTATTTGTAAACCATTGAAAATTATCCAAAATTATTGTGAACTTACAGGCCATCCCATGATGCCACCACTATGGTCATTAGGGTACCATCAATGCCGTTGGGGATACAAGACACAAGCCATTTGCGAAGAAGTCATTTCGAACTTAGAAAAAGAGAATTTTCCATTCGATTGTTTCTGGCTCGATTTAGATCACTTGAAAGACAGATCTCCATGGCATTACAACCCTAAAACATTCCCAAATCCAGACCATCTCGAGTCCCTTCTCCTCTCTAAATCCAGACAGTTCGTAAGACTCTGTGATTGCCATTTACCAACTTCAGGAGATTCACCTGAACTGAAAAAGTGTCAAGAAAAAAATTTATTGATCAAAAAACGTGACAACTCCATTTATCACGGACTTTGTTGGCCAGGTGTCAGCTGCTGGGTAGATTTCTTTAATCCAGAAGCAAGAGAGTTTTGGTCTGAACGCTGCAAACAACAAGAAAACGGTTATTTCTGGAACGACATGAACGAACCGAGTTCTTTCGGAATAATGAACAAATCATTGCCAAAGGACTGCAGAACAGGACAGTGGACAGACAAAGAAACTCACAACGCCTACGCAACATACCAATCTTTCTCAACTTTCAACGGTTTGAAAATGAGAGATGAAAAAAGACCATTTAGCTTATCCAGAGCTTTCTTCAGCGGAACACAGAAATATGCGTTCGTTTGGACAGGTGATAATGGCTCTTCAAAAACACATATGATGAAATCTTTGTCAATGATTGCTAACGCAAATATTTGTGGGGTCACTTTTATCGGTGCTGATGTTGGCGGTTTTTCGCATTCAATTGATGATGAACATCTTGTTGAATGGTTCAATGTTGCCTGCTGGACATATCCTTTCTTCAGGGAGCACTGCATTTTCACGGCAAAGAACAGAGAACCATATCTTTCCAAATACAAAGATTTGTTGAAAGAAATTGTTGAAAGAAAATATAAGTTTTTGCACTTTTGGTACACGGCTGCTTGGAGAGCTCATCAATACTCATGTCCAATAGTGAGACCACTCTTCATTGACTTCCCTGAACTCGATTTCGAACATGACAGATCTTATGAAGTTTTAATTGACTCGTTTATTTTCTTTTCTATCACGGATGATGAAAACAATAAACAGAGAACAGTTAAATTACCTCCTGGTTTGTGGTATGATATCAATAACAAGTGTTCCAATGGAGAAGTCGTTGTTGAAAACGATTTCAAATCTAATCCTGTATTTTTCAGAGGTGGAAGGATTGTTTTGATCATAAACAATGTTGTTGAATGCACAAAGAAGACAATACAACAGCCAACAACATTATTCGTTTACTTGGATGAAAATGATTCTGCAAAAGGTGATGTTTACATAGATGATTATGAAACATCTCAGTTTGAAAATGGAATTTGGCTCCACAAAGAGTTCAAATTCGAAAATTCCAAACTTATTTGTTCTGAATGCGAAGATTCTCCAAAGAATGCTACTGTTCCTGTTGTTAACATCACAAAAGTTGTTGTAGTCAAGAGAGACACAACTGTTGAAAAAGAAGTTTCTCTCACAGCCAATGAAAATTGGGAAATTTCGATTTAATTTTTTTCTTTTTGAAGTAAATAAAAAAATGTAATTTGATTTTATTAATATAACGTTATTTGTAAAAGATCATAACTAAACCATTGTTAATTATATTACAATATATCGATTCTTTATTTCAATGCGTAATGATTGAATAAATTCATTTTATTGATATGCAGATAGATTTAGTAGCTCTTACAGATTCCAACATAGAAGTATCAACATTGATAAATGACTTCTGCATGATCTTGCATCAATATTTGTATGCAATCTAAGACTTTTTAACATTAAACACATTGTGTTCAGATCTTTTACATGATAAATCGGATGAAAATGTATTTATGGACATGATTAAAATATTATGATATTTTTTGAATGAATATAAAAGAAACAATTCGACATATATACTTTTAGGTATATTATAAACAAAATAGTAGATATTTAAACGCTGGTTTTGCGAATCTTCTTTGCTCCATACAATCTAGTGATAATTCCTTCCAAAGTCGAAGGTTGTACAGCAGTATACTTTTCTGGATGTGATGCAAAGCCAGAATCATGCCATCTCATATAGAATGGCTCAAATTTAGAATGAGTTTTCTGAATTGCTTCATTCATAATTGGTTCCATCAATTTCGTATTCTTAAGGCAATATGTATTGTGTTTCTGCTGGATATCCAACACAGCTTCTTTGAATTTCTTAAATTTATTTTTAATAATCTTCTTTTGTTGAGTATTCAACTTATCACCTTTCTTGAATCCATCGAATGCCTTATCATACGATAGAATCTGAAATGCTGCATTCCATGTCTCGTTCATGTAAACTTTTTGTGCATCTTGCATTGTTTTCTCCAATGTGTCCTTGAATTCTTGGGGAGTAATCGTGGCTAATTCAGGGGATGCTTCAATTTGCATAAGAGCGTAATGAGCGTTATTCATTAAGAATAATTGCTTCAAAATATCATCATTGTAACGAGTAGCCTTTTCCATATTGTTCTTAAACATCGCTGCAAGGACAGCAGGTGCAAATTGGTCGAAAGAAAGACCGCCAACTTGTTCAATTCCTTTCTTGTATATTGACAGTTTTTTCAAGAAAATAATTACATTAGAAACATTGGCCGTCACTCCACCGCTTGCAGGAATGTTGTCTGGATCATGATGCTGGACAGCACTCTTGTATGCAGATAGTACTCGCTCTATACCACTATGGAACATGTGTGACATTTGTGCAAGTTGAACAGCGAACATGGAAAATTCATCTTCATTTACTTCGCTTTCTAAAACATCAACAATGGTGGAAACAAGGTCTACATCAAATAGAATGTCAATGGGGGACTGCACATTAGCAAACATGACGGAATGACATATGCTCTTGAAGGTATTGAAGAGAGGAGTGAAGGAATTGACAAATGGATTTTTATATTTTTCTCCAAATATGGCTTTGGCGAATGCGAGTTCTCTTTTATAGAAGAAACTCACTAAGTAACCAATTGTGTGTATAGGATGCTCTTTTGGCTTGTAATTTGGAAGATCTATGATATCTAAAGTTTGAGCTTGCAGAACACGTTTCTTTGAAGCATCTAGAATAGGACTAATACTCTCATTAATTGCATCTATACGAGCATTTTGGTATTCTTTGTATTGATCTTCGCATAAAGTAATATCGAGGACTTCGGCCATTCTTTTCATCATACGAAGAAGTTCTTCGGCAACAGGATATATCGGATTTTCATAAAGTTTTTCAGTAAGAACAAATTTTCCATCTTTAAAGGCAAAATTTGATAAAAGCACAGGCGTAGCTGACCTGTGAGCCAATTTGATGAAATAAATAAGGATTGTTCTTTGTGCAGCTTCTATTAGTTTAGTAATTGCCATTCGTTCATTATAAGCATCGTTGAATTGAAATCTATTTAGGAATTTCTTGGCAGCAATAGCTTTATTCATTGCTTCCATATATGCATCAAAGTTGGATTCGATATTTGTTTTCAAAATAGGAGAAAGTTGTTCTGTCGAAGTTAATTTATTCTGAATTTCATTGATGCAGTCACGAACTTTGACTATATTTCGATGTATTCCTTGCTGTTTGCTGATTTTTTGATACAATTCAGTTAAGCTATGCTCTTGACTTTGAAAATTTGTGCTGAATTTTTGCAAAACCGACTCTAACTGATTTAATTGCTGCGACGATTGCTCATATGCCTTCTCGATTGCCTTCAGCTGGAATTCTGGATCAGATTTTACTTCCTCTTCAGTCATTGAAGTAATCCAATTAAATTGAATACATATTCAAAATCAAACTTCGAAGTTCTCAAATTCGTAAAATTTGAGCCAATATTTACATCGGGAATTTTACTGAGTTGATAGGTTTTTTTCTTAATTGGATGAAATATTTCAAATACTTACAGATTGATTAATTAGATAAATCAGACAAATCATCTCAATGACCATTCCAAAATTTCAAAACGTATAAATATCAAAGAGGATTAATAACAATGTCAATACGGCAAACCCAAATTTTAGCTAAAAGTGACAGGGAAAAAAAACGTTTAGTATTAAAAAAAAAGACCGATGAGAGCTTCGTTCGAAATATAGAGGGAACTGAGAATGCGCAACCATTCTCAGGGAATATTGGATGCTATTCCCGTTCCCTCTGTATGGAAAATTGAGGTTTTCAAAGGGAGTTAAAATAATATCAAATTTATACTAATTTACTTCAAAATACAAAAGTATTTGACAGCTAAAATTAGTTACTTTAGCAAGCCTATCAATACCCTTTTACGATTATTGTTACTTTTTCGAAATAAAAGTAAAAACAAATTTATACTAATTTACTTCAAAATACAAAAGTATTTGACAGCTAAAATTAGTTACTTTAGCAAGCCTATCAATACCCTTTTACGATTATTGCTACTTTTTCGAAATAAAATAAATTTATTATCAAAAACCTTTTTTTTTTCTTAGTAAAAATAAAAATGTTATTTTATATCAAGTTTTTATTCATAAATTTTTATAATGTTGTATAAATTTCATTAAAATTTACGTACATATTAAGGTACTTATCTTCTACATATATAATCTTCATTAGATATATACATGATAAATAAAATTCATAAAACATTAAAAATCAAAAAATTAGATGAACCTTGGCAATTAAACTTTATTAAATAATAGTTGTTTATAAATTATATTATATTATTATTTAATATTATTTTGATAATGAAGATTTTATTTTGCAATAATATAAACGAAATTTTTTACCTTATGAACTTTTGATGGAAATATGCAAATTTAAAATAATAAAGAAAGCCGCGAGCGAAGCGATCGGCTTAGTTCGAAGATTTTGATTCAAATCTTTGCTGATCTGTAATTCGCGGAAGCCGCGAGCGAATCGAGCGGCTTAGGTCTAAGATTTTGATTCAAATCTTTGCTTATATTCCTTAAATTCTTTATGAAACTCGCAACAGTTCCATAAAAAATTTTAAATTCTAAACTGTCGAAATTACCGATCGGTAATCACACCCGTGAAGGGTGTGTCACTTTTTACAGGTGTGTCACTTTTAGCTAAAATTACCCCTACTCGATTTCAATGGGTATGGCGTCCTAAAAATAGAAGAAAATGATTTTTTCTCGATTTTTCTAGAAATTGAATTTTTTAAAAAAGAAAAAAATCAAAACGTATACATTCAAGAAAGACTATAAATGAAGATTTTTCTATTTTTTTTCATTCTAAAACATCTTTTTTTGGATAATTTTTTTTAATAAATATGTAAGAAAGATTGAAGAAAAAGTAAATTTAATTTAAGAAAATTCGTTTTACATGATGTAAGACCCATAACAACTATAAATATTCAATTATTTAAAATAAAAAAAGAAAAACAGATTAAATGTATCTCACATCAAAATCCATTGACCTAAGGATGTTAAGTTTCTGTTTTTAAAAGTTGATATTTTTTTTTTAATTTTAAGAAAATTAATAGCATGTTATTAGACAATAGGAGTGTAATGATATTGACTAAACAGAAATGAGAGAATAGAGATATAATTTTGATAAGCAATATTGCGAACAAATTCTGAAGTAAAATCGCGATCAATAATTGAAAATTACGATCATGTACTGAAAAATGACGATCGAATTGAATGAATATAATTATATCTAAGAAAAAATAAATTGTATTTAGAAGATGAACAAAGAAAGGTGTATGCTAAAAATCATTTAACAATAAATGGAAATAAAACGAAATTGTTAAAAGAAAAAAATGAAAATTGTTAAATAATATATTATTTTTTAGTCATAAGAATAAAAATATAATAGTTATAAAAGGAATTAGACTTCATATATCAATTCTTTTTCTCTGTAGATGTGGAACGTTTGCTTTTCGATCTCTTTCGATGAACTTGAAAATATAAGTTATTATCGCTGAGAATCCTTTCCGAAATAGGAGCTTTACGTTTAGGAGGATTGTCGGATGAATTTTGTTTTTTATTGTTTGATTTTGTTGTTATGGAAGATTTTTTCTTATTTTTTTCAGAATTTTGCTTGCTATTAACTGAAACTTGTTTTGACGGCCCAACAATAGCATTTGTAGTAGGAAGAATTCCCAATAACGAGCGCATTTTCGATAATTGTTTTTCAATATGATCAAGAAGGTCCAGCTTATGTTCTAGATTACTAGACATTTGATTTGTAGAAGGATGGTTTTGATTTTCTGGTTCTAAATCTGTAGAGTCTGCAATATTTGAATTTTCGGAGCGAATTGGAGCATCTGAACCTTGATTTGTATCGGCTTGCTCAAAATTAGTTTGAATTGGAGTGGATGAATTAAAATCTGGATGATTTAATGTTTCATTAAATAATGCCATAATTTTTTCTCTTTTTTCATTAATAAACTTAGTGATCATTGTATCTTTATCTGTTAGATCGATCGATTTGAGTATATCTGCATCATGAACTGGAATATTTTCGAACAATGAACTCGATTCTATGGAACCATATGGAGAAATCTCGTTCTGAGCCAAAGAAAGATCACTTACGTTGTATTGTTTGATAGAAAAAATTGTTTTCTCAAGTTCTTTTTGAAAGCAGTCAAGAATATAATTTTTGTAGCTATCAGTGATAACGGTTTTTATATGGCGCTCGATCTTCTGGTTATTTTTGATGGCGTTATATTTATCTAATTGGATTTGAGATATCTTCTTAATAGCTTCATAAATGTTTGGATGTTTTAACGAAGAAAATTCTGAATGCATACTCTCGAGGCAATCATTAGTGAATATTGCAGTTGCATTATTATATTGAGATATTAAATTGTAGTGCGGCAACCAAACTTTGTTGAAATAATCAATATAATCTTTGATCGAATCAACTTTATTTTGATTAATTATATGCATTGTAAGTACAAATTCTTCATGAGACATGAATGGAGTAATAGAATATAGCTTAAATAAAGAATTTTGTAAAGTATTGAAATTTTTTGTATAAAGTGCTACAAGTTTCCTGTGTAAAGCTTGTTTGAAATGAAATAGGCATCCAATTATACGGACTTTAGGGAAAATTTGTTGAAGTGCCTCTATCATTCCCTTTTCAAAATCACAATGAATTTGAATTAGCTTTGAAAATTGAATACCCTTGACAGTAAAAATATATTCAAATGCCTTCTTATAAGATTCAAATGTGCGGTTTTTCATGAATATAAATAAAAGTGGTAGATATTGATTTGTTGAAGGTTCACAAATCATAATTGTTAGCATCTGTCCTTTTTGAAAATGTTTTGGTGTAATTTTAAAAGTTCCATCGCAAAATAAATCTGTGGCTTCTTTTGCAAATTGAATTGCCTTCTCAAAACCAAAAAACATCGTCTCACAATTTGCTTGAAAATCATGGCCAATGAAAAACTGCTCGCCATTTATTAAACAAAAATTAGCAATTTCATCGTCTGTAATTTTTTCTCCAACAGAAAATTTTCTGGACTTATTATAAACTTCCCTGACCAATGAATCTTTAATTAATGGGTTTTCATCAGTACCAACAGCAAGTTCTGTCATAAATTTTTTAATCTGCTGAAAAGTGCCGTTGTCTTCAGAAAATTTTGCCATTGCCTTATTGTATATTTCTGTCAGAGTCATTGATTTATGAAGATCATTTTTTTCATTTTGTAACTTTTTAAATTGTCTGCATTCGGGTATATGTTCCTTTTGTAAATCTTCGGAAACTGAACTGTTCTCAATTTTAACTAAATAACGTGCTTGACAAGAATGATCGATGCAACGGTAGTAACGTTCAATATTATTTGAATTAATAATATTTGTATGATCATGCGAATAAAGCATATCTTTGCGAACAATTGTATCAGGATATTTTCCAGTAACTGCGGGAATATTTTTAACTGCAATATAACTAAAATATCTTCTGACAGCTTTAGATTCATTTTCGGCGTATTTAATATTAAAATATTGAAGAACTTGTTTGATTATATTCGTTTTTTCATCTCTCGATGTTGATTTTTGGTATTTATCAGATTGTTCCCTGATAAATATTTTATTTTCGTCTGTAAAGTTTGCTCTTTTTTGATTAAATATAGATGATTTTCCCATTAAAAAATGAAATGATGCAAAATTTACGAAAACCGTTCGAAAATTGAATCAAAAATGAAAAGTAATACTTAAATGAGGAATTCTTTGAGATATTGGTCTTAGATTGAATGTAGCGTCATTCTTATATAGAATATATATTCATATCATCGGAAATATGATAAAAAGCATATAATAAATGTCAAAAAAGTGAACAAATAAGCAAAGATATTTTTTAAAAAACAATGAAAAGTAATACTTAAATGAGGAATTCTTTGAGATATTGGTCTTAGATTGAATGTAGCGTCATTCTTATATAGAATATATATTCATATCATCGGAAATATGATAAAAAGCATATAATAAATGTCAAAAAAGTGAACAAATAAGCAAAGATATTTTTTAAAAAACAATGAAAAGTAATACTTAAATGAGGAATTCTTTGAGATATTGGTCTTAGATTGAATGTAGCGTCACAAATTTCACAAATATAATTTACTATACAATTTTATTCATTTTTTTAAAATGGCTGACGACAGTCTGTATCAACTAACTCAACTAGTCAAGCATAATGATTATTCTTCGGATTCATTAAATCAACTTTATCAATGCATAAGTACAATGACAGAAAGATCAATTGGATGCTTGAATTGGGATAAATTTTTCAAAAAAATCACAGTGACTGATGAAGTTCTTTTACATTTTTTAGCATCCGTTTTAAACATTGAAAAGATATCAGAATGTTTCAAGGATTCTATTTTTTATCACAATATTAATCTTGAAAAATTCAGTAATTTAACTGAAACAGAACAACAAACAATTTTAAATTCCTACAAAGCGGATAAATTTACATATTACATAATGTGCTCACAAATTGTAAAATCAAACTGGAACAATTTATCCCAAACTTTAGTTAATATTGCAAATCAATATTTGCCATTTTTAGATGAAGAAAAGCAAATATATATATTTACTGAAATAACTGGCAATTATCAAAATTTTGAAATTTCAGTTGCAAACTTGTTACTTTTTTATGAAAACAATGAAGAAAAATTAAGCAACTGTTTTAATTTAACATTGTTCCAGCAAATTTATTCCAAAAATGGAATCGAGCAAATGATATTTTTTGCTGCAAATACAATTTGTTGCAATAACACTTCTATCAATTTTTACAATCTCCTTGAAATTGAAGAAATGAATCCATTTGATTTTTTTTATTTCTCAATTCAATATAAAGAGATATTAAATTGCGATGATTTTCCAAAAGTTACAGAAGTAATCACATGTTTAATCTCAGCTTCAAATATTAATGCTATTATGCGAATTTGCCAAAAATTTTTGGATAAAATTACATTTTATAAATGTAATTATTGCCATATTACCTCAATATGGAATTTTATCACAAATGCAGCAATAATTCTTCCTAATGAAGATTTATTAATCAAATTATTAAAATTCATAGAAAAAACAGAAAAAGCAACAGATGAATTATTCAAACCGGAGAATGATTTGGGTTTCTATGAATATTTAAATTCGATTTTCTCAGATATTACATCTGCGAGAAATAAGCAATTTCTCTTGGAATTTCTAAATACCCATGAAGATGACTTCACTTATGATCAAACATTGTGAGGTCATTTTTGATCAACAAAAGTAGTATATGTTGAAGGGTTGTGTGACTTTTTTTGTAAACGTAAGAATTCATACAATATTGAACGATTTTGTATCATTTTTTTAACATATGAAGTAAAAAATGTATGATTCTTACGGTTTTTATTCTTACGTTTTTGAATAAATCAAGATTTAAAAAATTTTCAAAATTGTAAGACATTTACACTCAGCCCATACATAATGAAATAAAAAAATAAACTTTAAAAATTCATGTCTTACATTTATGAATAATTTATTTTTATTTTGTATGAAATGAGTGTCAAGACTAACGACGTTAAAAAATTAGGATTCACAAACAGGGAAATAAAGGATATATTAGAGTAGGCAGGTTATGAGGTTGATAAATATTATTTAAGAAATTGTCAAAAATTCGCGGAGTTTTTAAATGAGTTTGATTATGATGGAAAAATGAATAAAGATGATGTTATAAATTTCTTATATCCCACATCTAAAAAAGAAAAACCTAAAGAACCTGATGTTTTCCCTGAATATTATGAAGAACGAATTAAAGATGATGAATATGATGAAATTGAAAGACTGGAAAAAATAAGAGATGAAATAGATGAAAAAATTAAGGAATTAAGAGAAGTTGAAAAATATAATGAAAATGAAGTAGAGGGTTTAATGAATATCCCAGCTTCAGAATCAGAAGTTCAAAAATCACATGAGGAAAGATATAAAAATTACTTTTTGGAATCTACTAAAAATTTATTAGATGGTGATATTGACGTAACACTTTCAGAAGAAGGCACAAAATTTATTCATAAACATAAGCTTCAGTTTATTGACGATGGAGATTATCCATGTATATTACTTTCACCTCCTCTTGATTCTGAAAAATTCAAAAAAGCACTGAAAAATGTAACATATGCAACAAATACGATTAAGAAAGAAGACCATGATATTTACACAAATTATTATTTAAATAAATGTACAGGTGTTGATAAAGTTTTTGATTTGTTAGATAAAATATCAAAAGAAACAATTGGTACATATAAAATTTTATGCGATTGTGGTTTCATTATTGAAGATACCAAAATGTTTCATATGAAAGAACAGCACCGAAGGAAGACGAAGTTGAAAGGTCTATACCATTCGTTATTAAGAACATAAAAGATATGAAAACTTATAAACATTATATTTATTCATTTATTTCAGAAAAAATGGAAGCAACCCATAAAACATCATCTCATCATTTTATAGCTATTCATACATTCCTTTTCAAAGTTGTGAAATTAAATAAGACAGGAATTAGATTTAATGTATCAGGGTACGCATTCTTGAGTAAATTAAAATGTATTCGTCACGTCGCAGATGATAAAAATTTATGTGTTCTTAATTCATTTTATGGACTTTAGCCCTGGACTCTCTGAGTCTCGGACTTTAAAAAAAATAAACTTTATTTTTATTTATTTTTTAATTTTTTTCTGAAATAAATGAACAAAAATGGAACAGCTAAAATGAATGATAATCAAATTAGAGCAGAAGGTAGAAGGTTATTTAAACACTTCTATAACATTCCTGATGGTGTTAATCCTAAAACTCGTAGAAGTTATTTAAATGAAGCCATAGATGCATATGAAGGATTTGACATTTCATCAGAAAGTGAGAGGTTAGCAAGAATGTTAAACGTTAATATTGATTTTTATTATTGTGACCCTCAACCAGAAGACGTAGACATTAACAAGGTAGACTTTCCATTAGTGGAATCAATAATGATAGATCCAGAATTTGAAACAGTAAATATTTTATTAACACAGAGTCCATGTGGAAAACTTCACGCTGACAGAATTACAGACGTTGAAGCACTCACAGGATATAAAGTTTGCCCCTTTTGCAAAGAAGAAGTATATTCTATCCGTGATGATCCAGAAAGGAAAAACCAAAGAAGATTTTTAAAACATTGTGAGAAATGTAAAGAAAATAATGGAAGATTAATTCAAGACGTTCAATTGCAAAACACACAACAACCATATGCACCACATATCACGAAACAGAAGATATATCAATGGCTATTAGCACATAATTTGCAGGAATATTATAAACCAACAAGATATTATATTACTTTTGACTTCGAAACATTAGAGACTAAAGAAGAACTTCAACTTTCTGAATGTGCAACTTTGAACGCTTACTTAAAACCATTTATGGTATCATCAACTGTCAAAATAAAGCCGCAAAGCGGCGAGGTCGTAGACCGTGATAAAACATTTACGAGGAATTTTTGCTTAACATCAAGTGATTCGTTCATCTCTGATTGGATTGAATTTTTATTTTCAACCTGTTCATTAGTTGCTAAATCAAATATTGAACAATATGAAGAATTAATGAATACATTAAATGAGAAACAAAAGGAAGCATTTAAAGAACTTCTAGATGAGGAATTCAATAAAGTGAATATCATAGGTTTTAATTCGGGAAAGTTTGATTTAAATTTAATTCTTCGTGATTTAAATACTGCAAAATGGAAGATAAAATCAATGCTGGGTTCTTCTTCTCAATTTAAGCAAGTCATAGTAAAGAAAACAAACTGTCCATATGAATTAAGATTTATTGACATCAGAAATTATATAGCGGGTGGAACATTAGACCAATTCACTCAAGATTTCGGAAACAATAAATCAGTGTTAAATCCTTTTTCCTTATCAATTCATCACATGGGAGAATTACGAAGAAGAATTTATAAAGTGGAACATTCACTCAAGATTCATTTTATTCAGCATTAACTCAAGAAACTATATCAGATAGTGATTATCAAATATATCTCAATGATGCTAAAAATTTTAAGAATAGATTAGAATATTTATTCATTATTGCAATAAAGATGTTGAAATTATGATTGACCCAATTGATAAAATTATTGAAGAAACATTTGTTTATAAAATTGACATGCTTCATAATCTTTCTTTATCATCGAATGCTTCAATGATTCGTTACGCTTTAGCATACAAAGACTTTAATCCTAATGAAAAATATCCTGAGAAGAGATAGAATCAAGTTTGAATTAACGAAAAAGTATTGGAAATATAAAATTGAATCATATAAGAAACAAGATGAAAAAGCAGAAAGGGATACTAAAAATAATGTTTCAATGGATGATTTTCAATACTATCACGATTTAATCCTTTCATCTAAATGCAAAATGTGTGGTAAAGCGTTTACATATGCAAATAAACAACATTGGATAGAATCGATAATGAAAAACCACATACCAAAGAAAATTGTCAGTTAATGTGTTGTTATTGCAATGTCGTAAAATCAAATAAAGATGAAGATGTTCAACGTTTAAGAATCAATTTAAGAAATTACGCATTAAAAAATAATTTACCAATGACTTTAGATTCAGTTGAAGCTTATCACATTCTCCGTAATGGAATTACTGGTGGTTTATCAAATGTTCAACATAGAGTAAATCTTAAAGGAATCACACACATTAATAAACTTTCATATAGTCCAGAAACTAAAACTGTATCAAATGAGGACCCACCAACATTATGACTCATTTCGTTGGAGTTGACTTTAATTCATTATATCCTTCATCATTTTCATCTAATCCTCATGATTTCATTCAATATACTGACCATAAAATGTATATGCCGGGAAGATTGAATGGTGTTATCATTTGTGATACAGCAACAAAGAAAAGCAAAAGCACTGGAATAATTAAGAAGAAAAATACTTTATTCGTGGCTGAAGTAAAGGGTCACATTGATGAAAAATACATTAATGATTACATAAACTTTTTACCGATAATAAGAAACTTTGATATTATCACAGATGAAAAAACAATTGGCAGTTTTATGTATAATTACATGAAATCAAACAATTTACCGGTTGACCAGAAACAGAGAAAATTAACTCAGTTAGCATCAACACACAACCAATATCAACCATTTTCTTCTTATTATCTTTGGTATCTAATAGACAGATTTCATTTTATCATCGATGACATTCAATCAATTTTAACATTTACAAAAAACACTTGTTTTAATGAATTTGCGAACGAATTTATGAATGAAAGACAAAAGGCTGAATTAGAAGGAAATAAAGGAAAAAGTTTATTTTGCAAGATTTCGCTTAATGGATCATATGGTTACGATGCAATGAATACACAAAATTACGCAAAGACTAAAATAATGAATGCACAGAAGGCACGCGTTGCATGTATGTCAAATAAGTTTAAAAACATAAGAGAAATAGGAGAGGATACATATCAAGTGATGCTTAAAGATAGATTTTATAGATGTGAAACATGTTTACAAGAGCATTCTTCACTTTAGATAATGCTAAATACTGGTATTTGGTTTTCATTTATGATTTTATGTATAAATGCATGAATGTTAATCGTTTTCATTTCATTGAAGGTGATACTGATTCATCTTATTGGGCAATCGCTGGCGACCCAAATCTTCCTAACACTCAAGCATTTCAAGCAATTGTTACTGATAAACAATTTTATGATAAAAAATTTACAAATTCGCACCTTTTGATTTCTTTTGTTTTGATGAGAAATTTAAACCTAAATTAAAGAATAAAGCTGAAGAAAAAGCACATGAGAAGAAGTTATTGGGTTTAGCAATTGAGAAACAAGGTGATAACATGGTTGCTTTTATGCCCCAAGTGTTATACATCATTCAACGGTTCAATTGATGGAAGTGATTTTAAAAGATTGCACAAAAATGAAAGGAGTTAGTTTACGACAAAATAAACAATTAACACCTAAAAATTATTTGGATATAATAAATGATAAAGTGATATTTGATGGTCAGAATATTAATTTACAACTTAAAAACGGGTCAATGACTCGCTTAACAATCGGTAAGACTGCATTAACAGGAGCACACACTAAGGCTGTATGTTGTGAAAATGGATGTTGTATGCCGTTTATTTAATGAAATGCCACAGAAGAGACAAAAGGAACCGTTGAATGATGGTTTGATTCTTGATCAAAGAGGTGGGCACCCTTAAAACATTTATTTTATTTTTATATAAATGGATAACGTAGATTTAGAAAATTTAATTGATGATTTAGTACGTGATCAAAATTTTCTTAGTTATTATGATTTAAAAGCATATCTCCAAAAATATGATGAAAATATAACGGATGATGATATGGATTATTATTATTCATATTATGATAATGAATTTTTGAAATATCATGATGAAATAATTTCTAAAATTAAAGATAAAATTAAAAATAATGAATATACAAAGGAAAAAACTAAATCACAACTTAAACATTTGAAAGATTTCAAAAATGAAGTATTAACAGAAGAAGATATTGATGAATTATATAAATTATATAATCCTGAGCCACAAAAAACAAAGAAACAAAACCCGGGTCCTTCAGACCAAAAATGATGCACAAGCTTTAATTTATGATTCATTAGTTAAACCATATTCAGCCCAACTTTTAAATGAAGATCAACTTTTGGAATTCATCCTTCAACATAAACTCGAAGCGGGAAAGTATATCAAACCTTTATATACAGCATATTTAAAACAAATGAATAGAATACATCCAGAATTAATGAAGGAGGAATGAATTCCAAAACTTCATCATCCAAAATCAAAGCAGATAAAATTAAACCACTTGCAACACCAAAACCTCCAATGACAGTACCTGCAACACCAAAACCTCCAATGACAGTACCTGCAACACCAAAACCACCTCCTCCTTCAGTTAATCCTTCATCATTCACTTTATTATATCCATTTCAAACATTAAAGAAACAAAAAGATTTTAAAAAGGGTTTCAAGATATTAAATAAACCAACTGACCCGAAAATTCAACCGTTAAAGGAAAAATTTGGTCGCCCTCATTTGCACCATATCCATATTCATACGAAATCGATCATTTAGAATATTCAAAAGGAAACGTTACTTATTTATTTGCCATTAACATTAACACTAGATATTTATATTGCATTCCAGTGAAAGGGAAAACAGAACAGGAAACAAGAAGAGCTATTCAATACTTACTAGATCATGAAAGAGTAGATAATATCAGGGGTGATAGTGATAAAGGATTTCAGGCAACTATGACTCATTATTTCCCACAAATTAATTTTTACTTTTCATCTCTCCATATACGTTTCATAATAAAATAGTTGATGCGGTAATGAGAACTCTTAGAGATGCGTTAGGGGTTAACGGTCAGATATACTGGGATGGAAATCATGACTCCATCATACAACAGTTAGTATATTATTATTAATAATACATGGCATAGAACTATAAACATGAAACCGGTGGAAATGAAAAATGATATTTCAAAAGAATGGGAATATATTAGAAAGCAAATGGAAAGGTTGAATGATGTTAAACGTGAACAAATTAATTCGGGGCTCATGAATTTTAAACAAGGGGATAAAGTTTTGATTCATCTCGATTATGGAAAAACTGATAAATCAATGACAAAAAGAAGACGAAGATTTGACACAATAGCTGAATTTGTTAGATATATTAACGGCAATGCATTAGTTGAAGTTGACAATAAATTAATAGAAATTCCGATTTATTTTATTACTCCATTATATTTAAATAATATTTAATTTTTTTTATTTCGTAAGAAATGAGTGACAACGAAGCAGTCAAGAGTCCAGACGATGAATATAAAAAGAAACTAAACAGAATTAAATCAAAAATATGCTATTACAAAAAGAAGCCACAATGCGGTGAGGTTGAAAACGATAAAGAAATAATCGAAAAATTAGAAACTTACCGTTCAATCCTTAAACTAAGTGAAGCAAAAATAAAAGAATTTAATAGAATAAATAAATTGATTGGAAGAGATGAATTTAATAAAGATGAATTTTTAAACTCAATCCAAATTTAATTTTTATTCCTCATCTTCTCTCGGTTTTCCGAGGGAAGCAATCAGATGAGGAAATTCTTCTAAAAGTTCTTTTGTCTGTTGGTTTTCAAACCAATGATATGCTTGCTTTGTAGAACGAAGAGCATTCATTATACTTTGCATTTGGTACATGTCATCTTTGACCGAACGAATGAGGCGAAGTTGTTTGTTATACTGTATGTACTCGTATTCTTCATTAATGGCTTCATGAACGATAGTAGTTGTTGTGTTCTCTGATGTTGACATTACTGTCTTTACATACAAAATAAATAAAACTAACTTTATTTTCTGACTTTCACAAAAGACAAAAATAAACGCTTTACATGTATTTTTCAGCAACTTCGTCAAATAATTTTATAGCTTTATCTATCTCATCTACTTCAAACGTTTCGTTACCTTTCGTGGGAGCACCATACATTTTCTCAAAAACTTCAAGCAGTTCTGTTTCAGCAGCTCTCATATCATTAACGAACACAACCTTGACTCTATTGACTGTACTGTCATATCTTTGAGTTATATTATATGTCCTTCCTATCTTATATCTTTTTGTGTTGAAGTCCTTCGGTTTCTGAACGATGTAAAGTAAGCCTTCACTGCAACGTTCCGTATCGAATGAACCATATGTTATGAAGTTATATCCAACAACTGGGTCTAACCATAACAAAACTATTGGTATAAGACTTTTGTCTATAAGATATGCTCTTGTTCCATGAAATGTTACTGATATCATAAGCTCAGGATTTCTTGTCAAAATTTTCTGAGTTGAAGCATTTCTAACCCAGTCGTTTGTTTTCTTTTCAGATGGAGATATAATGTCTGACAAAGAATATTTGTTGTATTTCTTTGAGTATCTTACGTTTAAATCACCTATTCTAACCACTTTGGTGTCATTGTCTATCTTTCTAACTGTTTCAAACTCAATGTTTGTCATTACTGTCTTTACATACAAAACAAAAAAAGATATAAAAATAAAATTAGCGTTATTTTTCTAACTAATGAATTATTTTTGAAGAACTGAAGGTGTCACTATGTCACTATGTTGACGACATGACATTATGTCAACAACACGAGAGGAAGGCATTTATTCATTATTTTTGAAGAACTGAAGGTGTCACTATGTCACTATGTGTCACTCGGTAATTTAACTTCTCTGAAAAATAGTGACAACATGACATTTTGACAACAACATAGGAGGATGGCAATAATGAATTATTTTTGAAGAACTGAAGGTGTCACTATGTCACTATGTTGACGACATGACATTATGTCAACAACACGAGAGGAAGGCATTTATTCATTATTTTTGAAGAACTGAAGGTGTCACTATGTCACTATGTGTCACTCGGTAATTTAACTTCTCTGAAAAATAGTGACAACATGACATTTTGACAACATGACATTTTGACAACATGACATTTTGACAACATAGTGGGATTAATGAGGAAGGCATTTATTCATTATTTTTGAAGAACTGAAGGTGTCACTATGTCACTATGTGTCACTCGGTAATTTAACTTCTCTGAAAAATAGTGACAACATGACATTTTGACAACATGACATTTTGACAACATAGTGGGATTAATGAGGAAGGCAAAAATAAATTCCAATCATACTTTATAAAGCTTCATTTACAGGTATTTCATCGTCAGTAAATGAATCCTCATTATCGTTTGGTTCAACCTGTTTATATAATTCTTTCATTTCTTCTTTCAAAACATAATACCATGTCTGTTTACCATCTATTCTTCTCTGTTTCTTATCACATTTATCTTTAATGCTCATTTGGAAATTCTTGTCTTTCATGTCTGATGGTTTGCAGAATAAAGCATTTTTACACGTCATACCTGCACACAATTCATCATAATGTGTATTTATCCATACATCTAAAGGATTTGATGATAATTCAATTAAATCTTGTTTGGCTTCAGTCATCGGAATGATTCGTACATTAAATGATGAAAGTCGTAATTGATAAAATACGTCAGTAAATTATCATAAAATTCCTTTGTGCATGAATTCATCAAATTCTTGAAGTAATCAAATTGACCCTTAAATTTACCATTAACTCTTAAAACTACATATCTTCTGTCTCCAACTTCAATTTTGACAGGGTAGACGTTATTAGTTACGAAAATGAAGTTTGCAACGTTCTGAGCAGTTCTTCTGGGTTGATTCTTTTCATTAATTCTAATCTCATTATCCGTTATAATTGATTTCAAAGCGTTGAAGTTTGCGAGTCTATCTTCACCTACATTCTTGAGTTCATTAAGTACAAGAAACATTTTATTCTCAACTACTGAATTGAAATTACCCGTTAGCTCACTTATTTCAGTAATGTTTTTGCATGAATAACCGGCAAGAAGTTCAGAAATAATGTCAGTGAATCTGTTTTTACCTGTTCCCTGAAGTCCTTTCAAAATAATTGCTGTTTCATTCTTGATTCCAGGATGTTGAATCATTGATGCAATCCAGCCGAGAAGGTATTTATACACTTCATCGTTATTATCACAAATGGCTTCTTTAATGAAATTCATAAACATCTCAATTTTTGAGTAATCAGGCTTTTCGAGAATGTTGTATTTATAACCTTGAAACGTTGAGAAAACATCGGGGGAATCAGATTTAAAGCAAACACCCTCAACTGTTAATGAAGACAGTTGATTTAATAGTACGTCCCATGCTGTTATTGTTTTACCTTCTTCTTTAAATAATTTAATCATTTTAAGTGACTCTTTCATGTTTGATTGAAGAACGAATGATATTTGATTCATTTTATCATGAATATTATAGTCCTTTTGAATGAAATATTTATTTCCACAATCTACAAAACGGATTACACGTGATAAATCCTCAATTACTTCAGAACTGTTTTTATACTGATGATTTTCAGCCTTGCGTCTAATATCTGTTATCAAAAACGAGTCATCAAGTTTTATATCAAATGTTATTTTTGGCTTACGTAATAAAGGTAAAACGTATTCATCATAATATTCCTTTTGATATAGTTTTAGAATCTTCACTAAAACAAATGGAGAAGTCATTAAATGAGCATATCTACTACGTGCTTTTTCAAAATTACTTTTTGCATTTTCAGTTAAATTGCAGAAGTTATAAACGTTATCGTAGGCTTCATTAATTAAATGATTAGGTAACGAATTAATAGCTTGAAACAGTGTGAATAATGTAACTTCTTTTTCTAAATTCATGTTTCCACCGTCATTATGTACTTCAAAATCACAGATGCCATCAACTATGCTCTGGGCAAGTTTATCGTCAATGTTTACATCTTTGTTTTCATTCATTATACTCTTTATTTCTTCGTTCTTCTGTTCAACTTTTACCTTAATATTCAAATCATTTAATATATCATTCACTGTTCTAGTTAATGTTGAATCATAACTTCCACGAATGAATGAGTATGTATTGATTGGTTCTGTTGCATTCTTGCGAACTCTTGAATCAGCCATAACTACTAAAGAACGCTTTGAATCATCCATAGAAGTCATTATGTCAATATCATAATCATTGCAGGAATAACATTTAATCATTCTGTTCGAAACTGCATAGAAGAAATTAGTGTTGCAATAAATGTGAAGACCTCCTGAAGCGGTTTTAACGATAACATCTTTATCCGAAAGTTTTGATAGAATGTCTTTTCTAACTGTTTCTTTAAGTTCATCATTGTACGATTTATTGATATCAACATCTATAATCGTTAAATTTGATATTTTATTTACTAATAAAGCCATACCAGTTTTCCTTCCTCTTCCTCCATCATGTTTGAGGTAGTTATGTAAATCAATCTTGTTTTCACCAATTCTTTCGTTGAGGGTTTTAGTTTCTGCCATAACTAATTCCTCAACTAATGAATCAATAACTTTTTCATCAGAAACGATATAGTTGCTGTTGTTGTTTGTTGCCACAACTAATTCCTCAGCTAATTCCTCAACTAATGAATCAATAACTTTTTCATCAGAAACGATATAGTTGCTGTTGTTGTTTGTTGCTGTCATTTATATAGGAATAAAAAAATAAAAATAATTTTAAAACTAACTTTATTTTTGCCTTCCTCATTAATCCCACTATGTTGTCAAAATGTCATGTTGTCACTATTTTTCAGAGAAGTTAAATTACCGAGTGACACATAGTGACATAGTGACACCTTCAGTTCTTCAAAAATAATGAATAAATGCCTTCCTCTCGTGTTGTTGACATAATGTCATGTCGTCAACATAGTGACATAGTGACACCTTCAGTTCTTCAAAAATAATTCATTATTGCCATCCTCCTATGTTGTTGTCAAAATGTCATGTTGTCACTATTTTTCAGAGAAGTTAAATTACCGAGTGACACATAGTGACATAGTGACACCTTCAGTTCTTCAAAAATAATGAATAAATGCCTTCCTCATTAATCCCACTATGTTGTCAAAATGTCATGTTGTCACTATTTTTCAGAGAAGTTAAATTACCGAGTAGCAGTGAAATAAAATTTTGTTATCAGTTATTTTATCATCGTTTTATTAAGTTCATCTTTAGTTAATAATTTGAATGGATTCGCAAATGTTCCACCTTGAGTCACATCACCTGCCCTGACTAATTGTGAAGAACCTGGGATAATTACTCCACGAAATGATTTCATTGGTATCATTAATTTAGAAATAGTTGGCTTAATTAATTTTGTCATTTATGATAAAAATAAAATTACATAATTTAAATTTTTTTCTTTCTCATTTTTTTCCTGTTTTGGTTTCAGTAACTTTTCAAGTTGTTGTCTTGTCAGTAACTTTAATTTTAACTTTGGATCAAATATTGGGTTTCCATCTTTATCTCTTCCGATAACACCATATGGTAGAATCTTCATTTATACTAAAATAAAAATTTAAATTATGATGTTCGCTCTTTTGGAGCTCCTAAAGTTTGTTTCACAAACATTGAGCGTTCATTGAACTCTATACCATGCGTAAACTGTCATGTAAGGTGGCATGTAGTCTTTACTTTGTCCCGTTGTTTGTGTATATCCTGAAACGAAATGTGTATGGTTTCCTTCTCCCTGAGTGTCATCCCAGTAACAATTTATAGCAAACTTAACGTCGTCTTTAACATCATATCCTTTACCTTTTGTCATTCCTGACCAATCCCAATATCTATGCTTATGCCAACCCGCTTGAGATGTACTTAAATCTATGTAGTGACTGTGTGCAGGTAAATTTTCACCTGTAATCGTTTTACTTCCACCCATTTCCTTTGAAGAGTTTGCACAATACAAAAACCTGTCGACTATTTGTTCCCATGCACCAACACCAAACATTACTTGAGGACCTCTTGCATCCATAGACGTATAAATAGAACCTACTGGGTTCATTAAATCAAACATATGAGATAATATAGGATTGTCTATTTTGAACTTAAATATAGTGCAACTATTTCAGGTTTCTTCTGGTTTGTGTCGGAATATTTTTTATAATATAATCTTATGTTTTCAGGGTAGGTAAAATCTTGACTATAATATTTATTTTTGTCATCCGTATAATAATATACTATTCTCGTTTTTTATTGCATTATATCTTTTTATCTATAATAATCTAAATATAATGTTAACTTTTGTTCATCTACATGTGGTGTTCTGACGTCATCTCCATAGTCATAATAATATGGTGCTGGAGCTAGGTTAGACAATGTCATATCTGTCATTTCATAAACTCTTAAATATTTCTTTTGTTCGTCTCCATATAAGTTTAAGTAACAGTTGTTGTCTAATGGAACTTTAACTTGTGTACCATCATTCTTTATATAGCTTACATACATTTCATTGTTATTTTTCGGAATGAGTTTACACCGCATACCATTTCTTAAGGACTGTACAAACTGCCATCTAAAATATTTATTTTCTTCATTGACAGAAAAGTCACCAACAATAGTTTCAATATTTTTAGTTGTTCCTATCAAACTTTGGTATATTCCATTAACATATTCATTATCTGCCTTCTTCTCTAACTCACTGTTGACATATTCCTTATCTGCTTTAAGGTCTAAACATCCTGAAACCCACCCTGTATCAGCTTTAGTTTTTAAAATCTTTGATGCCCATTCATGATACCATTCAACCCTTTCTTTAATTTCATTATCTTTTTCATTAACATATTCCTTATCTGCTTTCTTCATTAACTCACTAGCCACATATTCCTTATCTGCCTTCTTCATTAACTCACTAGCCACATATTCCTTATCCGCTTTAAGGTCTAACTCACTGTTGACATATTCCTTATCTGCTTTCTTCATTAACTCACTAGCCACATATTCCTTATCTGCTTTCTTCATTAACTCACTAGCCACATATTCCTTATCTGCTTTCTTCATTATGTCATTTAGGAAACCTTTTATGAATTCCTCATTTAAATTAAATCTTCCAATCTTCAAAACTTTAGGAAATGCATTTAATGCGTAATATCTTTGTTCTTCTGGTGGAATTGATGTTATATCATCCGTTATTCCTTTAATTTTTGAATTCATAAATAAAATTTCTTTTATATTTGATATCACTGCACCACCTTTGCAAACGAATTCGAAATGTTCATTTTTCAATACTATCTCCAAATCTCCATATTTCAACCTTTGCGTTTGTTCTGCCGTCTTTGAATTATATGCATATATGGCGTATGTAATGGTCTGAAGGACCTGGGTGCTTTGTGCCTTAAGTTGCTGTGGTTGCTGTTGTTTAATCATTTATTATGATTTAAAAATATTTAATCTGTTATCTCATCAGCTATTTTTTCTATTTGAAATTGCCATAATATTTCATTCATGAATTCTAAATCACAATCAAATAGGTCAGTTATTCTAAATTTAATATTTGATAAATCTTTTGAATGAAGAATAAATGAATTCCCGGATAATTGAAACGGATATGATAAAGAAAATGTGTTTAAGTTGATGGATAAAATGTTTTGTATTGATGGGTAAGAGTTAGGGTCTAATGTTTGATGTGAAAATCTCATTGGGGTATTAACTTTATCACATTTGATTAAAATGAAATTGGAACCAGTGTCAGAATACAAAACATCCCCAACATCTTTTTCAAAATTTAATATCCCCAACAATGAACGAAAATGAGGAGTACAAAATTTAATTTCAGCGGAAATTTAACAAGGTTATTTATTTCATCAAGTTCAAAAAGTTTATCAGGTTTTGATTTAAAATTTCCTTCATACCATACGATAAATGATTCATTTAAATAACTTAAAATCATGTTAATATCCCATTTCGCGATCACATTATTTATATACATATCATACGTTTTTTCATGGTCATCTTTAATAAATGATATATAATCTGAAGGGTCTAAAAGAAATGGGATTAAATTTACCACTCACAGAAACGAGAGTAACATTATAAATTCCACTAACTGTTAAATTTAATTCACAACTATTATTGAAATAATATTGTAATTGACATTTTTATTACGATTAAAAATATGGTAAAGCGTTATTTTCCAGTGATAAATAAAACTAGAATAAGATTACCTCAAGAATTCATAAATTCAACGAATAAGAAATTCATTCATGTTATAAATTTTAGTGTTTTCAGAAAATACGAGTCAATGTCATATTCATCAACAGGTTATATTTCACTTCATTCAAATTTAGTTCAATCAAACCCATATAATGACCATTTCATAAGATTTTCAGATAGTATTAAAAATGCAATTGATAGATTAAAATATGAACAGATTGACAATATCGAATTTTTGGAATTTTGGTTTAAATATCCCGATGGAAAAAGATTGAAGTTAAAGATAAAGCTGATACTATAACAAAAACAATTACAATGACCGATCCAGATAGTGGGAAACAAAAAGAAATAAAACAAACGATAGAAACTGGTGAAAGGTCAATTATTATTGATTATTGATTCAAAGGATTATTATTCAATAATGTTAATGCTTGAATATTAAATAGCCTTAACAAAGAATTTTTCAAGTGATATTTTATATTCATCAACTATTTTATTGTATATTATTATAAGTTAAATGTAGTTCAGTTGTTGTTCCATTCTTTGATATCTTAATTGTGCTAATATCCTTTATAGGATTTATTTTTGCAACTGTTCCGCAGCATGAAACCTCATCATCTATGAAAAATTGAATCTTAACGTCTGAATCTTGAACATCACAAAGAATGGCGATAATGTGAATTAATGATTCATAAGGTAAAATAATTAAACCAGATTGGTCAATTAAATTTATTATTGAATCATAATTATAATTATTATATCACGGTAAATTTTCATTAATTCAGAATTAATGTCTATTTTATATGGGTTCTCGATGTTTGATGAAAGAGGTGGGGGGTATGTTGGATAAGTGGGAATTTCAACAGGTTCTTTACCAGGTTCAGATAAAATGATTGGGTCTTCATCTTCTTTATTTTGCTCCTCCTTTTCGGTAAGTCACGAGTTAATAAATTTGGTTGAGTTGCTGACCTTGTTAATTCAGGGCTAACATTAACTTTAACATTTTGAATAATTCGTGATTTATCATCATTTACGTTATAACCAACCGTAATCTCTGCTTTTGCGTTTGTGTTCTTTTGACTTGTGAAACGTCTTCTCATTTATAATTGAATAAAAAAAAGAAAAATATATTTAAAGTTTTATTTAGTTGTTACGGTAATATCCCAAGGTTCATCCTTGTTTGCTTATACTTTCTTTGTAACTGCACCAATTATGTTATTGATATTGCTTTGAGTTTCTTCCAGTCTTATTTTATCATTTACAATATCTTTAATCATTTCATTACATGCATTCTTAAAACCATCTGATTTTTCTAATTTACGTCTATCACTTTCTTTAATTAAATCAAAGTTATAACCTTGTTGAGAATAAAGTGGTTTCTTTATCAATTCCTTGAACGCTTCTGAAAGTGAAGATGAAGAAATTCTTGCCACTTGAATTGGTTTAAATTCTGCTTTCATTGCTTCTTTCTGTTCATTGAACACTGGATCGAATAAAGCAACTTTAAAGAATTTCTTAGCTGAATTTCGGGTCTAATATTTGCATATTGACCATCAAACTGGTTAGAATATCGTGGTAATCCATCCGGTCCCTCTTCAATAGCATTTAATTCTTCATTGAAATAAGAATATGGATTATGACAGTATGAATTAATTGGACCATTTTCACCTTCTCCAATGTATTGTTTAACAGCTTTTCCATTTTCATCAAATTGCATAGGATAACGTTCATTATATGCTTTACGTTTAGGATAATCAGATATAGTTAATTTATAACCATTTATGACTTTAATATTACCTTGACCATCAGTAACAAAGACTTCATTTATACCATCAGGTTTTCCATTTGGTCCTGTAATGTCTGCTTCATGTGCTTCCCAATTTGGTCCATGACGTTTGGCATATGCTTGAGCTTCTGGTAATGTTAAAACGTTTCTCATTTGTTTAACATCTTTTGAAGACCAGCAACAATATGAACTAATTCTTTCATTCCATCAGGAACTTTCATAGTTCTATTATATGCACCCTTTTTGTTTGTTCCTTGTTTTAATGGAACCTGTAGAAAATTTGCTATTTCTGTCATGTTTAATTATAAATAAAAAATAAAAATTAATTATAAAAAGTTAATCAAATTTAACACTTCCTTTATTTAAATCAACTATTATTTTTCCATGTTCTCCTAATTGCTGATATTGTGTGTAAAGTTCATTAATGCTCATTGGTAAATTCACTTGATAAAGCATAACGTTCAACTGTTGACGACTAAAACCACTGAAAATGAAAAGGGTGGACAGGTTTGATTTAATGTTTGTGCTTAATGCTTTAAAGTATTGAACAGCCATAAAGAATGAACATTGAATATGTCGACATTGAGTTAATAACTGATTAAAATATGATTTCTCATTTGTTATTAGTTTTGATTTCACGGCATCATCTAGAAAAATTAGTGAATGCAAAAATTCTTTATCAAAATTTGAAATAGAAAGTGTTTCAAATAATTCATCCCGTTGTTTATCAATAATTTTATCCTCTAATCCTTGCTTCTTGATTGTATTATATAATTCTTTATACATTAAAAAGTTTTTTAAATAATCTTCTGCTTCTTCTTGTGATAAATAAATAATTGGAATTTTGATTAAATGCTTTAAAGATTCAAATGTATCATCTGAAGGTGAACCTGAACGGTTGATATAAATTAACACATGTGAATAGGGGGAAGTGTTAGCAATAATGATAATTTGTTTTAATATCGTTAATGTTTTACCTTTATTTTGTTTACCAATTGCTGCAGTGATTGAATTTAAGTAACATTCAGAATATGGAATTTTCATTAATTTTTCCTTAGATAGAGCATTTCTATTATCACTCAATGCTTCATTAATCATATCATCTACGTATGTATTATATACTCCTGCTAATTCTTCATAAGGGGTGGATGAATTTAAATCCATTTAATCAAAAATAAATTTATAATTTTAAACATTTCTATTCATCAATATTTCATCATATGAACTTCTATACTGTGGTGGTGTACCTGTTGGATGATATTTCAAACCTTCATCCGGTGTCCATGTCCAATATGTAGTCCTAGTAAACCAAACCTGAGGAGGATTTGTCACCTTTGAACAGTAAGTGTCATTTTCACCCTGAATGATTGGATAAGCTTTCACTTGTACTGTAACTTGTGAGTTGAAAGTTTCTAATCCATCAAAGAATATACCCGCTCCATCACGTTGAACTGGAATAGTGCATAAGAATGAAGTTTGGTCTTTCCATGTTCTAGCTAATGGCGTGCCATCATCTGCATTCAGTGGTCTAGTTAATGAGTCCTCGTATTCTTCCGTGCATTCATTCACTCCATCTAAATCAGAAGCTTGAAGCATACGTGTAAAGAATATGTCACCCACTGTGGTCATCGCTTGATCGGGGAAGTTTCTGGAATCTATAGTGACCTGAAGACCTCGAAGCATTGGATTTTCTAAAACTGTTCTTTGCATTGCATTCTTCGGAAATGTTAACACAACATCTGTAACATTATGAAGAGCGTATGAGAAATCTGAGCTAATACCTTCAGGAGTGATGCAACCTCCATTTAGTGAACGAACGTCAATATGTTGAGCTGGAATCATGAATGGATCTTCCTTACTGAATAAACGTGGTATTGCTTTAACTGATTCTTCAATTAAACCGTATCCTGGTGTAATGCATTTATCCTCTAAAACTTCCATCTTTGTGCATGAAATAATAACGTCATCAACTGTTGCGTCAGCAGATGTAGCGGCTAAGCTGTAATTAATTTGGTAGGAAGTCCGATTTGTTGGAATTTGCGATCATATTTATAAACATGATTCATAATCTTTTCATAATTTTCATCAGTTATCTTTTCATAAACGTAATTTTGTAAATCAGCAACTCTTAACGGGTCAACCTGACAAAATACTAAAGTATCCCTGAAAACATAATATTTAAGAATGATATCACCAAATGATTTAGGATAATCATCGAACGCCTGAAATGCTAACAAATCATTTACCGGAATAATCATATCAAAAGTGACATCAACTTCTTCATTTGCTTCTTGAAAACTTCTGAAGGGTCAATATATTTACCACATACTGAGTTATCATATTTTTGAACATTATTATATAACGAATGAACAAACTTTTTAACTTTCCTTTCTGATTTTGGTTTATATGTTGCAAATGCGAAAGATTCACGGGCGCAATCCATCTGAAGATAACCGGCATCACCTCTTTCGGTTTCTACTTCTAATTGTTTAAAGCTTTGATTTGATGATTTGTAACCAACGAATAAACGCATGCATTTAAAAGCGGCATCACATGTGAAAGCTTTATTTGAAACTAGAGTTGCTTTAACTTTGCGTTTAATATATGTGTCACCTAATTGGTTCACATCATGAGCCGGATTTGTAATTCTTAAATGAGTTTGTTTATCATCAAAATATGGAGCATCAGAGTCATAGCATGAACTTTCAAGTTCTCTATAATATCTTCTACCGTCATTCTTTGCGAATATTTCATTTATCTTTTCGAATGAATGAAACACATTTCCATTAATCGGTTTAGTGTTTGGCACCAAATAGTTAGTCGTCATTTATTATAAATAAAAAATCAAAATTAAAAGATGAAAATGAATTTTTAATTTTAATGAAATAATCAACTATGGCTGCAGGATTCTTTAAAGAAATGTGGGATAAAGTAAAAAGAGGAGCGCATAAAGTTTGGGAAACAATGAAGAAAGGAGCAAATTGGATATTTAAGAATAAAGAAGCAATTAGTGACGTTGCTGAATCAATAACCAAAAGCTGCCCCAATAAGAGAAATATTAAATAAAGGAGAAAAAGTTTATCAAAGACTTCAACCGATACTAAGATAAAAATAATATTTATTTATTTTTCCACTATCTACCCCTATTTTATTAAGTATTCCTTCAGCAATTCCACCAACTGCGTTACCTGCTTGTGCTCCCATCGCCGGATTACCTGCTTTAGTACCTAATACTCCACCTATGATAGTTCCTGCCGTTTTCGCTACTGGTGCCAAAAAGTTTGCAATGGGTTTAATAATCTTTTGATGAACCCAACCCGCAGCTTTCTTAATTCCATCCCATAATTTTTTAAAGAATCCTGCCGCCATTTCTGATTTAATATTAATTAAAAAATATATTTCATCACTTATATTCTAATTTTTATTTAATGATAAATGAAACCAATTTTAAAAATAAATGAAACAGAGGAGGAAGAAATAAATGAAAGTGAAAATGTTCAACAAAAAATAAACGTTGTTAAACCAATTACTGAAATAAAAATTTTTTCATCTGTTGAAGAATTTAATGACTATTATGCTAAATAAAAAATTATTTGAAGAATTGACAACATGTAAATTGAATAAAATGTTTAAAGTTGATGGATTCAAAATTTCAAAAATAAAAGGAGTGGTTAGTTTGAAATCTATTCCTCAATCAAGAATCACCTCATTAATGAAAATAGATGATTTAACAAAAAGAATAGAAAATTGAAGAAAGAATCAAATTATTGATTTCATAAATCATGACTCGTTGAGCCCGGGTCCTTAAAGCCCATCACTGAGTTCAAGGTTATATTCATCAAATATTTCATTATTAAATGCAACTTCTGCTAGTTTATTTATTTTTTCAATACGATCATTTGAAAGTCTATCGTTTAATTTTTTCTGAAGTTTTTCATTTTCTAGTTCTGAAACTTTATTTGGATGATATGTAAATTCATGAAATTCTTTGGCCTCGGTTTTGATCATTAATTTACAAAGAACCTTTGTGGTTGGAATTCGTTTGAACCATTTATTAGTTATATTCGTTATATATTCAATATCTGGAATTAATTCCCAAATTTTTGCATTTTCAATTAATTTATTATCAAATGCAAAAGCAATGGGTTTAATATTATGTTTACCTTTATAATATAAACTTTCTACATAATCATCGAAATAAACATCTACTTGTTTAACATTTTCAAGAATTGGTGAAAGAGCATCCATTAATTGATTGACGGTTACGAATCTTGATCCACTCATTTTCTTACGAATTAAAAAAATAAATTATTCAAAAATGTCAGAAGAAAATATTTAAATAAATTATTTAAATTTTTTTACTCTATTCAAGAATTTTATTTTTGATATAACTCATTGAATTCAAAATTTTTTAAAAAATTGACACCATATATAACCAGTAGAAATTCTGCCAGTAGAAGTTCTACCAGTAGAAACTTTACTAGTAGAAGTTCTGCCAGTATAAACTCTGCCAGTAGAAGTTCTGCCAGTATAAACTCTACCAGTATAAACTCTACCAGTAGAAGTTCTGCCAGTATAAACTCTACCAGTAGAAGTTCTGCTAAAGTATTCAATTTTGAGGGAAACAGTAGAAGTTCTGCCAGTATAAACTCTACCAGTAGAAGTTCTGCCAGTAGAAGTTCTGCCAGTATAAACTCTACCAGTAGAAGTTCTGCCAGTAAGTAGTATATATGATGGGTTGTGTGACTTTTTTTGTAAACGTAAGAATTCATACAATATCGAGCGATTTTGTATCATTATTTTAACACATTAATTTTAAAATAATTTATTTATTTATTCTTACATAAATGACCCAACAAGTAAAACCAGATAAAATAGATTATCGAATTTTAGAGGATGGTGTATGCCGTTTATATTCAAAGATTTAAAGGGAAGCAATATTATAGAATTGTTAATCCTGAATACATAAAACATTAATGAATATGAAACCAATAAATCAAAACTGAGATATAAATATATTGGAAGTGATGAAAGATGCAAAGATAAAGATAAAGTTTATTCAGTTTCATATAATGAATGGAAAACCAATAAGATAAGAAAACATTTAGGAGATTATGGTAAAAGATTCACTACCATAATGAAATAAACACATTAAAAAAATTAACATTAATTTTAAAAGAAGCTATATATAGATGATGTCAGATATTCCATGATTAATTAAACATTGTTTAAATCATGAATGAAATCAATGGAGTCATAATCAAAGACCTCATAAACGAGAAAAATAAATTAGAAACTAATGATTATTTGAATTTATGAAATCAATTATTTGATTCATTCTTTCTTCAATCTCTTCTATTCTTTTTGTTAAATCATCTATTTTCATTAATGAGGTGATTCTTGATTGAGGAATAGATTTCAAACTAACCACTCCTTTTATTTTTGAAATTTTGAATCCATCAACTTTAAACATTTTATTCAATTTACATGTTGTCAATTCTTCAAATAATTTTTTATTGTTAGCATAATAGTCATTAAATTCTTCAACAGATGAAAAAATTTTTATTTCAGTAATTGGTTTAACAACGTTTATTTTTTGTTGAACATTTTCACTTTCATTTATTTCTTCCTCCTCTGTTTCATTTATTTTTAAAATTGGTTTCATTTATCATTAAATAAAAATTAGAATATAAGTGATGAAATATATTTTTTAATTAATATTAAATCAGAAATGGCTGCAGGATTCTTTAAAAAATTATGGGATGGAATTAAGAAAGCTGCGGGTTGGGTTCATCAAAAGATTATTAAACCCATTGCAAACTTTTTGGCACCAGTAGCGAAAACGGCAGGAACTATCATAGGTGGAGTATTAGGTGCTAAAGCAGGTAATCCGGCGATGGGAGCACAAGCAGGTAACGCAGTTGGTGGAATTGCTGAAGGAATACTTAATAAAATAGGGGGTAGATAGTGGAAAAATAAATAAATATTATTTTTATCTTAGTATCGGTTGAAGTCTTTGATAAACTTTTTCTCCTTTATTTAATATTTCTCTTATTGGGGCGGCTTTTGGTGTTATTGATTCAGCAACGTCACTAATTGCTTCTTTATTCTTAAATATCCAATTTGCTCCTTTCTTCATTGTTTCCCAAACTTTATGCGCTCCTCTTTTTACTTTATCCCACAGTTTCTTAAATATACCTGCAGCCATAGTTGATTATTTCATTAAAATTAAAAATTCATTTTCATATTTTAATTTTGATTTTTTATTTAATAATAAATGACGACTAACTATTTGGTGCCAAACACCAAACCAATTAATGGAAATGTGTTTCATTCATTCGAAAAGATAAATGAAATATTTGCAAAGAATGACGGTAGAAGATATTATAGAGAACTTGAAAGTTCATGCTATGACTCTGATACTCCATATTTTGATGATAAACAAACTCATTTAAGAATTACAAATCCAGCTCATGATGTGAACCAATTAGGTGACACATATATTAAACGCAAAGTTAAAGCAACTCTAGTTTCAAATAAAGCTTTCACATGTGATGCCGCTTTTAAATGCATGCGTTTATTCGTTGGTTACAAATCATCAAATCAAAGCTTTAAACAATTAGAAGTAGAAACTGAAAGAGGTGATGCCGGTTATCTTCAAATGGATTGCGCCCGTGAATCTTTCGCATTTGCAACATATAAACCAAAATCAGAAAGGAAAGTTAAAAAGTTTGTTCATTCGTTATATAATAATGTTCAAAAATATGATAACTCAGTATGTGGAAAATATATTGACCCTTCAGAAGTTTTCAAGAACGCAAATGAAGAAGTTGATGTCACTTTTGATATGATTATTCCGGTAAATGATTTGTTAGCATTTCAGGCGTTCGATGATTATCCTAAATCATTTGGTGATATCATTCTTAAATATTATGTTTTCAGGGATACTTTAGTATTTTGTCAGGTTGACCCGTTAAGAGTTGCTGATTTACAAAATTACGTTTATGAAAAGATAACTGATGAAAATTATGAAAAGATTATGAATCATGTTTATAAATATGATCGCAAATTCCAACAAATCGGACTTCCTACCAAATTAATTACAGGCTTAGCCGCTACATCTGCTGACGCAACAGTTGATGACGTTATTATTTCATGCACAAAGATGGAAGTTTTAGAGGATAAATGCATTACACCAGGATACGGTTTAATTGAAGAATCAGTTAAAGCAATACCACGTTTATTCAGTAAGGAAGATCCATTCATGATTCCAGCTCAACATATTGACGTTCGTTCACTAAATGGAGGATGCATCACTCCTGAAGGTATTAGCTCGGATTTCTCATACGCTCTTCATAATGTTACAGATGTTGTGTTAACATTTCCGAAGAATGCAATGCAAAGAACAGTTTTAGAAAATCCAATGCTTCGAGGTCTTCAGGTCACTATAGATTCCAGAAACTTCCCCGATCAAGCGATGACCACAGTGGGTGACATATTCTTTACACGTATGCTTCAAGCTTCTGATTTAGATGGAGTGAATGAATGCACGGAAGAATACGAGGACTCATTAACTAGACCACTGAATGCAGATGATGGCACGCCATCAGCTAGAACATGGAAAGACCAAACTTCATTCTTATGCACTATTCCAGTTCAACGTAATGGAGCGGGTATATTCTTTGATGGATTAGAAACTTTCAACTCACAAGTTACAGTACAAGTGAAAGCTTATCCAATCATTCAGGGTGAAAATGACACTTACTGTTCAAAGGTGACAAATCCTCCTCAGGTTTGGTTTACTAGGACTACATATTGGACATGGACACTGGATGAAGGTTTGAAATATCATCCAACAGGAACACCACCACAGTATAGAAGTTCATATGATGAAATATTGATGAATAGAAATGTTTAAAATTATAAATTTATTTTTGATTAAATGGATTTAAATTCATCCACCCCTTATGAAGAATTAGCAGGAGTATATAATACATACGTAGATGATATGATTAATGAAGCATTGAGTGATAATAGAAATGCTCTATCTAAGGAAAAATTAATGAAAATTCCATATTCTGAATGTTACTTAAATTCAATCACTGCAGCAATTGGTAAACAAAATAAAGGTAAAACATTAACGATATTAAAACAAATTATCATTATTGCTAACACTTCCCCCTATTCACATGTGTTAATTTATATCAACCGTTCAGGTTCACCTTCAGATGATACATTTGAATCTTTAAAGCATTTAATCAAAATTCCAATTATTTATTTATCACAAGAAGAAGCAGAAGATTATTTAAAAAACTTTTTAATGTATAAAGAATTATATAATACAATCAAGAAGCAAGGATTAGAGGATAAAATTATTGATAAACAACGGGATGAATTATTTGAAACACTTTCTATTTCAAATTTTGATAAAGAATTTTTGCATTCACTAATTTTTCTAGATGATGCCGTGAAATCAAAACTAATAACAAATGAGAAATCATATTTTAATCAGTTATTAACTCAATGTCGACATATTCAATGTTCATTCTTTATGGCTGTTCAATACTTTAAAGCATTAAGCACAAACATTAAATCAAACCTGTCCACCCTTTTCATTTTCAGTGGTTTTAGTCGTCAACAGTTGAACGTTATGCTTTATCAAGTGAATTTACCAATGAGCATTAATGAACTTTACACACAATATCAGCAATTGGGTGAACATGGAAAAATAATAGTTGATTTAAATAAAGGAAGTGTTAAATTTGATTAACTTTTTATAATTAATTTTTATTTTTTATTTATAATTAAACATGACAGAAATAGCAAATTTTCTACAGGTTCCATTAAAACAAGGAACAAACAAAAAGGGTGCATATAATAGAACTATGAAAGTTCCTGATGGAATGAAAGAATTAGTTCATATTGTTGCTGGTCTTCAAAAAGATGTTAAACAAATGAGAAACGTTTTAACATTACCAGAAGCTCAAGCATATGCCAAACGTCAAGGTCCAAATTGGGAAGCACATGAAGCAGACATTACGGGTCCAAATGGAAAACCTGATGGTATAAATGAAGTTTTCGTTACTGATGGTCAAGGTAATATTAAAGTCATAAATGGTTATAAATTAACAATGACGGATTATCCTAAACGTAAAGCATATAATGAACGTTATCCTATGCAATTTGATGAAAATGGAAAAGCTGTTAAACAATACATTGGAGAAGGTGAAAATGGTCCAATTAATTCATACCGTCATAATCCATATTCTTATTTCAATGAAGAATTAAATGCTATTGAAGAGGGACCGGATGGATTACCACGATATTCTAACCAGTTTGATGGTCAATATGCAAATATTAGACCCGAAATTTCAGCTAAGAAATTCTTTAAAGTTGCTTTATTCGATCCAGTGTTCAATGAACAGAAAGAAGCAATGAAAGCAGAATTTAAACCAATTCAAGTGGCAAGAATTTCTTCATCTTCACTTTCAGAAGCGTTCAAGGAATTGATAAAGAAACCACTTTATTCTCAACAAGGTTATAACTTTGATTTAATTAAAGAAAGTGATAGACGTAAATTAGAAAAATCAGATGGTTTTAAGAATGCATGTAATGAAATGATTAAAGATATTGTAAATGATAAAATAAGACTGGAAGAAACTCAAAGCAATATCAATAACATAATTGGTGCAGTTACAAAGAAAGTATAAGCAAACAAGGATGAACCTTGGGATATTACCGTAACAACTAAATAAAACTTTAAATATATTTTTCTTTTTTTTATTCGAATATAAATGAGAAGACGTTTCACTAGTCAAAAGAACACTAACGCAAAAGCAGAGATTACGGTTGGTTATAACGTAAATGATGATAAATCACGAATTATTCAAAATGTTAAAGTTAATGTTAGCCCTGAATTAACAAGGTCAGCAACTCAACCAAATTTATTAACTCGTGACTTACCGAAAAAGGAGGAGCAAAATAAAGAAGATGAAGACCCAATCATTTTATCTGAACCTGGTAAAGAACCTGTTGAAATTCCCACTTATCCAACATACCCCCACCTCTTTCATCAAACATCGAGAACCCATATAAAATAGACATTAATTCAAAATTAATGAAAATTTACCGTGATATAATAATTAATAATTATGATTCAATAATAAATTTAATTGATCAATCCGGTTTAATTATTTTACCTTATGAATCATTAATTCACATTATCGCCATTCTTTGTGATGTTCAAGATTCAGACGTTAAGATTCAATTTTTCATAGATGATGAGGTTTCATGCTGCGGAACAGTTGCAAAAATAAATCCTATAAAGGATATTAGCACAATTAAGATATCAAAGAACGGAACAACAACTGAACTTCATTTAACACATAATGATATTTATAATAAAATAGTTGATGAATATAAAATATCACTTGAAAAATTCTTTGTTAAGGCTATTTAATATTCAAGCATTAACATTATCGAATAATAATCCTTTGAATCATAATCAATAATAATTGACCTTTCACCAGTTTCTATCGTTTGTTTTATTTCTTTTTGTTCCCCACTATCCGGATCGGTCATTGTAATTGTTTTTGTTATAGTATCAGCTTTATCTTTAACTTCAATCTTTTTTCCATCGGGATATTTAAACCAAAATTCCAAAAATTCGATATTGTCAATCTGTTCATATTTTAATCTATCAATTACATTTTTAATACTATCTGAAAATCTTATGAAATGGTCATTATATGGGTTTGATTGAACTAAATTTGAATGAAGTGAAATATAACCTGTTGATGAATATGACATTGACTCGTATTTTCTGAAAACACTAAAATTTATAACATGAATGAATTTCTTATTCGTTGAATTTATGAATTCTTGAGGTAATCTTATTCTAGTTTTATTTATCACTGGAAAATAACGCTTTACCATATTTTTAATCGTAATAAAAATGTCAATTATCAATATTATTTCGAATAATAGTTGTGAATTAAATTTAACAGTTAGTGGAATTTATAATGTTACTCTCGTTTCTGTGAGTGGTAAATTTAATCCCATTCTTTTAGACCCTTCAGATTATATATCATTTATTAAAGATGACCATGAAAAAACGTATGATATGTATATAAATAATGTGATCGCGAAATGGGATATTAACATGATTTTAAGTTATTTAAATGAATCATTTATCGTATGGTATGAAGGAAATTTTAAATCAAAACCTGATAAACTTTTTGAACTTGATGAAATAAATAACCTTGTTAAATTTCCGCTGAAAATTAAATTTTGTACTCCTCATCTTCGTTCATTGTTGGGGATATTAAATTTTGAAAAAGATGTTGGGGATGTTTTGTATTCTGACACTGGTTCCAATTTCATTTTAATCAAATGTGATAAAGTTAATACCCCAATGAGATTTTCACATCAAACATTAGACCCTAACTCTTACCCATCAATACAAAACATTTTATCCATCAACTTAAACATATTTTCTTTATCATATCCGTTTCAATTATCCGGGAATTCATTTATTCTTCATTCAAAAGATTTATCAAATATTAAATTTAGAATAACTGACCTATTTGATTGTGATTTAGAATTCATGAATGAAATATTATGGCAATTTCAAATAGAAAAAATAGCTGATGAGATAACAGATTAAATATTTTTAAATCATAATAAATGATTAAACAACAGCAACCACAACAAAATAAGGCACAAAGCACCCAGGTCCTTCAGACCATTACATACGCCATATATGCATATAATTCAAAGACGGCAGAACAAACGCAAAGGTTGAAATATGGAGATTTGGAGATAGTATTGAAAAATGAGCGTTTCGAATTCGTTTGCAAAGGTGGTGCAGTGATATCAAATATAAAAGAAATTTTATTTATGAATTCAAAAATTAAAGGAATAACGGATGATATAACATCAATTCCACCAGAAGAACAAAGATATTACGCATTAAATGCATTTCCTAAAGTTTTGAAGATTGGAAGATTTAATTTAAATGAGGAATTCATAAAAGGTTTCCTAAATGACATAATGAAGAAGGCAGATAAGGAATATGTGGCTAGTGAGTTAGACCTTAAAGCAGATAAGGAATATGTGGCTAGTGAGTTAATGAAGAAGGCAGATAAGGAATATGTGGCTAGTGAGTTAATGAAGAAAGCAGATAAGGAATATGTTAATGAAAAAGATAATGAAATTAAAGAAAGGGTTGAATGGTATCATGAATGGGCATCAAAGATTTTAAAAACTAAAGCTGATACAGGGTGGGTTTCAGGATGTTTAGACCTTAAAGCAGATAAGGAATATGTCAACAGTGAGTTAGAGAAGAAGGCAGATAATGAATATGTTAATGGAATATACCAAAGTTTGATAGGAACAACTAAAAATATTGAAACTATTGTTGGTGACTTTTCTGTCAATGAAGAAAATAAATATTTTAGATGGCAGTTTGTACAGTCCTTAAGAAATGGTATGCGGTGTAAACTCATTCCGAAAAATAACAATGAAATGTATGTAAGCTATATAAAGAATGATGGTACACAAGTTAAAGTTCCATTAGACAACAACTGTTACTTAAACTTATATGGAGACGAACAAAAGAAATATTTAAGTGTTTATGAAATGACAGATATGACATTGTCTAACCTAGCTCCAGCACCATATTATTATGACTATGGAGATGACGTCAGAACACCACATGTAGATGAACAAAAGTTAACATTATATTTAGATTATTATAGATATAAAAGATATAATGCAATAGAAAAAACGAGAATAGTATATTATTATACGGATGACAAAAATAAATATTATAGTCAAGATTTTACCTACCCTGAAAACATAAGATTATATTATAAAAAATATTCCGACACAAACCAGAAGAAACCTGAAATAGTTGCACTATATTTTAAGTTCAAAATAGACAATCCTATATTATCTCATATGTTTGATTTAATGAACCCAGTAGGTTCTATTTATACGTCTATGGATGCAAGAGGTCCTCAAGTAATGTTTGGTGTTGGTGCATGGGAACAAATAGTCGACAGGTTTTTGTATTGTGCAAACTCTTCAAAGGAAATGGGTGGAAGTAAAACGATTACAGGTGAAAATTTACCTGCACACAGTCACTACATAGATTTAAGCACATCTCAAGCGGGTTGGCATAAGCATAGATATTGGGATTGGTCAGGAATGACAAAAGGTAAAGGATATGATGTTAAAGATGATGTTAAGTTTGCTATAAATTGTTACTGGAGTGACACTCAGGGAGAAGGAAACCATACACATTTCGTTTCAGGATATACACAAACAACAGGACAAAGTAAAGAATACATGCCACCTTACATGACAGTTTACGCATGGTGTAGAGTTCAATGAATCATTTATTTTTATCATAAATTTACACCAAAAATAATTTTTAGGTGAAGAGGTGAGATCTCACCTTTTTTTTCACCTGTTTTTTTCACAAGCGTTTTACCATGTGCTACCAGGTAATTTAATTTCTTTTAAAAATGGTGACAACATGACATTTTGACAACAACATAGGAGGAAGGCAATAATGAATTATTTTTGAAGAACTGAAGGTGCTACCATGTTGTCATGATGACGACATGAAATTGTGTCAACATCACGAGAGGAAAGCAATAATGAATTATTTTTGAAGAACTGAAGGTGCTACCATGTTACCATGTGCTACCAGGTAATTTAATTTCTTTTAAAAATGGTGACAACATGACATTTTGACAACAACATAGGAGGAAGGCAATAATGAATTATTTTTGAAGAACTGAAGGTGCTACCATGTTGTCATGATGACGACATGAAATTGTGTCAACATCACGAGAGGAAAGCAATAATGAATTATTTTTGAAGAACTGAAGGTGCTACCATGTTACCGGGTGCTACCAGGTAATTTAATTTCTTTTAAAAATAGTGACAACATGACATTTTGACAACAACATAGGAGGAAGGCAATAATGATTATTTTTGAAGAACTGAAGGTGCTACCATGTTGTCATGATGACGACATGAAATTGTGTCAACATCACGAGAGGAAAGCAATAATGAATTATTTTTGAAGAACTGAAGGTGCTACCATGTTACCGGGTGCTACCAGGTAATTTAATTTCTTTTAAAAATAGTGACAACATGACATTTTGACAACAACATAGGAGGAAGGCAATAATGAATTATTTTTGAAGAACTGAAGGTGCTACCATGTTGTCATGATGACGACATGAAATTGTGTCAACATCACGAGAGGAAAGCAATAATGAATTATTTTTGAAGAACTGAAGGTGCTACCATGTTACCGGGTGCTACCAGGTAATTTAATTTCTTTTAAAAATAGTGACAACATGACATTTTGACAACAACATAGGAGGAAGGCAATAATGAATTATTTTTGAAGAACTGAAGGTGCTACCATGTTGTCATGATGACGACATGAAATTGTGTCAACATCACGAGAGGAAAGCAATAATGAATTATTTTTGAAGAACTGAAGGTGCTACCATGTTACCGGGTGCTACCAGGTAATTTAATTCTTTTAAAAATAGTGACAACATGACATTTTGACAACAACATAGGAGGAAGGCAATAATGAATTATTTTTGAAGAACTGAAGGTGCTACCATGTTGTCATGATGACGACATGAAATTGTGTCAACATCACGAGAGGAAGGCAATAATGAATTATTTTTTGAAGAACTGAAGGTGCTACCATGTTACCGGGTGCTACCAGGTAATTTAATTTCTTTTAAAAATGGTGACAACATGACATTTTGACAACAACATAGGAAATATGATGCAGCCCAAAAATAAAGTTAGTTTTAAAATTATTTTTATTTTTTTATTCCTATATAAATGACGGCAACAAACAACAACAGTGACTATATCGTTTCTGATGAAAAAGTTATTGATTCATTAGTTGAAGAATTAGCTGAGGAATTAGTTGTGGCAACAAACAACAACAGTGACTATATCGTTTCTGATGAAAAAGTTATTGATTCATTAGTTGAAGAATTAGCTGAGGAATTAGTTGTGGCAACAAACAACAACAGTGACTATATCGTTTCTGATGAAAAAGTTATTGATTCATTAGTTGAGGAATTAGTTGTGGCAGAAACTAAAACCCTCAACGAAAGAATTGGTGAAAACAAGATTGATTTACATAACTACCTCAAACATGATGGAGGAAGAGGAAGGAAAACTGGTATGGCTTTATTAGTAAATAAAATATCAAATTTAACGATTATAGATGTTGATATCAATAAATCATACGATGATGAACTTAAAGAAATAGTTAGAAAAGACATTTTATCAAAACTTTCGGATAAAGATGTTATCGTTAAAACCGCTTCAGGAGGTCTTCACATTTATTGCAACACTAATTTCTTCTATGCAGTTTCGAACAGAATGATTAAATGTTATTCCTGCAATGATTATGATATTGACATAATGACTTCTATGGATGATTCAAAGCGTTCTTTAGTAGTTATGGCTGATTCAAGAGTTCGCAAGAATGCAACAGAACCAATCAATACATACTCATTCATTCGTGGAAGTTATGATTCAACATTAACCAGAACAGTGAATGATATATTAAATGATTTGAATATTAAGGTAAGAGTTGAATAGAAGAATGAAGAAATAAAGAGTATCATGAATGAAAACAAAGATGTAAACATTGACGATAAACTAGCTCAGAGCATAGTTGATGGCATCTGTGATTTTGAAGTACATAATGACGGTGGAAACATGAATTTAGAAAAAGAAGTTACATTATTCACACTGTTTCAAGCAATTAATTCGTTACCTAATCATTTAATTAATGAAGCCTACGATAACGTTTATAACTTCTGCAATTTAACTGAAAATGCAAAAAGTAATTTTGAAAAAGCACGTAGTAGATATGCACATTTAATGACTTCTCCATTTGTTTTGGTGAAGATTCTAAAACTTTATCAAAAGGAATATTATGATGAATATGTTTTGCCTTTATTACGTAAGCCAAAAATAACATTTGATATAAAACTTGATGACTCGTTTTTGATAACAGATATTAGACGCAAGGCTGAAAATCATCAGTATAAAAACAGTTCTGAAGTAATTGAGGATTTATCACGTGTAATCCGTTTTGTAGATTATGGAAACAAATACTTCATTCAGAAAGATTACAACATCCACGACAAAATGAATCAAATATCATTCGTTCTTCAGTCAAACATGAAAGAGTCACTTAAAATGATTAAATTATTTAAAGAAGAAGGTAAAACAATAACAGCATGGGATGTACTATTAAATCAATTGTCTTCATTAACAGTTAAGGGTGTTTGCTTTAAATCTGATTCCCCCGATGTTTTCTCAACGTTTCAGGGTTATAAATACAACATTCTTGAAAAACCTGATTACTCAAAAATTGAGATGTTTATGAATTTCATTAAAGAAAGCCATTTGTGATAATAACGATGAAGTGTATAAATACCTTCTCGGCTGGATTGCATCAATGATTCAACATCCTGGAATCAAGAATGAAACAGCAATTATTTTGAAAGGACTTCAGGGAACAGGTAAAAACAGATTTACAGACATTATTTCTGAACTTCTCGCTGGTTATTCATGTAAAAACATTACTGAAATAAGTGAGTTAACGGGTAATTTCAATTCAGTAGTTGAGAATAAAATGTTTCTTGTACTTAATGAACTCAAGAATGTAGGTGAAGACAGACTGCAAACTTCAACGCTTTGAAATCAATTATAACGGATAATGAGATTAGAATTAATGAAAAGAATCAACCCAGAAGAACTGCTCAGAATGTTGCAAACTTCATTTTCGTAACTAATAACGTCTACCCTGTCAAAATTGAAGTTGGAGACAGAAGATATGTAGTTTTAAGAGTTAATGGTAAATTCAAGGGTCAATTTGATTACTTCAAGAATTTGATGAATTCATGCACTAAGGAATTTTATGATAATTTACTGACGTATTTTATGCAATATGACCTTTCATCATTTAATGTACGAATCATACCGATGACTGAAGCCAAACAAGATTTAATCGAATTATCATCAAATCCTTTAGATGTATGGATAAATACACATTATGATGAATTGTGTGCAGGTATGACGTGTGAAAATGCTCTATTCTGCAAACCATCAGACATGAAAGACAAGAATTTCCAAATGAGTATTAAGGATAAATGTGATAGGAAACATAGAAGAATAGACGGTAAACAAACATGGTGTTATGTTTTGAAAGAAGAAATGAAAGGATTATATAAACAAGTTGAACCAAACGATGATGAGGATTCATTTACTGACGATGAAATACCTGTAAATGAAGCTTTATAAAGTATGATTTGAATTTATTTTTGCCTTCCTCCTATGTTGTTGTCAAAATGTCATGTTGTCACTATTTTTAAAAGAAATTAAATGACCTGGTAGCACCCGGTAACATGGTAGCACCTTCAGTTCTTCAAAAATAATTCATTATTGCTTTCCTCTCGTGATGTTGACACAATTTCATGTCGTCATCATGACAACATGGTAGCACCTTCAGTTCTTCAAAAATAATTCATTATTGCCTTCCTCCTATGTTGTTGTCAAAATGT